GCGGAAGAGCTTTCGATTCCTCCCGTTTGGTGTCTCATGTCCGATCCTCCCACGGCGTTGCAAGGAGCTCTTGTTGACAAGTGTGGTTCATCGTGATTTTTGCAATTCACTCGACTCGTAAAGATTGAGAATAATTGAGTTAGACAATATATTATTCTAAACCTTTTTCGAAAAGAATTTTAGAGAGAGAAAAATGTATATAAATCATCGTAGGAGACACTCCTTGATGATTCTTTGTTGAGGAGTGGTACGTTTTATTTGCCTCTCCAAATATTTTAAAAAGGAACTCTATGATCATGTTCAGTTTTCATATGATGATTCTCTAGCTAGTGTTGTTTTACTAAGGATTGAAGAATTAATTTAAGACTTTGTCTGTGTGTGTGCATGTGTGTTTTTTTATAAAGACTGTGTATTTAGCTTTAATGATCTCGCTATATATGTATATGACTTGCTTTCTTTTTTCTTTGTTTAATAATTAATATTAATGTATTTCTCTATTATGCATGATTTCGATCTGATCAAAACCATGTTAAACTGAAAATAAAAAAGTAATACAGATTATGAAAAATATAAATCCTTAAATCTAAATCGGTCGTAGAATGAGTTTTTTTTTGGGTCTATATTTAGCTAACATTCTTTAAGCTAATTGTTTGGTGGCCAATTAATTATATATCGTGATAAGAAATATAAGTGGATTATTTGAGTAGAAAGTAGAAGAGAATATTCCAACTTTTGGAAGGTGTCATTGTCTCTTGGTAGGTCGAACTCTAATATTATATAACTGATTTTAATACCTAGATCTTATATTAAATGCGACGAAAAGTATAAATATATAAATTAGCACTTAAAATTAAAATAAACATATGTTCATTTATCTCTCGACGTGTAGCTTTCGTAGTCAAGAATATATTTGTCAAATAATCGAAATTAAGAGACTAATAGTACGTACGTAGTTTAATTTTGGAAACAAATAAAATGTTTCAAAATAACAAGATGGACCAGATGGAACGAAATAACAAAGAATTTCTCTTTTTAACCAAACAGTTTCCATTTGTAACCAAAGTTGTTTTCATCTTTCCCAACGAAATTTCTTTTGAAGATAATTATTCAGTGTCGAGCTCCTTTTTTACTTTTGGACTTGTAAAGTTTGATATCTTATGATCAACTTGTTTAAAGTTTACCTGGTTCACCTCTGCACGCGCAACCACTACTAAAGCTCATATATATATATTGATGTGTAATTAATTGAAGATATATATCTTCAATTACACATCAATATAAATGTATGCATGCATAGTCATAGAACGTATTAATTATTAAAGCTGGTGATATCTTATATATTTGAATCCGGAAAATCTTACGAGACTTAAAAAAAAAAATCTTTTTCTTTTCTTTTTGCTTTTGATTTTCGTGTATATAATCATCTTACGAGACTTCAATTTGTATATAAAGGATCAAAATGAATCAATCAACGCACACATTAGGAAACTACTGTAACAATATGTGTTTTTGTGATCATATATGGATTTCATTTAAGTAATTAAAAAATTTATAGTATAAAACAGTAACTTTTTAACTATATCATTTTCACTTAAGTACGCACGTACAACATGGTATGTAGGAGGCATAACTCATAAGGATGTAATTTCTAATTATGGAAATCAATCACGCGTATGTGTCTCTATATATATAAACTTATACTGACACAACTTACAAGCTGTGTATATGCAAATTATACAACAGAAGAAATATATTACTTTCTTTTTTGAGGTTAAGGGAAACTGGAAAAGCTTACAAGGCCACTCGAAGATTCTAAGGGTTTTTTTTTTTTTTTTTTTTTGTTTTGGGTTAAAGGATTCTAAGTTCATCAGACTTTCGTATTTTTGTAAATGTATATTATCTTTGCATTAAAATATGTAAATGTATAGCAAATGGAGGAGTTTGGTGGGTCGCAATTGGAATGTTAGACATACCCACCTCTGATTCTCCCTTTTTCAGTGTGACCACGTAATCCAAATTTAACGTATTTAACTTTTAATCTAGATATGTATATATACTCATAAATATACAAGCAATCAGTAAATCTATATGTAATATATTAGTCTATACGAACCCACTAACCTATAGCTTATAAGAAACGTAAAGGAAGTTAGAGTAAAACTGTTATATATCTTGATACATTCATACATCATAATTGTTCGATATATAATTAACGGAAGTGTGCTTGTTTAGAAAGAAATTAAGTTATACCAGTTATTGATCATCAAAACGTTGGTTTACTAAAAATGAGCAATCATGGTAAGAAATAAACAAATGAAATAAGAGAGTAGACATAACATAGCCTTCTCGCTTGTCTTCATACTCACTCTATCAACGACTCTATGCCCATCACACTCATACCCTCACATTAGGCCATTCCCATTTATTAGGCGAACCGTATCATATTTGCCTCCTTAAATTGTCAATGAGTCTTCCTATATAATTTATTTTGGCAGTTTTCTGGTCTAATAGTCTATATCGAATCGACAAAAAGAAGTTTTCATTGGTAAGGTTTGTCACTGCGTAACATTAGAAACACAATCTTAAACACTGCCTATTGTATAGTTGCATGGCTGTTCACTAACCGCAATAACAAAAAATATAGGTTTATAGATCAACCAATATTAACTAGGTCTATGCAATGCATAAAGATCCACTTCTGCTTTTTGCAAACTCTTAAACTCTCTCCACTTTACATGCATGCACTAACATGGTAAATCAATGCATGTTTTGTGTTGTGTATCTTTATACATTCGAGAAGAGAATACTTACACAAAAGTGAATTAAGGATGCAAAAAAGTGAGAAGAGAGAATAAAGGAGGCTGGAGACCCGAAAAAGCCTTATTTACAACAGTCACTCTAACAATTACGCAGTAAAATCAAAAGTGACTCTTCTCAGCCACTCCTTCTTCCACCTTCCCCTTTTTTTTCTCCTTCACTCTTCACTTTCAGCTTTTGTGCAAGTCTGTCTGCCTCAATTAGTATTTTACACATTTTTTAGACTTTTTAATCATTTCATATTCTCTTTTTTTTTGTATATATATACAATATTCTTTTCGAGTATGAGTTTGCAATCTTCTTATAAAGATTTCATTGTCAGTTATCAATCTTCGTATTAAAGTTTCTGATTCAAAATGTGAGATGGTACTTCTTACGAAACAAAAATATATACTTTACAAAAAATAAAAATGTAAAGCAATGATGTGAAACAGAGAAAAGGGTACTTTTTTATAGGGAACCAAACTTAAGATGTGCTTAATTAAACAGACCAACATGCATCTCCATGCACTTACTTTACTTCGCAGTTAATTAATAGATTTACGAGTGTACGTACGAGTATCGTTTGTGCTAAAGTTTATAAACTAATTAGTTATAATATTTAAGTACAGTAACGAAATATATATAAAGAAAATCATAATCTCCTACAAATCTTGTTTTTTGCAAAAAATAAAATAAAAAAATACAGTACTTCAGGTTATTTATTTTAAGAAAGTAAAAGGAATTTTGCTTTTCCCCAATAGAAAAATTAGGTTTGACAAGTCCAAACATGTAAGAATCAGGACTAAGAAATTACTCATATCCTGAAGCCCAGTATACTAGTGGGCTTTAATCATTATGACAATATTCACAATTAAACCCATTGGGCCCTCTTTTTCTTGAATCTTTCTGACTAGAAAACAATTAACCTCCTCAAAGTCTAAAAACATATGCATGTGAAAGAATAGGTCCTTTTTTTTTTCTTTTTCTTTTTTGGTCTAAGCCGTCAAGTCCTTTTTTCTTGTTTGTGTCGCAAATAGTTTGTTTTGTCATCTACTGTATATCGATAATAATTTGTTTCTTTTGCTCATCCAAAACAAACAAAAAAAATCAAAGAGAGAGCTGCTGGACAGAATAGCAAAACTAATAAAACGCCATGCTACAAACTTTGACAATATATACAGACTTATTAACTAATCGTGGGAAATCATATAAACATTTCTTTTTAATAACATCAACAGAGGTAACTGAATAGTGAATACTACCGTTCATCTAAAAGAACTATTTATAGGAAGAAGAAAAAGAAAAAAAGTTCTTCGTCGAAACTCGACTCTATTATTATTCCACGCAAATTTCGCAAACACAATTGAATTAATCTTATCATACAAGTGGCCGACAACATGAGATTTTATTCGAAAAAAATACCTTTCTATAAAATCTCATCATTCGAAAATATATAATAGTAAGACGAGTACATCATTCATTTATGCATATATCTCAACTCTCCATCGTTAGATTCAAAAGAAACATATGCTTGGGAAAACAGATCTATCGGTTCACAATAAAAAGGATACTGTGCACTCGGATCTACCGGAATATCTCTCTCGGGCGACCTACCCACACGAGTAAAGTAAACGCATCAAGTCAAGTTTTATATGATTGAGTCTTTCTTATTTCAAAAGTAATATAGTTCCTCTTCCTCACCCAAGTAGAGAGAAGTGTGTTGTATAGATCACGTCACTACAATGACGTAATCTCGTAACTGCTTCACGTACTTGTCCTTGTTTATATCATTCAAACCCATCATCTCTCACCCAATTGCAACGTTATTAATTAGTATCTTTCTTTTACTCTTTTCACCCTTGCTCGCCTCTTTAACATATAAATATACGATTCTATGTTGAATTTGTAAGGCAAATTTCGTATACTATATATTACTCAACTAAGTTGTAAAACTTCAAGGTTTCTCATCCCTTAAATTAGGAACAAAAATTTCTTAATTTCCTAATTATATAATAGGCATATATAGCCAAAGGAAAATATATTCTCATATGTATAAATCTCCAAAAACTAAAGGACTAAAGAGGTGGGGACAAAGGTGTTTTAGTCTTTTTGTTCATGAGAAGTTTCGTGTGACGACGACTAATTCTCTCCTTTAAAAGAGAGTCGCCAGACGGATAGGAATATTTGGGTGCCTTCTTCACTCTCCAAAACTATCGTTTTCACTTTTGTAAATGTATCCAAAACAACTTGAGCTATACAAGTACGCCCTAGATACCATGAACAAGAACGAGAATGTGGAGAGAAAGGAGACGATGAGGATCGATGATAGAGGAAGAGAAGACGAAGAGGACGAAGAGAAGAAGATTGATACCTTCTTTAAACTCATCAAGAACTATCAAGAAGCACGAAAACGTCGACGAGAAGAGCTTGCTGAAAATTCTAGCGGCGTTAGGAAGAAATCAAACAGCGGGGAGAGGTCCGCTGTAGCAGTTCCGGCGTTTCAGCCGGAGGATTTCTCTCAGCGTCGTACGGATTTGAAGCCATTGATGTCTGTTTTGGATCACAAGGAAGATAGTACAAAGGTGAAAGAAGAAGAAGAGACACAAGAACAAAAAGAAGACAAGGCTTTGGATCTTAATCTTACATTGTAGTTAAACTAATCTATTTTCAATTTTTTTCATGCTTCATTTATGAGTTGTGATTAATAAATCTCTCATTTGACTAAACTCAAACGTGTGTCGGATCATATCAAAACCTTAAAAAGAATAAGCTCAAACTCAAAGAATCATGTAAGAAAACATCCTGTTAGATATCTACTCAAGATGTCTAGATTTTGTATAATTTTTCATTCTCTAGATCAAATTTCTAACAATATAAACCAATTAAATTTTGTATAATAAAAGCAAAACCGGAATAACCGTAGCAAAACTAATAAAAACTTTATTATTCCGTTAGCTAGAAGCCTAGAACTGAATATATTGTTAAATTTGTTTTAATTTTATAGAATATCTTTAAAAGTAATTTTTTTTTACTGCCCGGATTTGATATATAGTCAAATACAAAGATTGTTTGAAGTTTTTAATTGCATAAACAACAAGAATCGAAGGTCAAAAAGAAAAAGAAAAAAACAACAAGAATCGGACAACTACTGATTCAAAAGTCAACTAGTTGACTTTAATTACGGTTGATTCCTGGGATCTTGATTCTTGAAACAGACGAATTTACACAACTCGTAACTCTTAAACTTCAACTACTTGACTTTTGAAACTCTCTCAGTCTCTCTTAAGGCCTCTCCCTGTGATTTCCAAAGCTAAAACAAAAGTCAACTTCGTTGCTAAAACCAGAGAAATGGGGATGACTCTGGGAAAGCCATTTTCCATTTTTTCCCAAGAAATCGAACCGAGAATAGTGTTGTTCGGTCTCGACGGTACCGGAAAATCATCAATAATGCACAAACTCAAAACCGGAGAAACCCTTACCACGAACATGCCAACCATTGGTAAGTAATACTTGATCAAACACATTGTTCTACATGAGTTCTTAATAAATGGATCACTGCTTCTAGGATTTGAAGTGGAAAGCATAAAATACAAAGATTCAACCTTATGCTTTTGGGAAGTGGGAGGTCAACAGCGTTACAAGGTACGAGAAAAAGTTGGTTAATTTTAGAAATATGAAGATTATACCTGATACTGGATTATTGGAAACAACACTCCAGATTACTCCATTATGGAAACATTACCTCCGAGAAGTAGCAGGGCTTGTGTATGTAGTCGATAGCACAGACAGAGATCGAATAGAAGAGGCGAAAGGTTTTCTTAACATGGTGATTGATGAGGTTGGTAAAATACAAAAACCTGTCTTGTAAACATTGAGCAAGTCACATAATCCGATGTTTGATGCTATGAATAACAGATACAAGGGAGTGTGCCGGACAGTGTGGCTATTCTTGTATATGGAAACAAGCATGAAGTTCCTGGTGCTATGTCTGCTTCTGAGATCACTATCAAGCTTGATCTCGCTTCTCTTCGGAAAAAAAACTGGCAGAGAAACTGGTGAGAAGATAAGAAAATCTTTCGCGACTCTACTTTTGCGAAGAGGATTCACTTCTTTTAATGATCCGTGTGTTGATTTTCGCTTGTCAGGCATACCCAGAGCTCATGTGCACTTTGTGGTGACGGTTTACATGAAGGACTCGACTGGCTCTTGAAAAATGCGAGAAGAATGTAGGATTTGTTATTGCGAAATCTCTGTACCGAATATAGCCATTTTCTGTTTCAGGTTATTAACCTTGTCGTGCTTATTTGCAAGCTCCATCAACAACTTGATTCTTTTAAAGGAGACATTACTCGGTCTATGACCTTTCTCAACCATCTCAAGCAAACATTTCTCAGCCTCTTCGACTTTAGCCAAATCACAAAGCAAATCCAGAAGCACATCCGAAACCAGACTATATGAACCAAAACCTTTTATCACCATATCTTCCCACAACTGCAATGCCATATCCACTTTCTCGTGTCTCTTAAACATCTTAATCAAGAACATACAGGACTGGGTGTTCGGCAAACACCCATTTCCCAACATTCTCTCATACAGCTCCCAAGACCGTCCCAAATCATTTGCCAACGATAAGACACGGAAGAACAGATTATAAGTAGTTGCGTTCGGAGACAAACCATTCCTCACCATCTCATCCACCAACATATCCGCATCGCCAAGCCTCCTCGCTATGCAAAAATTCCTAATGGCAGCATTATAAGCGGCAACATCAGGATAACATCCATACTCCTTCATTTCCTTTAAAACCTCTCTAGCTTTATCAGGCTGGCCGATTAACCCCAAACCACCTATAATAGTTGTGTAAGTTATAACATCAGGAGTTTCATCCTCCTCGCGCATCTTATCTATCAGCTTATAAGCTTTCTCCATCTCTCTATCCTTGCAATACACATCAATCAAAGAGTTATACGTAACCACATCAGGCTTTAGCCCCTTTTCCTTCATTTCCTTGAAGAAAGCATCAGCTTCTTCCGATGATTTCCAACCAGATAAAAGTATGTTAAAAGTCTGCAAATCAGGCTGAAACTGATCCTTCAAACTATGATACACATTCCTAGCATCAGTCATACTCTTCTCTTGGCAAAGAGTTCTCAAAAGGGCATTAAAGCAAGCCGTGTCGAAGAAATCAGGAACCAATCTCTTAAACTTCCAGAAAGACTCAACAGTTTGTCTAACGGAACACAACTTAGCAACTCTACCTAAAACGACTTGCATGGTCCTTGGCGATATCAAAGATCGATCCTTTCGCTTAGTCTCAATCAAAATCTCCCAAATTTGATCGAACTTTCTACTTCTACCGAGAATATAGAGCATTGTGTCTAGAGAAAACGACGAATGATTAAACCCTCTTCTAGCACCAGCGTACCTGTAAAACTCTAGGGTTTGAAGTGGGTTCCCGTGACTAAACCTAACCCTTTTTAGGACCTTATCGATTAAGTCCTTCGACAAGTGGATTCCACTAGAGCTCAACGATTCATTCAACTCTCCTTGCAGATTTGATCCATTGATCATCCGGTAAACAGTTTCGGCGTCATCATCTTCACCTACAGGAAGCTTCGGATCCGATAGTGCCACGCTGTGAAGAAACGATACAGAGAGACGGAAACTGTAAACGTGGTGAGAAGCGCACTGAGAAGATAGTGGCTTCAGGATCATCATCATCGTTTCAACCAAAATCTGAGCTTTGGCTTCAATTCGGACAAGAACGCCTCAGGTATGGCGTATCGAGGTGAAACCGAAGCCTCTGTATCAAACTAATTCAGTAACCAGAATCGTTGTCTACGTCTCTTTAGTTTAGGTTAAAGACGAGAGAGAGAGAGAGAGACCGAATCAAACCGCGATAACTTAACCAAAATCCTGATTTGGTGATTTTAACCATAAAAACCGGCCCGAAGCTCATGTGCAATCTGTGGTGACGGTTTACATGAAGAGAGAGCATTAATGCAGGCCGTGTCGAAGAAATCGGGAACTAATCTCTATGTAAACCGAACCAAAATTAGTTCTATCATATGATTTAGCCGGTTGTAGTTGACATGAAAAAGAAATAAGTTTTAGGCCCATTATAACGAAGCCCATTTTCAACCCTTTCGAGCCCAATGTAACTACGGACGATGTTCTTTAGTCAAAAATTTCGAAATCCTAGCCGTCAAAGTAGGCTTCGAGGCCCAACCGAGTTTGCTTGATACGCAGGTAATTATCTCGCTCCTGATCTTACTGTGTGAACGAAGGTAAAATGGTCTTTCTTTCTTTCTGTTCCGCGGGTTTCTGAACAAATAATAACAACCAATTTTCCCAATATGGAAATTAATTATTGAAATCTAAGGAAGGCTGAGGTTGTGTGCCATAAAGTTCATTAGTTTCTCTTCAAAAATAGACACTTTTTTTTATTTGGTTTCTTCAGCTGGAACCGAGCTGCTATTGTTGACTTTATCTGTAGTATTTTCCTCTGACACTTTGAAGAAAGTGTAAGACAGTATCAAGTTGTTGATTCCGTCCATTCTTGGATCAGTCTCAAACTCAGGGTCAATGTAGAAGAAGACCTGCCAAACAAGTGCAAGCAGGTTTCAGTGGACTCTTGATTTTATTTGAGGAAAATATCACACAGAACCAAGAACAAAAGAGTGCTCACTGGCATGTCGATTTGCTCTCCGGGAAGGAGTCGCTGCTCCTCAAAGCAAAAACATTGTATCTTGTTGAAGTAAACTCCTGCCTGAAGAAACCAATATAAAATTTTGAGAATCGATTAACATATGTTCCATGGGAAGTCGATAGGGCACTCTAATATGTACCTTCATGGGAGTGACATTGTATGTAGAGACTCCGGTTATTGGAGCTGAACTTTTGTTTTCAGCAGTGTAAAAAGCGAGTGCACTTTCTCCTGGCTTTACTCTAACCTATAAGAAAGTACCAAAACCAAAGACATCCCTTAGATAAACATTAACAAGTCACAACATACTTCTTTTTTTAATAGAGAAGTCACAACATTCTTCTTCACATATAAAGTCTAAACCTCTCTTTGAGTTGGCGTGAATTTCCATTGCATCCCATCTGCAACATCAGCATTGAACTGCACCACAATCTCCCTGTTTACGGGTCAAACAAGGTAAGCTATAAAGAAAAGTTATGATTATATGAATAGTTTTAAGAGACAGACGAATACACACCTTTCAGTGACGGTACCAGATTCTGAGTGCCTAGCAATCTTCTCCTCAACAGTCTATAGATATAAGGTCAAACGAAAAACAACTGAGAAAGAGATAATACAACGAACTGAAACCTCAGAGAAGAAAGGGAGAAACAAAAACGATATATACCTCTTTGCGCTGAACAGTACCTCCATACCCAGTAGCTTGGCAGAATGTTCTATACAATGGCACAGCAGCGTAAGTTAGCCCCACCATGCCAAAGACAACAGCAGTGAGGTAATAGAGCATCTTCTGTGATTTGGTTTCTGTTGGAGAGTGAGTAGAATACTGGCGATGGGCACCGAGTAGCATCGACTTAGCAGTAGCAGAGTGCGAATTCAAGCTCCATGAAGAAGAACTTCCCCAAAACAGTCTCTTGCTTCGGAGGTTCTGCTCATTGCCTTTAAAAGCTCCATGAGTGTAATAACGAGAGCATAAAACAACCCTACATTGAAAATTAAAAAATCGCATCAGCATGCATTTCTCACAAACTCCATTCTATAAAAATAACAGAAATAGAACTTTCTTTGAGGAATTTTAACAAACAGTTCATGTGCGTGCATTATCAGGTAAGATTCAATTACCTCGGAGGCTGCGATGCCCGATGAAGGTTCTCTAAATAAGAAGAAATCCGAGTTCCTCTACAAACCTTCGACCAAGACATGGCCGAAAATCAATTAATTTCAATCGATTGAGACAATGAGACACCACCACACAAAAACACTATCTGCACAAGAAACACAAACCCAGATGACATTACTTGAAACTTCCAATTAATTTCAACGCCAAGTACATGAAAAATTCGAATCAATTTTCTTTTTCCTCCCTCAAATTCCGGCGTCGGAAAAAACAAATCAGCCGAGGCCATGGCCGATCGTAACCGAATCAGAGACCAACGACGTAGCCAGAGTCGATTAAACAGTGAAAACTGTGAAAGAGGAAGAACGCAAAGGGGGAGGAAACAAGAGAACAGAAGAACTAACCGCTGAACGATCGGCGTTCGTGTGTCGTCGGCGGGAGAGAGATCAAACACGTCGTCACTGGTAAACAAAGAAACAACAAAAACACACTTTTGTGGATTAAAAAAAGTCAACAAGTCAAACAATGACTTGTCTTGTTGTCTGGTAAAAAGATAAGTCGGTTCAGTTCTTAAAAATTATTCACATACGTTTGTTTACTCATATTTATGTAAAGCTCGGCGAATGGCCCACTAAGGCCCAAATAATGCATATACTTTCAACAAACAAAAAACTGGAGTATTTGACACTTCATACTTAATTAACCACCAATTTTGGATTAGTGCATGCTGTCATTGAAGATACAAATATTTCCCAGATCTCTAATGTTATTAAGAAAATATTTCATTTATTGTGTTAGATCTCTCTAATAAGAATCTTCACATTATTACACACAGAATGTTAATGATATACATTCCATAAACTTAATTAGTCACATTTTTACACGTCTAAAAAGTGTCTAAGCCTAGAAACTTTGTTACAACATGGCGGAGAGAACTCGCCGTCCGAATGATGTTGTAGTCACAATCCTAGTGGCCATCGTGATCCTCGCATCTCCGATCATAATTAACGCCGCAGATTCCATTAAATGCACACCTTGTCTCCCAAAACCGTCGCCTCCGCCACCACCTCCTTCTTGTCCTCCCCCGCCTTCACCCCCTTCACCACCGCCGCCGAAAATTTCCTACTGCCCACCATCACCTCTGCCGCCACCGCCTCCGCCTCCGCCTACTTACATATACGCATATCCGCCGGGAAACTTGTACCCCATAGACCGAGACTTTGGAGCGGCGGCTGCAAGAGAAAGCTTCAAGGTGGTGAAGCTTTTCGTTTCTGGGGTTATGGTTTTTATGATACTTTGATTATGATCAGAACTTATTCATTTTTTTTTGTTTTCGAAATTTCATAGGGCTTCGCATAAAGATTTTGTTAATTTTGAACGGATTGTGGTATGTTCTAGCTACGTATAATATCTCTTTAGCTATCACTGTCCAATAAAAATATATGATCGCTTGAGAGTTAATTTTTCTAATTAGGATCGTATTCTGTTACGTTACAATTTATAATTACAGATTTGTCCGCGGCAACCATTAGAGAGGCCTTAAATGAAACCAAGTATATCTTTTTTTTTTTGGGGTTTGTAACCAAGTATACCTAGGAAGCCGATTTTGTATAAAGACTTGAAGAGTGTTAATTTGTGCGAGTATGATATTACTATTAGTAACATGATGGTGTGTTATGGAGAGAGTGAGTACAAGTTTAGTGGACGAGTCTATATTGCGATCTGACGCGTTTCATATTATGGTCCAGATTTTGACCGATTAGATCAGAGAAACTCAAACTTTTTCATCAAAAGTCCTTTTATCGACTGTGTGTGATGGTAGACGCGTAGATGGAGAAAAAAAGAAACTAATAATAACACTTGTTATGGAAATGTTGTCTTAGTATTTTTTTTGGCAAAATATATATATTATCCATTCTTTCACATGTGAAATTTTTAATATGAAAACGACCAAAACTCAATACAGTATAGTTTCCCCCCTATTTTCTTTCCTATTTTTCATCTAAAAGTATACATTACCCATGGTATGACTTTTTTGTATAACAAAGCAACAATCTTTTTTTCTTTTCAAAGAACCAAAAAAAAAAACATCTAACTCTTTACCGATATTTATAATTTATGAAGTCTTGAAAAACTCGAGACGAGGAACACCTAAACGAAGAGAGTACGTAGCTTTTTTGTAGTCACCCCATGTGAACGAATTATACCGCGGTGGGTTGTTCGGCGACACCATCTTTGGCAACGGTGAAATTTTTGCCTCTAACGGTGGCGCTGCAAAGTACATCGCCGACATACGAGGCTTCTTTGCTGTGTTTGCTAATACCCTGTGCCTCACGCTAGTGAATCTCCCATTCGTCAATGCCTGTATTCAGAGAGATTGATTCATTAATCAATTGATTGATGAAACATAATAGTAGATATTTATGTGTTGATTATGATTATGATAAGACATACCTGAAGGCAGTCACCGACCAATACGAAGAAGCATGTAGGGTCAGATGGGATTGGGATCCATAAGCCGTCACGTGAGCAAATCTCAAGTCCGTCTACGTCGTTAGATCTTAACACCGTCAGGATCTGAGGGTCAGAATGCTCTCCGAAACCTATTTGGCTAACGCCTCTCACCGCGTACGGTGCAGGTGGATAGTGATTTACCCTCAAGATCGAATCGCTACGTACGTCTCTGATCAGCTCGCTCACTTCACTTGACCTCTGCCCCCATAATTTCTCGACCGTCAGATCTATGATCTCACATGCCAAATCTTTGACCGCGCGTATGTACTCGTTCGTCGCTGAGCTATAAAAGAGAAAACAACACGTGGTAAATTTTATCAAAACGCACTCATCAGTTGACAGAGAGACAAATTGCGAATTATTATTCTTTTTTTACGATCAATATCAAAAAGAGAGAAAAGACATGAGATTGTGTTCAGAGGAATGTTCGAAAGTGAGCGATTCCTTATTTTACAAGTTGTCATTTAAAAAAATGATGAAGAAAAAAAACCAGTCAAAGCTTGATTTATTGACGTTTCGAATTTTGATTCTTTGACCTCTCAAAGTGTGTTTTTTTCTTTCTTTCTGTGTTCATGCACAATCTTCCACTAATTGACCAAGTCTATTCAACAATTGTTATTTATATTAGTATTATATTGTAACGTTGGTATTAACATGGAGCCCATGAATGATATTTTAAAATTCGATTCCCACCAAGATTTTAACAAAAATATAGTTTAAAAAGGTAAGCTTATGCCACCAAACTAAGGGAAAAAATAAAATAAAAGAGTTTGATTAAATCAAAACCATGTCGCAGTCAAGGTTGCAAAAGCACTTTTCACAAAACTTGATATTTATTTTTGATAAATCTAGAAGAAGAAGAGAAATGGCTGGCATCCTAATTATAACCACATATATATACCCTACAATATACATATACTTTGAACCAATAACAAAATCCAATTGCTATATATAAGTATTATTGATTTACAACAAACTATCAGGTGAACCGGCATTAGGTTGGTAATGATTAATTTAATTATGTACCACTAATATTTTTTTTATTTTTTTTGTTAAGACAAACGATATGGGAAACTTTAGTGGCAATAAAGGAACAAAGACTGATAATAATTAAAAAGCCGTGTCTTGTGGTCATTATCCATTATTCGACATTGCATCTCTCTCTTTTTAGGTATCTCACAAGTCACATTGTCACACAATCCACATCAATTTCAATTTCAGTCGGGTCAACTTTCATACACTCACACACATAGACATATACAAATATTTATAATCAAATTTATTTTCTAGACGCAACAATATAGATTGCTCAGTTCCACAAACATACCTATATGGTTTTTAATTTTCTCATGCACAAAAAATACTATAGGTTCAATAAACCAATTATATACACAAAAGTATGTCAAAGACAAATCTTTATAGCTTTATAAATAAAAGTTGGTGTTTCTAATAATAACTAGTAACGAATACACACCATACAAAATAATGAAATATGTTAAAGAAGAAGCAAGTTTTGTAATATGTACGTACCTGAACTTGAAGGGATCGTCATGGGAGATAGTCTCAGATTTGTCAACGACAGCTGTCGGGTTTGCGTGGAGAAGAAGATACTCAAGCTCACCTAAATCGCCGTTAAACCCGATGTTCTTGCATCCGTAACCGAACGGACTCGCCGGACCTGCCCTTAGCTTATCAGATTCCGGTTTGTTAAAGAACTCTTCTCCTTCGTGCTCGAATCTCGTTATGATATCCGGTTTAACTCCGTGGTTTATCACCTTGAAAAACCCGTTAGCCTCGCAGGCCTTCACGATCTCCTCCGATAGTTTTGATCGGTCGTTAATAGAGAAATCGATCACCGGAAAGTTATATTGCGGTGAAGGTTTCGCTATCTTTCCTGTGGTTCGAAAGGGCGTTGAAGATGGCAAGACCATGTCTTCTTTTCAAAGAAACAAATATAGACTTTATGAAAGAAAAAAATATTAGGAAGGAATGAAATCAGGAGGTTTTGAATCTGAATGAAGAGAGTGAGAGTAGTCTATATATATATAGTGTATGGGGAGAGTAGAAAAGGTTGAATTTGTATAAAATAAAAATAAATCGAAAAGTCTTTTTCGGATTTAGTTTTTAAATGCTACGGTTTCCATACGGTTGACAAATGGGGAAAATTAAAGTAATCGTTTCATCATACATATCGCGTAAGGTGGGCATGTCATCAATGGGGACGGTCGACTTTTTTAAAAAAACACAAAATTATTGCCAACGATAGAGATGAAGCTTGTCTATTTACGAGAGTACTAAACATTTTTATCTCTATCAAGATGTTATTTTAACCACAGGCCTTATGCATTTATCCGCCTAACCATATTCTTAATTTAGGCAAGTTTTTTTTTTAATTTTTTTTTTTTTTTTAATACTAATTCAGTTTTTGGGAACATTCTTTCGCAACCTTGTTGCTATAAAAAACCGGGTAGTTTGAAATTTGGTGGTAGGAGGAAATTAAGATGTTGATGTTCAGTTCTTAAAATAACATAAAGATTGCGCACTTATTGCCTAAAACACCGTGTTTGGTTACTCATAAGACTCGCGTATATTTTAATAATACTTGATTGTGTTTTCTATACTAGTAAATATAATTGGGGCCTTATATTATTAAATACTACTCTACAATAGAAGTTGGATCAATTATTGTTGTGACTTAAATTGTCAAATACTATAGTCTATAGGAGAAGTCCGATTTTTAAATGTTAAAGTTTGGCATAAGAAGATAACAACAGTTAATGATTTGTTTATATACGACTTAAATATATCAGTTTGTTTATATCCAATAATAGTACACTTCTCTTAATTTATTGTTAAGAGAGAATTAAGATAGAGTAAGGCAACGTAGGCTAGACATAGATCACGGTAGATATATGTTGTTAAATGTAACCAACAAAATGTATAACATTTGTCTTTCGATAAAAACATAGGTATTTTCTGATGGAGAGAAGAAAAGAATAGAAGAGGCGCGTGGAAAGAGAGAGAGAGAGTCACAAGGGTGAGGGGATGGGGCAGGTGTAAGGCTGATATGTCGGCACGTAGTAGACATGGTCAACCATGACGGCTCTTATTAGCCGTCCGATTAACAAAACTAAAACACTCTTTGTCCATTCATAGCCCATACATACATAAACATTTTGTTCTTTCAATTATTATTCTCTCTCTTTCTCTACCAATACCTAGTACCTACCCATTCATAAACATTTTTTTCTTTTTAAATATTTTTTTGGGACTTCGATTATAAAAGATGTATTTGTTTAAAAGCTTAATTATGTTCCAGTTATACCTCTTTTCTCGTACAATGCAGAACTAATAATTTTTCTATTTGATTGTTTGTTCCTCGAATGTTAAAAGGAACTAGACTACACAACACAAGTCATCTATCCAACAAATCGATGTTTTCATTACTTGAGTTGTTTGTATGTTAATCTAGGTTCACAGATACTCGCATTGGGTAATCTGTATATATACTATATATTTGTATGTTTAACAACAAAATGTGAATGAAACTAGCTAGAGAGATATGGATGGATACATTCGATTCATTCGTCCAATTTCCTATAAACATTCAAGAAATAAATAAAAATATAGAAAAGAAGTATGGGGAGAGAAGTTGACCAGAGACAGGATGGATCAATGGAACATGTCATCTGACATATTCAGCCGACATTATCCCCATGAATGAAACATACACATCGGTTATGTCAAAACCTAACTCTCTCGTTTTAAAATTTTGGTGACCATTTGTTAAAAGATTTCTCTGTTAGTTTATCATTTAATTATACGTCTCTTCTTGTATTTATAAATACATATCTTAGATCAATTATGAGTTTAAAGTAGACAGTCGGTCACCCAACTCCGAGACATCCAATCTGAGGTCTCTGTTTGATTAATTAATTTCATTTCATTTTTTTTGGTTGTATTCTATTTATTCATTACCATTTTTAGCTATTAATTATCACCATTGTTAAATTATGTAGCTGGCATAAATACTAATATCAATACCGATACAAGAAAATACCAAATTCGATCGTACAATATTTTCAGGTTTATATCATAATTTAGTATTAACAATATACCAGTGACGTTTTAGGAGTTCTCAAAATGAGTTCTTCAATGTACATAATTTTAAGATGAACCTGCGTTGCGTATATATGCACGAATCAATTGATATTTTTTTGTAAGGCGTGATTTGGGCTACTGTCGGAACATGAAATATGATTACGTGACGTGGATAATGCATTGTATTAATTAAGAAAAACAAAGGTTAGGTTTGTCATTAAAGTAGTAGTAATAAGGTTGTGGCAATGGCATGCAAAGAGCCGGGCGACACAAACTACAAAAAGCAAATGGGGAGGGCACATGCGTGGGGGATGGGATGAGCACAACAACGGCCGTTGGAATCTCTCTTTGGTCGTTGAAACGCTTTTTCCTCCCTTCTTAAAATATCAAAATTTACTTTATTAATATTATTATTATTATTAGATAAACTTTGATACAAGAAGACATGTAGTCAACACTATGCTTCCGACATAGTGTCATGAAATTAATGTGGGGAGAATTGAGTAAGAATATCATATGATTACCAATATATTAATTATAACGTGCATTTATAGTTATATATGTATATACCTTATGTAAGTAAATATGACGTTTTTGTAAATAATTATAATTGTGACAAAACATTATTCACTACAATTTGTAATCACTGATTGGATGAAAGAGTGCAAGCTTATTAATAATATATATATGCAGGGGCGGAGGTAGAGGGTTAGTAAGGGTGTCAATTGACACCCATGAATTTACAAAAAAAAATTATTTACTTGTATTTTTTTAAACAAAATTCAGAAAATAGATAAATATATGGTTATTGACCCCCATAAAATAGTTAGAAATATGTTTACTGACCCTTACCAAGCAATTTTTTTTAGAGAATTTGGTAATTAGATAAAAGTTGACCCCTATAAGAGTAAATTCTACCTCCGCCACTGTATATATGTGGTATTGTAAGATGATATTTAGGCTAGTTAATCAAGTAATAATACTATGTACTATTATTGTTGTAAATGGTCGGCTAGTGTGTTCAGAAAATGCATTAATGTCTTCTCATTAAATGACTAACTTTTAAACCTTCATGTCCGATATATATCTTCCCCTTTCCATATCAAAATTTTATGGGAAATACAAATACTTAATTAGACCGAGCCCATTAAAACGAAGCCCAATTTCAAGCCGCCCTTTCCACATCTATCGGTGGACCAAGCTTGCTTATTCATCAGGTAAATTTCTCGCTCCTGTTTCCTCTGTTTCTTTTGAAAATTCATTGGAAACCATTACTACCGCCGTACGTGTTCCTCTCTCGGTAGCTTTAATCTATCTCTCTGAGTAGTGCTGTTTCTGATGATGTTTGATTTACGTTCTAGATTAAAGACCTTACTGCGATTTACTTTCCTTAGTTTTTTATTTTATTATTTTTTCGTTCAAGAGTCGTCTCGCGAATGATGAAGAAGGCTACGCAGGAGGAGGAGGTTGTGGCTGTAACAAACGTCTTTTGGGACATCAATACGTGTCCGGTTCCCGATGGCTGTGATCCTCATCTGGTCCGTCCGTGTATTAAACGGCTTTTGGAGAAGAATGGCTACCGTGGAGAAGAATGGCTACCGTGGTCCTTTCACCGTCACTGCCTTTGGAAAACTTGCGGACGTCCCTATTGACATGCTGAGAGGAGTCTTTTCCAGTGGAATCGATCTTATCCTTGTCCCTTTCGGTTAGTATCTTCTCATCCTTTTGCTTTTCTCTACAGTAATGGATGTTGAAATAGATCGAGAGAGTCTCATGTCTTTTTGTTTTTCTCAAACAGGTACCTCAGACATTATCGAGATAATCGATATCACCGAGAGCAATCCACCTCCAGTTAATTTTATGGTCATATCGGATCCAAAGGCCTGCCCTGATTTAACTCTGTTTCTAAAATCAATGTCCTACAACCCTCTCCAGCCGTTTCCATATCATCTTTCTATGGAAACCTTACTTGAGGAAGATGCGTGTTTGTCCTCTCTCACTTTGTTGTTGTATTATAAATAACCACCAAGTTAATCTGTTGCTTGACCAAGTGGCTACTTTTTTCCCCCAAACATATTCAGGTGGAGTTCCCGCAGAAACTACTGACTCTGTCTCATGGGAGTGCTTAGTATGCTGCGCCCCTGATCCTCCTGGCCGAAGCTTTGATACTTTCGAAGCACATCTTTCTAGTGAAGAACATCATGAAGAGGTGGTAAGTATCCTATCATTGCAATTGTCCCATCTGGTTTTTCAGTCAAACACCCTACTTCCTAGTTTTGACCTCTTGTTCATTTGTTCTTGCTTCAGTTGTTGATGCAGACTAGGGGGCCTACTGTGCAACCGGTTCTTGATTTGCATCTAAGCAGACTTGTAGAGGCACCCTTACTTACCCAATGTGGGGATAATATGGTAGACTGGGAGGCACCCTTACTTACCCAATGTGGGGATAATATGGTACCCAATGTCTTTTGGGACATTAATTCGTGTCCGGTTCCCCCTGACTGTGATGCTAGTATGGTTGGTCCGTGCATCAAACGGTTCTTGAAGAAAGAAGGCTGCTCTGGTCCTCTCCATCATTGCCATTGGAGATCTAACAGACTTTCATCCTGGCACACTCTCTGAAGTCTTTTCCAGCGGAATCAGTCTTCATTATGTCCCCTACGGTTAGTATATTCTCTCGTTCTACAGTATTTCCTTAATTAATAGAGAGTGTTTTAAGACTTAAGTTAGAAATTTTTGAAACAGGTTCCTCAGACATTGAGAAACTCATTTATGACTTTTCTTCTTGTTCTGGACCTCCACTTAACATAATGGTCATATCCAACTGCAACAACTTTGCTTGTATGCCTGACTTTATACAACAGAGATTCAACCTACTAAAAACCTTTTCCAAATGATTCTCTTGAGAGACTTATTCTCGCAGGTGTGTGTTTGTCCTCTCTTGAAGTGTTGTTCAAAATAACCAGCAAATATACTTTTCAACTGACAACTCTTTCTGTATTTCCACAGACTCAGGGTATCTTAAAGAGGATAATTGCAGTGAATATTTATGGTTTTGCTCACTATGCAACGACAGGAAATTTGTCCATGCGACCACGTATTTGAGTTCTTTTCACGGAAGCTTTGAACCTGTTTCCTCCTTTGAAAGATTCATCTGGCATCTCCATGGTTCAATTCATCGATGGAAGGTAATCAGGCATTCTAGCCAAACTGTAACGATGACTTGTTCATTTTGTCAAACAAGCTCTTTATAAGTAGTTTACCTTTCTCACTTTGTACCCCTTGTTGTCTTTTTTTTCTTCTGACTGTTGATGCTCATTTCAAGCAGATGTTGGAGCTGTGTCCCTTAAATGAGCAATTCCAACGCATGAGTGAACCACTAAGTGTTCCTCGTGAGAAAAACCTGAAGGCTGTAACCTCTGTCTATTGGGACATCAAGTCGTGTCCGGTTCCACATGGCTGTGATCCTCGTCGGGTCGGTCGTTGTATTAAGCAGTTCTTGGAGAATAAAGGCTACTCTGGTCCTCTAACCATCACTGACCATCTCTTTTATTACCACCAAAAAAAAAAAAAAAAACTTACCTTGTATATAAACTGGAACACACAACACAAGATAGAAAAGTTACAAAACAAGATAAACATTGTTAAGTCGATTGGTACATCTTTGTCCTCTGTAACCACTTCTTATCACAAGTTCACCATTTTTTGTATACATATTAGGACACACATACAGTATGGAAACTGTTATAAAACAAGATAGATATAACAGATACTTCTACAGTCTACAGATCTTGGAAAGTAGTATGATCTCACTGATTGATATCGTGTTCTTGAGATAGGAGAACATTGGCTAATTTTCTTGACGAATTTTTGTATCATCCTGAGAAAGGAACCAGCTGATATTTTGTCCAAAAGGCTCGAGTTTTACCAAGTAACGCGATAGGTCTGGACTATTCTCCATAGCCTAGGAGAACAACCAAGAATGAATTCTTATAGGGCTCTCTGTTTTCAGAGTTATGTTACAAAATACCTCAACAGATGACAAAAATGGCATCCACTTTGGGAACGTACAACTTGTAAGCCACGGCATCCACTTCCATCTTTACCCTGCTTAATCAACACCAGAAGAATCTCTCTAAAAAGAATGAAACTTTATAGTAACAAATCAACTTTGTGGTATAGTTTCGTTGTCTGAAGAAATTTACCATTGCATAACGGGTCTGAATGATAACGATGATAACATTCGCAAAGAAGAGGAAGAAGAAGATGATCGATATAATTGTACTGAAAAATTTGCAGACTTGGGTGATTTTCTGAAACAAACGGGCGGATTTGGTTGTTGGAGCTGTACCAGAAGCTAAGCTGTTGATGACAGTTCTTTGATTGTTCTTGAGAGCAATAGATTTAGAGTTAATCAAAAAATGAGTATTCATAGATTTAAGAGATAATTTTGTTTCTTAAAGGGACAAATTAGGAACAGAGACTTTTCAAGGACCATTATCTTTAATGTTATTACACCTCCACGCAAAGTGTTGTTGTCGTGTTTAGAAAAATAATGAAAATTGGAAAGAAGAATGCTCTCTTTGCCGTGATTTTGTTTCTTGTTTGGTTTGTTTTGTTCTGTTCTGTTCTTAGGTTTCACTCGATCAAAGCCAATTTCTCTGGTTGATTTTTTTAGTGTCTCTTTTTCTTGGTGACCTACAAACCAGAACTTCTGCAATTATTGGAGAAAAAAGATTGTAAATTATAAAAGTTAGGTGGGAATATCGATTTTTTTTAATTAACTAATCAATCAAAAATCGAAGAAGCACTAAACAAAGTTAGGTGGGAAGATGCGTAGGGTTGTTGACACACAAACTCTTTTATTTCTCGAAATTATCGTCATTCTAATAACTCCCGGTTGACACACAATTAACTTAGCTAGTCAGTACTCAGTAGTCAGTAGTGCCGAAAAATAATACGAGTACTAATTACAATTAATCATTTCTTCTTTTAGTCGTTTAGGTTACGTTACTACGTCCTCGGTTAGCCTAAGATTGTTATCTTGGATTCTTACTCATACTAGTTGTATAAATGCATGTAACTTACATATTAGAGTTTTGACAATGAATGTACGGGGACACCATCAATGATGCATGCACATGTACATATGTTATTGGTCACACAAAATGATGATTACATATTTAAAAAAAGAAAGAAAAAGATAGTTACAGTATTGAAAGAAAGAAAAAAATCTTATAAGAAAATAAAGCATATTAAGTCACACCAAAAAAAAGTCCTAATTAAGAATGAAAAAAAAAAACTACCCAAATTATTTTTTGTTGACAACTCCGTTATTACCAGCCAAGATCAAGTACTTATCTCTTCTCGTGAGGTTGGTGCACTCGAACCCCAACGCATTCCCTATCGCATGCTGCACGTGATTAGCTACCTCGAACTTAGCTTTTCCATTATCAGGTTCCCGACACGTCGACGAGTTGCTTCCAGAGATAGGGTCAAGCAATTGAACGGTATAGGAAGGGAAAGGATTCAGAAGGAAGAAAATGGGATCAAAGGCCTTAAGACCACTAGCCGTCGTGCCATAGAAGAAATTCACATGCGAGTCAATAGCAACAGGTACGATGACGTCGCTGACCTCGGAGAAAAGTGGACTAAACCGAAGCAAGTACGGTTCTCTACACGTAGTCCCTTCCGGACAAACCACGAGATCTCCTTGGCTTAACAATCTCTCCATGGCTTGACCATCTTTGACTCGGTCACGAGTCATTCTAACGGTCTTGATCGGAGCTAGTAGCTCAGATAATCTACTTAGGCTATACGTAACGGCTTTGATGTTTTTCTTTCTTAGCGCGTATGAAATATAAAGTGGGTCTAGTAACGTTCTATGGTTACACACAAAAAGACAACCTTTTCTCCGGTCGGAAGAAGCTAGGTCCTTGTGGTTGCTGACGGTTAGTGTTAGGTGGATACCGCAAAAGGCTAGGAAAGGATTGGCTACGCAGTAAGGTAAGTTTAGGCCGACGATGAGTCTTGCAGCGGCTAAGGCGGCGGAGAATGGTGCCCACATGAATAATATGAGTGTGTTTAATGGTGTTGGCTTGATGGCTAAGCGACCATCGTGGAAGATCAGTGGTTTAGGGTATTGATCTCGTGGTAAGGTTTGCCAACTTTTCTTATCTGAATTTCTGACAAAGTAAATCTCCTGCTTATATGACGAAAAAGAAAAAATAATTAGAGAAGATCACTCTAAGAAAATTAATAGATTTAATTCAGTTGAAGTGGACCTATCGAATGCGTACAAAAACGACTATTAAAGAATTAATGATATGGTTTATACTTTATACAAAGTCATAGTCTATGGTTTTGCAATTAATTGCATCAGAAGTTAATAATTTTATTTTATTTCTAAAATTTTCAAAATAGCATTTACGTGCTATACTAGATTACAACAATTCATAGTCAATTGGTTTTCGAAATAAATGCATCACATATATTACTAATTTACCTTTTTCCGAAGTAAATCAATGCATCTTTCTGTTGGTTCTCAAAGTGCCACATTTAAAACCAAATAAATTTTTATTGGGGACTTGTATAATTTATAATATAGGCATTTATAATAGCTCGAAAGTCGATACCAATCAACCAAAAAACTAGTATAACGTAGGAAAGGAAAAAAAAATACTTAAAAACTTATCATCGGGTTTCCATAAGGGTTTGTCTCTACTTGTTTCGCAGAAAAAATACAGTTTACGTTTGTTTGATATCAGTTGTTGAGTCCAAAAACTCATATAAATCACCAAAAATATTCATGTGAGGAAAAAAAACACGACTATATATAGCAGTTTAGATTGTATATTTATATACGTCACAAAATATGATAATTTACCTGGCAAAATAGAGAGAACAGAGATCTGTGAGTGGACGAGTTAAAGGAAGTGATGCCAATAACATGACCACTACTTAGTCTCTCTTCTTGAAACACTTTATCAAAAGCAAGCTCACGTTTCTGCGTATCCTCCATGATGCCTAAGTAATAACCACCAACCATTTTCATCTCTCTCCCGATCACAACTTCAATCTCCAAGTAATCTTTCAAGAAACCATCAATCATAACTTGTGGTAAATCACTGACACCAACACTCTTTCCCCCTCTCTTTAAAACCTGGAACATCTCGAGCCCAACATCTTCTAGAAAATACTTGGGCAAAACTGATTTCCCGGCTCGAAAGCTTCCCTTCTTTACTCCGAAGAAGCTCAACATCACCATCGTCTTCAAGCCCATTTCGTAGCTCATCAAGCTTATAAACGGATAGAGAATGAAGAGGAAAAATGACCTTATCACCCCTCCGGCTTCAAAAGCTACAACCATGAAGTAAGGGAACAAGGAGTCTGATTTGAGTAGAGCTCCTTCGACGTTAAAGACCAATGTGTGAGGTGATAGGTCGTGAGCTTGGTGGAGGCCGTGAGAAGGGCATTTTTGATATTTTTGTTTAGGGTTACGATGACACCAACGACGGAGAATGAAAAACCTGTACAAGAAGATGACAAGGCCTCGAAGAGTCGAGATCTTATTATTACCGGACATGGTTTTGAGTCTTTTGACCTCTCTTTCTTCTTCTCTGTGTTTACTATTATTACTATTATATAGATGTTGCTGTATTCTAGACTCTGCATGTCGAGAGAAACGGAAGGGGACTGACATATATATAATGAGACCATGACGCAAATACCCTTCGAACGTGTTTAGTAATTACAAGGGAATGCCATTGACGATGGTTCCAATTCTTCTTTCCCGTACAGCTTGCATGATTACAATTAATGATCTGAATGTTTTAGAATCTGAAAAGTACACGTACGCGTTCATCTTTTGTTTGGTTTTATGACTTTATCTATTCTACTAAATATATTTTATGAATGCGTATCTAGTACTTGTTTAACATTAAAAAATAAAAATGTGAAGACTTATTGATTAGATATTATTTTTGGACAAAGGGAATAGTTCAATTTATGTCGGTTTCTTTTTCCCTTTTTTGTTTTTGTTTTTGGTTTGTTCGGTTCTTAAATAATAAATATCGAAACGAAATTATCCAATTACGGTTCGTTAACTTGAATCTGTTCTTTTTTTTTTTTTGGTGTACAACAGGACGAATAAACTAACAGATATTATTGTACGAGGTGGATATATAAAATATGATTATTTTAATCAAATATTATGAATAAACTAATATTAATTCTCAATCATACAAGTCTAGACTTTTAGGGGGGTGTATTCAAAAGAGCATTTTAAGAGATTTGAGTTTTATTGAGATTTTGATGATTTTATGGAACTTCATATGATTCATGTAAAATCCTTTCAAATCCCATCTAAAATTATGAGATTTGGATTCTTATATTTTTAACTAAGAAAGTTCTCAGAATTCCTCTAAAATTCTCTGAAATCGTTTAAAATCAAATCCACAAATTGTTTTCAATAACAGTGGATTTTAAGGGAGATTTTAAAATGATTAGTTCAATAACGCTAGATTTCATGAGACTTTTTAAAATTCATGATTGAATAACACTGGATTTATAAACTTTTTACAAATCACTTGAAATTCTACTTTTAATACACCCCCCTTAGTTTCCAATAACTCGGCTGCTGAGTGTGATAGAGCCACTTGATTAACGTCATTTCATCATTTAAAATTTAATAAATAAGATAAATTTGTATATAGTTATATAATAATATATGTAGGATGTAAAAGAGATCCGTTTAATGTTGCGAATTGTTCTCTTCGATTGTTTATTTTCTTAATAAGATAATTTTTAAAATCCCATGTTATTTTATTCTAGCTTCCGAATTACACAAAGTTCTGTATTTCAAAACTCTAAACTTTTACAAAGACATATATTCAGTAAACTTTCTAAAAAGTGATTTTTCCATTCAGTGGTTACGGTCTTTTTTTTTTTTTTTTTTTGTGTGGTTACGGTCTTAGTTAGGAGGACGTACCAATTAAGAAAATTATAGCCAAATGAAAACTACTTTAGTATTATATATATATCAGCTTGAAACAGAATGAGAAATTTGAGCCGTACTATAAGACATTTCTAAAAATCGTGGAAAAGATGTATTAATCATATGAATTAATGTTTTGTCTGAAAATGTTCAAACATGATGTGCGACGTGAACCTAATTTATATATGTACGCTCCAAAATGATAACAACCAAATCAAAGAAGGCTCTAAATGTATACATAGATACATATATGTTCACATTAAAGTTTTGATTTTGATGACAAATTAAATTCAATCATCTCAAACGTTAAGACGAAAATTCTCCAATTGAGTATACTTTTTCTATATCGGGATATAGATATTCATAAATTTGTTGAGATTGAAAATGAAACGAAGTATTCGACAATAGTAAAAGGAAGGGTAACTATGAAGTTCAATAGTTAGTGAAATTCGAATTCTGACATTGAAGGCTTGACTTGCAAGACAAATCTCTCACCGATCTAACTTAACTTACTTTACTTAGTGGAGCTAAAGTGTAAAACTAGAAACTAAAATAGGCGAAACTGGAAAATAATAGGGTACATGAGCAATGAACATGCTACAGAGACTATCAGATTGTCCGTGAGTCCGTGACCGATGCCCGTGGGACGTGGATCTCTCATCAATATATATTGAGTATTTTTTTTTTTTTCAGCAATATATATTGAGTATATTATATCTTTTTTGGTTTTAATATAAAAGTTACTTATTTTAGAAACTTTAGTCAAATACGCAAATTGTCATTCTTTTTTCGTATTATCCAATAAAAAGTCTCACAATCAGGAACTCTCGTCCCCGTTTTATGTATTATCCAATAAAAGCCTCACAATCAAAGAATCTTGTCACCGTAACATCTAAACATCTAAATTAAGAATATCAACTATACAAACGAAAGCACGTCATTTGTGATTTATTATTAGTAACAACAACTCAACCGATCGATTACGACAAAAAGAAAAAATGATTTCTCAGATTCCCATCTTTTGTCGGTTAACATTTAGCAGATAGACCAGCCATATAAAAATCTTATCAAATAGAATTTTTATATACGAGTAGAACAATAATGGCTTTTACATAAACAATATATTTAAGAGTAGGGTTTTGAAATGTAGATATTGTTATAGAGACCACAAACGTTGCAGGATACAATTGGCATGGTAGTCCTTTTCAGATTTTTTGAACTGAACAAAAAATATATTTATATAATTTTCTTAAGGTCAATAACAAGTTTTCCATCATTTTTGCTTCATTAAATACCCCAATCACGTAATTACTACGATACTCACAAATCACTTATACTTTTCAAAATAATTGAAAAAATGTCCCTGTTGGTGAAGGTCAGGATCATTGTTTGAAAGAAGTCGTTTTTACAAAACTTTAAGCCTATACAAAGGAGAGACAAGGGAAAGAACAAAACTTTAGGAAAAAGAGTTAACAGTTTGACTCAAGACCAAACATAGAACTCATCTAGTAACGTCTCTGGAGTCTCCTTCTTCCGCACCAGATATGCGCTTCCTCGTGTACCTGAATTACACACAAATTCGAATCAGATAATGATATTGTTCATATTAGCAGTTGTCTTTAGAGAGTTTCTTCTTTGACTAAACAATGAGAATGGAAATTATAGAAATTGTTGCTATTCTTCATCTTCTTACCTGAATGAGGTGGTCGGGCTGGGATCGGTTTGCTCAACGGGAGCAAATTCATTGTAGAACTGAACTGATATCAATTGGTTGGTAGGTGAAACAATAGGTGCAGGTGATTTGTCTGAACTCAAGCTCGAATTTCCCGTGAAGAAGCCTGCAACACGAAAATGAGAGTTGCTTCTAAGACATTTTTGGTCTTCATAATGGAATAGGAACAGAGCAACCCCTGTTTATCCAATAACTCAGATGATACAAGACTAATTAGATAGTTTTTTCAGTCAAACCAAAGTCTCCTTAAGTCCTAATAAAAATTAATCTAAACCATATACCAGTAGTTACTTATGAATACAAACCAATAGAGAATCTTAGGACCTTAGGATCTTCATAGACGGATTCATTTCAAGACCAAAATAGCTATTTTTTGGATTCATTAAGAGTCGAAAAGGGAATAGGAATAAAGCTAATGTTCACAAAGAGACTCAAAATAGTACCTTGGACAACTAGAAAGACGAAGAACAGAAGCGTTGCTATCATTGAGGAAATGCTAATGCATGAAGATGATGATGACGAAGACTTGGCTGCTTTCATTCTTTTAAGGGAATTTTTCATCCGTTCAATCCTTTCCCGCTTTCTCATAGCAAGCTCTGCTATTTCCCTCATGAACTTATGGTCATTTGCACTCAAGGAAGGGCCTTTTGGCGGTCTTGGAGGCTTTGAAGCTTTTCTAGACTTCTTAAACTTTTCATTATCGCATTTTTTCTCTGAAAGATCCAAACTTTGACTGTTTGTGCCTACCCTGATATCGTCACCCAGTAATGTATAGACCAGATCATCAGCAATTCTTTCAGATGCACTGAAATTCACCCGTTCACTCCAGTCCCCATTGCCTGAAACCGTAGCTGATGTGGATTCTCGTGTAACATCAGATCGACCAACTTCAATGTCTAATTCAAGATCTTGCTCTCTTGAAAACACTCGATCCATCCTACACTAATTTTCTTCTCAGCCTACAGCTTTTTATATCCCTTGGATAAACCACCTATCTGACTTAATCGTCCTGGAACGTGAAAAAAACGAGAGATTAGCATACCAATCAATCATCCTTAAACACACAAAAGAGAGTAACGAAGACAAAATTGATACAGAGAAGAATGCTAATATTGGTTCACCTAAAACCCTAAGTCGGGTGACAAAGTAACCTGATTTTGCTTAACCCACCAAATCAGTGACTTAATAACCCTTCGAATCAATTCACCAACACTATTTTATCTAAGATTTCGGTACTGAGAGATTGAGACCAATAAGAATTCTATACACGGAATTGCGCCATTCGATTTCCCAAATCCTCTAACAAGGAGACAGAGCAAGCAAACAAGTGTTTCGAGAACCATCACTCAAGAGAGACAATGCAGCATCAACTCCCGAAAAAACGACCTAAGCTAAGCAAAGGTTACGCACAGACTTAAGAGTAAACTCTGTAATAAACCCAAAAATACACAAATCACAGAAGAAATCTGTGGAAGCAGAAAAACGAAATCTTTCAGTGCGAGTGTCAAACCCTAATCAACTGAGATGTGGAAGACAGAAAGGGGAAGAGTTTGCGAATGCGAGACACTGGAAAAAAGAGGATTAAGTTTAGTATTCACCTCAAATTAGGGTTCTTCAAGTTGAAATTTGTGAAAGGACTTCTCTGTTCTTCTTCTTCTTTTGTTGTGCATCCGAGATTATCTTTGTGTAGAGGTAATATATATATATAAACAAAACAGAAAGCTAAAAGAATGTTTTGTTTTTTTGGATTGTTATGTCGCCGAACGGATTTGACAAAGAACGTTGCGACCCGATACAGACGTGCCAGCTTGTTCCGAATCTATTCTACGCCGTTTGTTTTTTTTATTTGTTTCCTTTTTTTTTTCTTCTTCAGATTCGCTTTTAATCTTTTACTTTTTATCACAATTGGATAAAATCGATTCGCAGATATTTTTTGTCCAATTATAGAAAGAGAATTGGATAATAATTACTACTTTTTTCATAATTGTATAGATTTATCAGATTTGTAAAAATGTTATAACTGTTATTTTCCTTTTTAAAGCTATTTTTACATCTAATCCAGTATTTGTTTCTCTTGTAAATACTTTTCTTTTCTTTTAAAAATATTATTTGCCTAACTTAGTTGCTGGCACACTGGCACTAACAAAAACATCATGAGTCATGGACCACACCACAGTTACCAAATAATTTATTTTCTTTTTGGCGGCAGTCGGTTATTGGATTTGGATAAACAAACATATTATTGGTTGACAATTTTATAAAAAGAAAGTTATAAAAATTTGTTGACAAAGTTTGGGATACTTCAAAATAAATGCATCTTTTCCTGAGTATCTATTTTGCATACGCATGTATGAATGCAAAATATAATAAAATGAACGAGTTATTGTTAATATTCATATCATATGGCTTATTTATATATTCCTTGCGTATGCGTTCGTTTCATAAACGAGATTTGGGGTTGGAACATATGCAGCCGCCGAATGAGAGACCCAACGCCAAAACTGCAGTGGTCTACATTACTTTTAACGGATTGGCCAATGCTCGTATTGCTGGTGATGAACGTAAAGCTATCGTTAGAAGAGTCTTCAATTAGCATACAAGATGCTTGTCTATCAGGGGTAACTTGATTGGAGAGAACGATTTCGCAACCATTGACCATGATTCTTATTTCAACTCTCCCGTGCATCAAGAAGCCATTGTCGTGCCTCGCAGCTGAGGCAGCCGCCGTGGGTGCGTAAACCTGAATAGTATGCTGTCTGGTTGATGTCAAGAGATCCATTTTCAACTATGGATCAGATAAACAAACGAGTTATTTTGTGTGTATCGTGGATTTTTAGGTGTCTACTCTATATTTAATGAATAATGCAGTGTTTGTAGATTGTTAAGCGTCTACTGTTTATTGAAACAGTAGGTTAAACGCACACATAGTCAAAGACTTTCAAAAAGCTAGTTTGTTTCCTAAAACTCAACTCAAAAGAAACACAAGTCTAAACACAATGTTCAGTTGTTCACATAACAATTATTACCAAATTACTGCACGTTAATTTAAGGACAAACTTTTCCAAGCAAGTCTTGGATCTCCTCGCTTACTTCGATCTCGTGTTGAGACAATCTCTCTCGCATATCAGGGCGAGTTTTCCCTGATGCAGCATAAGTCTTTATAAGAAAGGTCGCAGTGTCAGAGTCAAAAGGTCTCCACTTCGACAAAATCCTGCTGAATTCTTCTGCTCCATTAACATCTTTAGCGTTCTCAAAGTGAAGATAAAACAAGCTGACCAGCTCTGAGCTCCAGCTCCACTCGTCTTTGTTCTCTGTGGAATCAGAAACCGCTGCTTCCAAATGCTTCATAGCCAAATCTGCTTTACCATTCTGTAATAGATGGATCATCAGAAGCTGTCTCGCTTTGGAGAAAGGTCCTTTAGACTTTTTCATGGCACCATCAAGAATCTTCTCTGCTTCTTCATGCATATTCCCTTTTAAATACGTGTTAATTGCGATATTAGCCAGCCTCATATCATAAGCCCAGCATTTAGATTCCCATTCTGTGAAAATCTTCTTAATCCCATCTAAGTCGCCGAGTTTACTCATTGCCTGTAACATGACAAGATAGCTCATGTTGTTGACCTCAGGACGAGCCTTCTTCAGCAATTCCCAAACTCTAAAAACCTCAGGAGCTTTCGAGATTCCAGCGTACAAACTGATGAGAAAATGGTGGGAATCACGGTAGTTAGGGTTCATCTTCTCCTCCATAGATTTCAGTGCAGATTCCGCCTTCTCGTAAAGACCAGCTTTAGTGTAGATTGCAGCCAGATTAGAGAAAGTATTCCAAGTGGTTTTAGCTTCACTGTCTTTTCCCATTTCATCTATAATCTTCTCTAGTCCATCTAAGTCATTCAAACTTCCACAGCTCTGCATCCATATAGAGTAAGTGACGCCAGAAGGAGATATATCCCTCTGTTTCATCTCATTAACCAACACAGGCACCTTCTCGGGTTGACCCAACCGCATGTACATGGACATCATGTTATTAAAGGGTAACGAATTGTTAGCAAATTTGAGCTCATCCATTTTCTCAAAATGAGCTTTTGCTTTCTCTTCCTCAAGTACAACACAGTAGCAGTTCATTAGCGCCCCATAAGTCGACTGATGATTCTTCACAGAAGGATCTAAGTTGTTAAAGTAGTTCTCAGCTTCTTCTAAGCCTTTAGTCTTTCCAATTAGATCCAAACGAATCGCATGATCAGAGACAGATAATGTCATTTTCCTCTTCTCCATCCAATCAAAGATCTGGCATATCATTAACAATGAGTATAACTCCAATTAAAGCATAAAACTAGTGAACTCACAAACATAAAAAAATGTCATTTTTAGTCTTCATCCATTCGAAAGAAGTGAAATTTCATTCAGAAACGAGTATTTCCCTAAGTAAAACCCTAAAACTAGTGAAATTACTAAACTTTTAACAATGATTTGAATCTACAACAAGCCCCTTTCGGATAATGTTCCATAGATGATGAAACAGATCAGAAAACGTAATTGCTCTAAGAGATGCAAAAAAAGGGAAACATAAACAGACCTCAAGAGCATGTTGATGTCGACGGAACTTGCGAAGATCCTTAGCGCAGCGAAAGAGATCGTCTTTTCTGACCGTAACACCCTCCATGATGAACTGATTTAACGTCTCTGCCACTGTCCCTCCCGTCACATTAAGCTTCGAAAGTTTCTTGTACAACTCTCGCTGCCTTGACGCCGCCGTCGGAGCAGAAACAGAGCCTTGGACTCCATTCGCCGCCGCCGGAGCAAAAACAGAGGCTTCGACGCCATTCGTTGCCGCCGGAGAAACGGCCGTTGCACAGAATCTCTTGCCTAGGCGAGAACCGGAAGCAACCAGATTACGGAAATTCATTGTCAAACGATCAAAATCTATTTTTTCTCAAAACCTATCGAGGAGGACTTACGGAGAGTGACGATGGTAGGGTTTAAGGCAAGAACTTTATGTCGTTTAAGGTACCTGTAAACGGCGTGTAGTTTTACTATACATAAGGCTTGGACGCTTGGTGTCGTTTTTATGTTTTCAATATAAAAATCTTAAAAGCTTTGTTTTGGCGTAGTTTATATTTTACAGATTAGTTAGCCGCCGAACGAGACACTTTGAAAATAATACGAATGGGACTTTGAAAATTTCATTCATCAAAAGAACAAAGGAGAGGAGATTTTCCAAAGCAAGAATGGGTCTTCAAGCATTAAAAATTGAAAGCAGTCTTTTTCGGTAATACTGCAACGTCAACCGAATAAAAGTATCGTCATCCACAATGATTTTTTCATCGTAATTTATAGTTCACATTACAAAAGTAGTACACACTATCTATATCATTCAAATGATTACATTGACAAGTTGGTTTTGTTTTGTATGTTCTTGGTTTCATAATGAGTAATCTTTTAATTAGTTCAGAAAATATGTCATCTAATTGATGTTTTCCCTTTTATTTCAGTGATTAACCATTATATAGTTATTTATTGCTTTTGTTGTGTGTTTTCTAATTGTCTTGGCTTTTTGTTGTTGTACGTACTTCTATATTTAATTAAAACTATATGAAAAAAAAATCATACCAAAAGAAGCATTATTTAACGAACGAAACACATGAGACCCGTGGTATAAACGAACCTTCAGAGAGTAGACCAATGAAAAAAACCCACTATTACAAAGTTGAAGTCAACGCATTGACCATTTATACATCTATATAACAAACACCACAAACTCCTCTTCTTACACCAAAACAAACCACCAAGATCCCTCTACAGATGGCTCAACACTCTTTTCTTCTCGTATGCATCTTCCTCTCAATCTCCTCGATACTATATTTTGGCCAAACTGAAGCCACCTCAATTGAGAGTTTGGTGCCAAGATCTCTCTACGACTCAATATTCATCCATAAGGACAATACAGCTTGCCCCGCAAATGGTTTCTACACTTACGAATCCTTTGTGCAGGCGACCAGACGGTTTCCGAGGTTCGGTGGCGTAGGAAGCCCCGAGACACGAAGGCTCGAAGTGGCTGCGTTTTTGGCTCAGATATCACACGAGACTACCGGAGGATGGGCAACGGCGCCAGACGGACCATACGCGTGGGGGTTGTGCTTTAAAGAAGAAGTGAGTCCACAAAGTAGTTACTGCGATTCTTCTAATACGCAGTGGCCATGTTTCCCTAACAAGACTTATCAAGGAAGAGGTCCAATTCAACTATCCTGGTAGGTTCATCTTCATTAGTAATGGTCCGTTTATTATAAGCTTAAGTACACGAGTGTGCATTAATAATCGCAAATTCGATCTATGGTAGACTTGTTTTTAAAACATATACAGTAGCTGATCCGGTTTTAATTTTGTTACAACGTGAATGTTAGGGTATCCATAACTCAGAAAGTATGATACAAATTTAAGAATCCATTAAAGATAGTTTTACAAGTTAAGAGAACTCTAGATACATATATTCTGGTATTCGATTCAGTAATTCACATTAAAGCAACGGCAAATATCAAGGATAAATATAATTATACATCATGCAAGATCCGATCTACCATCATAATTATTTCTAATTATCATTTTTTTTTTTTTTTTGATTTTAGGAACTACAATTACGGACCGGCCGGTCGAGCCTTAGGATTTGACGGTCTAAAGAATCCAGAAACGGTGTCAACTAATTCAGTGATAGCTTTCCAAACAGCGCTTTGGTTTTGGATGACCCCTCAGAGTCCCAAACCGTCATGTCATGACGTCATGATCGGAAGATACCAACCTACGAAGGTGGATTTGGCGGCAAACCGGACCGGTGGTTTTGGTTTGACCACAAACATAATAAACGGCGGTTTAGAGTGCGGGATTCCTGGAGACGGACGGGTTAATGACCGGATTGGGTATTTTCAGAGATATACTGGGCTGTTTAAAGTAGCATCTGGGCCAAATTTGGACTGCGAAAATCAAAGGCCCTTTGCTTAAATAATTAATTTGGTTGACCCAAATATTATAACTTTGAATATACACACAAAAGTCAACATGTATGTTTAAGCTCACACATGGAGGAGCCATGAAGGTGTTTAATATGATTCTTATAATGTATTTTTCTATGGGTTGTCTTCCAATTTAATGTGATTTGATGGTTTTTGATTTCAACTACTACCTAATAAAAAAAATTAATTGATACAAAGTTATTCCCATGGTATTCTTGATGTTTTTATTTATTTCTTTATTTTGGATCTCATACCTTTTATCTCATTTTCAACAAACAACCACTATGTTGGCTACACTTTTATTTACCATATATTTTTATATTCTATTTTCTAATAATAAGCATAAGAAAAATTGTGTATGAAACTCCAAATGTATATCAAAGTTGATATAAAATCTAATGGTTTATGTTTTGATTAAAAAAAAAAAAGTGAGCTAAACTGAGGAGAAGGAAGAATCATAAGCCAGGTGGAACAGCTAGTTTTTGGGGCGAGATATAAATGCGACACAAAAGTCAGACAAAGAAACCACTTGCCACCCAAAGATTTTAAAGAGTCTCCCACTGGATTCTCTCCTCCGTTAGATTTTAAAAGAGACACAACCAACATCGATCCACAATACCACCCCGGCCCACCTTTTTTTTGTTTGGTTACTCTCTCTCTCTATATATATATATATAAACAAGTATTTAGAATCATCTATCACATGACAAGACAAAACTCCACATCAAAAACCCTAAAAGAAACAGAGAGGAGACACACAGACAAACAAGCTTCTTCCAAGTTGATCATCAATGGCGTCAATTGTTCTTCTACTCACTCAAATCCTTCACCCTACTAACCCTGAATTCCCTTCTTCTACCTCCATGATTCTCAAATCATCTTCTTCTTTTTCTTCGTCTACCTATTACACACATGAAGAGAAATCTCCAATAGCCACAGGACTCGACAGTTTCAAGATCTCACCTCTTCACGAAGATCCTCAAGATTCAAGAGTTATGATCGATTTGTTCTAAACTTAACCCATCTCTCTATCTCTCTTATGCTTTGTGTATCATTTTTTTGTTTACCCTTTTTGGCCACGAATTGTAGTAATACTTATGAGAAAATCAATGAAACCTTCACAAACGTAAGTGTAATCTTAGTATCTAATTGTTTTTTTTTTCATTATATTCTTGTTACTTGAAATTATTGAATTTGGTTGCAAGCGCCTCCACACACCAACCCAATGCTACAACACCAACAACATAATTGCCACCCAAGAATATCCCATCATGACCCGATGATGAAAGAGACGCTATCTCTGCGTCTACCAAATCAATGTATCAGAAACTGAGGAATGGCTTGAGGCCACACTCTTACTCCCAAGTACAACACTGCTTCCATGATCTCACCTTCTGGCTACAAAGGGACCAAAAGATGTCAACTTTGATATTTGTTCCTCTTAAAATTGTGAATTCGTAGTCTCAATGTTTATTACCTTTGATAAGATCCCGGTGTTGGTAGCTCCACCGATGTGTTCAGATTGCCTCGAGTATGAGACAGATACAGCTGCAACTGGAAGATAGTAAATTTTGAGAGAGCGCTTCAATTATCAAAATTACCCCTTCCCTCAATCACTACACTTTGGCTCTGTACAGAGACTATATCCCCTCTGCAATTTCATAAGGAGCTTAGTAAATTGAGAGCTTCCAAGACACACCTTAACTCGACAACAACATAACCGGCCTCTCTCGAGAAACCCTCGGCAAAAATTGTATCTCCCAAGACTACTAGCTCATTCTCATCCTTTCAAGCCACTATCTATCCAGAAGGGCTAAATCCCCTAAACCAAAGACAGACCAAACTAAATTTGTTTCAGAATCAAATCTAGTGAATCAAACCTATTTAATCAAATCTACAACATCGAATTGCATCACAAGTGAACAACTACGACAACACTAGAACAGCGAGTAAAAAATGAAGGATCAAGACAGTACCACCACCATGGCTGCGTTGCCGCCGCCGCCGGCCGGATAAGTGAGATATTTCAGTGGCGATCCGGACTAGGCCAGTTTTGTCAACACTCTAAAGAACCTTCTACAATAGCTAGAGGTTTTGAGATGAAATAAACAACGGCCCTCCTCTCACTTCGAAGATCCATTATTTGGGTTATGAAAACATACTCTACTTATATGGGCCAACTTACAAGCCCAGAAAATATGTTGGATTTAATATTATGTTCTCTATTTGGTAATGTTAGCAGAGTATCATCATTTTGTCAAAAAAAAAAAAAAAAAAAAAAAAACTTTTAAATGCCCAGGATTTGGTTATAGAGTTAGAAAATCCGCATATGCAATAGTATTTATTTTGTAAAGTATTGTAAATCATTTTTTGCTCGTAACATTTCCAAATAATATGGATGTTGTGTGTGATCCTATAATATATCTGATCATTTTTTGTTTCATTTTACAAATAATCCTTCCAGCCAATTATTATATAGCCAATAATTATAAAAAAATTCACCCTTTCTATAACAATTTTAAATATTAATGTGATAATTTTCAAAAAATAAACAAAATTGCAGAAAAATCTGATCTCTAGGTACTATGAATTGGGCAGCGGTCAGCGGATACAAGAAATAGTGTACTATGAATGGATGAATCATGGATCAACCGTTACATTCACACAAACAGTCTTTGGTATAGTTCAGCCCCAACTAAAAAGATGGGAACAATAAAAGAGAGAGAATCAAATATCAATATATATATATATAATGCGCCAACGTGTTTTGTTTTCATTAAATATAAATGGAAACAGTGTTGTAAGCAAAAGTAGATTGGAACGTATATTCCGAAAGGTCGTTGTCGTTTACAGGAGATGGGGAAACATGGAGTGGCTGTGGTTTTGCTTCGTCGATCGTTAAGACACCAACAAAAATGTCGAAAGTACCGAGTGTCAGACATAGCAGCATGTCCATCACGAGGGATCACGTGAACGACACGCATTTTCTTCTCTCTTTTCTTAAGTTTTTTTTATTGTCTTCCCAGGCCCATTTAAAAAAAAATAAAAAAAAAATCAACAACGCCTTTTGGTTAGATACATTTAAAAACTCACAACTAATATACTTCAAAATTACTCGAAATAAAATATGTATCTGATGTTCTTCTTTTTTGTTTTGGATTTGTTGATGTTTATTAATAACCAGGTAAGAGCGTAGTTTTTGGTGATTCAAAATTATAGTATGTTTGTAATTATTGGAGTTGTTTAAATTTTTATTAAGGAAATAAGTTGGACCATCGCACCTGCTAAGGTGTATGGTTGATGGCGACGTGACCCTAAAATTCCAATAAATGTGTCGTGGGGTTACCAGAAAACAAAAAGCTTATTCGTTATAGTATTGGTTTAGGGTCTACAACCCACGTGGGATTTCTGGATAAAACCCTAATTGCTTTTTTCTTCTTCTGGCATCCATTAATATTGTCATGAAACGTATTCTCTCTCTAAGCTCCAATACACATATCAATCGTTGTTGTTGAAACAAAAAAAAAAAAGAGAGAGAGAGAGAGAGAGTGCAAACAATATCATACCTTTTATGGTTCTGAATTATCGTAAACACCCACATATCGTAATAGAGTGTCAAATAGGTGATACCAGAAAAGAGAGTGTGTCAAATAGGTTTACGATTTTAATTTTATCGATCAATATTACAATATAGCTAAAACTTAACTGTTTCACAAACTTAACTGTTTTTTTTTTTTTTTTTTTAAAAAAAACTTAACTGTTTTACAATATAGATATGTGATTTGTGCATGTTTGTCACTTATTATTTACTATAACTGTCTTCTTTTTTTAATCACGTATAGTATTTAAAATTGGGTAGTCGAATAAGATATGCAGAGACGGACATCATATCGTTTTGGTTCTTATATTTAGAGAATAGAGATGACCACATTAAAAAAAAAAAAAAAAGTGAGACGAATGGACATAGATATATATTATATAATACAAATATCAAGGATAAAGGATAAGATTACAGGAAAATTTAATTAACGGATAAAAATGGTCCTACTCCTAGCTAGTCTCCTATACCCGTTGTGCACTACAGTTCTTGGTGGAGAAATAATGAAATATATATTTCAAAATGTCACTCAAAACTCATTATTTTTTGTCGACGTATATATTTTGAATATTTCATGTGTCTGTCCGAAGAGTAATTAATTAATCATGATTATCTATGCATGCAATTATGTTTTGAATATGTATGTATGCATCATGCATGCATGTAAACGTTTTTTTTTTCTTTTTAATTGTCGATGTATGCATGCCTAGATTTTTTATTTTTGTTTAGTTACGTGACGTCTAATGTCAAAACAGAAGTAATGTATATGCATAGTTTTTTGGGTAATTCTAAACAGCTAGAACGATTAAATAAAAGACGAGGTCATGTAAATTAAACACGAGTAAAAATAATAATTAAACATGAGTACTATTATGTCAAAAAAAAAACATGAGTACTAGTATTTTATTTAAAGTTGTGGTTATGAAATAATTTCACAACTTTTCCCAAAAAGTAAAACTTTAAGAAAACCATTTAATTTTCTTTTACTTTGGAAAAGTTAAATAAGTGTTTCAAATGAATTTGGTTTATTTATTTATTTTAAACAGCATTGCTATGGAATCCATTAAGTAGTGTTTTAAACTTTAGTTAAAGAACTAAATTAACTTAAATGATATCAGTATACTGTGTATTTTTTTTTTGTTGGCAGCAAATATTAATACGTTATAAACCTCGTGTGGGTTGTGTGCATTAGAATCTACGCGGATTGTTCTATTGTTGTCGGTGTACGTAAAATAATAAAAATCTTAATATTTTAGTAAAAACAAAAGCACCAGTGGTATTGTGAAGCGTGGCAAAATATGAGTGGGTCACCAATGTAGCTGACAACTATACCATCTGCCTCATCCGGTCGTCCCCTACTATATATCATAAACGAATGGGATTCTATTTTTCTCGGACAAATCTGAAGTCTTCGATCCCAATAATAACAACTTCTCCGATTCTTTCATCTCCGGGTTTCTCTTTCACTAACAACATGTACGCATAGTTTCTTGTCTTATAATTCCATTTTTCTTTTTCTTTTTCTAATCGATAATTAATTAATCTCGATCGTAACCCTAATTTACTACTTTTTTTTTTGGTTTCGCAGGTTGAATAATCAAGATTTCATGGAACTGAATTGGAGAAACGACGTTGGATCACTTGCTGTGAAAGATCAGGCTGGTATGTCAGAAAGGGCAAGAAGTGATGAAGATCGTTTAATCAACGGTCTAAGATGGAGCTATGGTTACTTTGATCATGATCAAACAGATAATTATCTTCAACTTGTTCCGGAGATCCGTAAAGAAGAAGAGAAACCAAAGGAGGATTTGTTGGTTACTGTCCCTGATGAACATTCTGAAACTGATGATCATCATCATAGTAAAGATTTTTCTTATAGGTCACATAGTCGATGTTATCTGAGAAACAAACATGACAACCCAAAAAAACGTTGTTTCCAGATCTCAAGTGATGTAAGTATATATATATATATATATATATATATTATATACATATTTCCCTTATGTATGATTTTTTTTTTACCGTTTCTAAATTTTTCTTTTTCTATTAAAAAAATTTGTGTAGGAGGAATCAGAGGACTTTACAAGAGAGGTTCCTTCAGTTACAGAAAAAGGTTTCAAGAAAAGAAGAAGAGACGAGATGTGTGATAAGATGCGTACGCTACAACAACTTGTACCTAATTGTCACAAGGTTGGTGTATATCTGTTAATATGTATTATGTCAAACACACACACATATTTATGTATATGTGTGTATATCAAGGAATCTTGCTGTACGTTTTGGTTTCTTATTAATAACCGGGGTTGTGCTATTAATTATTGGTTTTCAGATGGACAAGGTTTCGGTTCTTGATAAGGCCATAGATTATATGAAAAACCTTCAGCTTCAACTCCAGGTATATATCTTAATTAATTTTGATTTTATTGCAGTATATTTTCTTCACCCTTCATTCAATATTCTATGTATGCTCGTACATAGATATATTGAGTTGTTGAGGCTTGAGATTTTGATGGCTTTCTTGAATTCTGATTTTTCTTGTTAATTTATTCGGTTGCTTTGAATAGTTCTTGTTATCTCGCCAACTTATGATATTATTTGTTACAGTATATATACTTTTTCATATGGGTTTGTAATTGACAAAACAAATATAGCTAGCTAGCCACTTTTAAGTGTAAAAAACCGGGTTGATTAATTAGTAGACAGTGGATAACCTAGACGGTCGTTCTATATAGGTTAGTGGAATTGCGTCACTGTTCCACTAGGCACAATCATCTATAGACCTATTATCAATTTGAACATTAAAAGATGCATACATGTGTTATATATGTTCGGAAAATAAGTTATAATTAAAGTCAATGTTGTAATTGCAGGTGATGTCGATGATGGGAATGAATCCTTATTTCCCTACGGCGACATTTAACTTTGGAATGCAAAACCACCTGTTGACTGCAATGGCTCTGGCTCACGGCCAAAATCCTGTGAATCAAACGACGTCAACACCGTTCATTCCGGCTTTAAATTGGCCTTTACCACCGTTTGCTAATCTTTCATTCCCACACTTATCAAATCAATCTCCCTTGTTCACAACAGCATCAGCAGCTTCCTCTTCGCAATATCTTTGTGGTTTGGTTCCTTGTTTCCCAAGTCCCCTTGATTTTTCTTCCCGTACGATGGGACTATGATATGTAAGTACTAAGTAGCTCGGGAAACACAAAAGTTATGTGAAATGAACGTTGATTAAGATGAAAAGAAATTCCAAAACAGTATCACATTTTGTGTGAGGCGTTTGTGTCATGTTCTCTTTTGTGTGGTTCTGTAAACTTACCATATGACTTTTTGTAGTAATTTTTTCATTATCTGATATATTTTGTAAAATATATTGATCAGACACTTGTAAAAACTTGAAAATTTAATATGTATTTTTCTATTACTTTAACCATACATGTTTTAATCTAAGATAAACTTCGCTAAATAAGGTAAGTTTTTTTTTTTTGATATGAATGACTATTTCCCTCGCAGTTTTTTATTTATTTGATTAAAGAAGTTGAGAACATAATCCCATTGAACGTAGGTAAAAAGAAAAGGAGATAAAGAGTATCTCAAATGGGATTGGTTTACAGGATCTCAAGTTGAGACCCACTGGATAATAATGTTCTATGCAGAAAGTGACAATAATAACCTATGCACACTACATGTTACTTAGAAGCTAGGGTGTGGCTTCGCTCTGCCAAGTTAGGGTGTATGAGAAAATAAGAAACGAGGAAACGTGACTTCGAGGGTATAATTAAGCTCTTGCTTACACCTCGATGATTTATTTGCGTTTAGTGAATATAGACGTAAATACGAAACTCCAACGTACGTAAGTAAATAAATTTCGACTACAAATTTGCAATTCAATCCAAAGTATATTTTTGGCAAAACTGAAAATTTTATAGTTGTGAGTTTATACATGTTTTTCGAAAAAAAAAAAAATCTGCTCAGAGACACAAGTATATATTCATTATTTTACCAAATATATGTTTTAACAAGACTTTAGTGAAAATCAATGTCAGAAAGGCATCGTTTTACCTACTAATTAGCTATGACGTACATTTCTTAGTTTGGTCAAGACAAAATGAATTGTTCAGATTTTTTGTCAAGCAACTGTCTTGTCTATCAAACCGCAAACCGGCCGGTTTATGATTCTATAAGTACAAAAAACTTCGTGCTTCTTTTCTCATTATCCAATAAAATTCATATATTCCCTAATATTTAATTTGGAGTCATGATGATTTCAAGAATTTCTGTTATCATCGTGTTATCTTGCATTATCACTTCAACTCGAGCGTATGACCCCGATGCTCTTCAAGATCTATGCGTTGCCGATAAAGCTCACGGTATCATAAATTACCTTTGTTCAATTCAATATTGAGCATTATGCCTATTTTTAATTAGGGTTATCTCAAACTACTCTGATCGAAAAATGTAAGTAAAAATTAAACTTCGAAGTTGAAATTAGAGATTTTGTGGACATATATAGTAACCAAAACCCTATATTTAACTAGTAGACTGTATCAAGATAAATGTTGTTTTGATACGAAACATAAACCGCACGATGTGCGCATCGCAGGAACCAAACTGAATGGATTTCCATGCAAAGAAACTTCAAACATCACGGCGTCCGACTTCTTCTTCGCCGGAATCTCAAAACCCGCCGTCATAAACTCCACCTCCGGCTCCGCCGTGACGGGAGCCAACGTGGAAAAGATCCCAGGCCTCAACACTCTCTCGGTCTCATTAGCACGTATAGACTACGCGCCGGGTGGTTTAAACCCACCTCACACTCATCCACGCGCCACAGAAGTCGTATACGTCCTCGAAGGAGAACTCGAAGTTGGGTTTATTACGACGGCGAATAAGCTTTTCTCTAAAACCATAAAGATTGGTGAAGTATTCGTTTTTCCAAGAGGGCTTGTGCATTTTCAGAAGAACAATGGAAAATCTCCAGCGTCGGTGTTGTCGGCGTTTAACAGCCAGTTGCCGGGGACGGTATCGGTTGCTGCGGCGCTTTTTGCGGCGGAGCCTGCGTTGCCGGAAGATGTGTTAACTAAGACTTTTCAGGTGGGAACTAAGATGGTTGATAAGATTAAGGAAAGGCTTGCAACTAAAAAATAATCTAAGCGACGATATATATATTGTAACGATTCATGATGTGAAAACCTAGAAAATTAAGGTTGATTTTATGGTAACTACTAACTACGCAAACATATTATTGTAATTTATCTTATGAATGTGAGTTATGTATATTGTTTCACAAAATAAATAAATCCAAATAAGGTACCTTCAGGGATCTTGCAATCTTCTATGTCCAACAATGAAACACTTGTAAAGTTGAAGAAAAGCGAAGATGGGCCAAAAATTGTATAATGGGCTAACTATTTGGGCCCATATTAAACGATTCGGTTTGAATATTACTTAGCCGACGGAGAGTCTGTTTTTCAGATCAATCTTATAAGCCTAGAGCAGTGTCGTAGTAGTTCGTCGTCGTCGCCTTCTTCAAGCTCTTTTAAGAATCCGATAAGAGTCTTGCTGCGATGCCACCGAAGAGAAATTTCAGGAAGCGTAGCTTCGAGGAGGAAGAAGACAATGATGTAAACAAAGCTGCAAATTTAGATGAAGAAGAGAAGCGGAGGTCAGTCCAAAATTGAAACATCACCATCTTTAGGGTTTAGCTTTTTTTATCGTTTGAGTTTCTTCAATTAAGTTGATGGGTTATTAAAAAGGTTCGGTTTTTGGTTGATCTACAGATTGGCGTTGGAGGAGGTGAAGTTTTTGCAGAAGCAGAGAGAGAGAAAATTAGGGATCCCAGCTTTATCTTCCACGGCGCAATATAGCATCGGAAAAGTGAAACCAGTGGAGAAAGCCGAAGCTGAAGGAGAGAAAGAGGAGCTTGTGTTGCAAGATACCTTTGCGCAAGAGACTGCTGTATTGATTGAAGATCCCAACATGTAAGCAAATCTCTCTGTACAAAAGTTTACCTTGCTAGTATAACAGATTGGGCTAGAATGAGCTGTCTTTGTAAGTGTTTAAGGATTGTTTTGATTCTTTAGGGTCAAGTACATTGAACAAGAATTGGCGAAGAAGAGGGGGAAAAATATTGATGATGCGGAAGAGGTTGAGAACGAGTTGAAGCGAGTGGAAGATGAGTTATATAAGATACCTGATCATCTTAAAGTAAGTTGCTTTGCCTAATGTAACACATTGGTTGTTTAGTGTTTTTGTGTTACATGGATTACGAATGTTGTTACTAAACTCCTTCCTTCTCAGGTTAAGAAACGTAGTTCGGAAGAGAGCTCGACACAGTGGACTACCGGAATAGCAGAAGTCCAACTCCCAATCGAGTATGAATACGCTTTCATTGATTTGAAGATAAATGTTTTGATTGTTGTAAAGACTAATTGCTTTGTTTTTTGGGTTTATGGTATAGATATAAATTGAAGAACATTGAGGAAACAGAAGCTGCCAAGAAGCTTTTGCAAGAGAAGAGGCTTATGGGTCGGCCAAAATCAGAGTTTAGCATTCCATCTAGTTATAGTGCGGATTATTTCCAACGCGGGAAAGATTATGCTGAGAAGCTAAGAAGAGGTTATACTTTATGATCTGTTTCTCTATTTAGTTTCGTTAGTCTATGTGTTTGTGGGTTCTAATATTGATCGACATGCAATTTCAATATGCAGAACATCCTGAGCTATACAAAGATAGAGGAGCATCTCAAGCAGAAGGAGAAGGAGCTAAACCGTCTGCTACAAGTAGTAATAATAATGCTGATTCAGGGAAAAGCAGACAAGCAGCAACTGATCAAATCATGTTGGAACGATTTCGCAAGAGAGAGCGTAACCGCGTAATGCGTAGATAAAGTAAAAACATATTTGCAGACTTCATCCTTGACCCGGTAACACTGTTAGATTTTTGTTGTAATGGAATTCTGTAACATTTCATTCAAGAAAACAAGTTTTCATTTACATTGTCCTTTGAAAAGGGTGCTTTCAGAAGTTTAAGTTGCTCTTAAAGCTTTGACCAAACTGCCAATTCGAAGGAACTACATTGAGTACTGTCTTGATTTTGCCATTGCTGGTTTGGATTTTGAATGAGAGACTTTGGCCATTAAGGTAAGTAAGGCTTTGCCAATTAGATCCCCAGTTTCTTGACATTGTTTCCCATTTGTTGCTTTTAGAGCCTTTGATCCATACTTACCTTAATGAAATTTCACCTGCACCGCCTACATTTGATATGAGGACAAGCTCGAAGTAATCTCTACCGTTCATTGTGAATCTCATACCTCCGCTTCTTCTACAGCCGACCCTACACGATAATCATCCCCAACGAACCCTTATATTAGCCCACACATACATATATTGGTTAGAGCCAGTATATGGCTTATTAAAAAGTAATCTAAGGTGTGGTTATAGAAACCAAAGTAATATTTGATCGGCTTTGTTAGTTGTACGCTGAATAAATTCAAGAAAATCTAAGTTTAGTTATTATTTGCTTACTTTCTATAGAGAACAGGGACTATTCCGGCTCTGTACTTAGCAATGGTCTCAAACGCAGGCTGAGCCATGTCGAAATGAGGCCTCGGAGGGTTACACCAACCTCCATTATCATTTGGTAAAGCATAATTTGGAGGACAGAAGTTTGTAGCTGTGATTGTTATCCATTTACCTTTAAGACACCACTGTGGCACTTTTGTTGCATCGCATACCATTTGGTAACAACCGCCACAAGATTTGCCGTCGTTGAACAGTGCAGTGCTTAACGCTGCCGTGTTTGTTCCGTAACCATCGGTGTAGAGGTTGCCGTAACCACATGCTCCACCTGAAATTCAGTTCGGTCAAGGTTATGTACTATACGACCAGGTAGCATTTGATCCTAACCGATATTACCGAACTCAAAGAGGGGTAACTGATTTCTTGTGATTAAAGAGAGAAATCGGACCTTTGAGGGGTTTCATTGCGGGACGAAGAAAGAAACCCTAAATAAAGCCTAGAAAATAACTTTACTTACCCATTGTACCAGAAGCATCACTTCCGCCATAGAAGGTTGCATGAGCTTGCATCCAACCTGCAGAAACTGAGCTGACATACTCGTGCAGAACATCGCTAGGAGAAAGATGATAGAAGATAAAAGCCTCGTCATATTTTTGTTTCGCTCGTGTTTACTTGATGGAATAAGTGATTTGATGAATAATAGATAGGCGACGATGCGAGTATTTATAGTGAAAACCACAAAGGCTTGTTTCTAATTTAATAAGCTCGAGTGTAAATTTTTTTAATGTCTTCAGCATACAGTAATATAAGGTATATAATTCTATAACAACATATGAGTTGAATAACTTGTAAGAAACGAAATGATACGGCGCTAATAAAACGAATTTTGCCTAACCATTTGTTATACGGGATATGATAACTATAGTCTAAAACTCTTTACGACCATAAATGTTGTCAACTATTTTCTTAAATTGCGGAGAAATTTTCTGAATATGAAGTATGATAAGTTCTCCTCTCTTCACTCGTAAAAATGCCGTGGTACGTAAGAGGACAGTTGACAGTTGATTAAATAAAAATTTTAAGTTATTTGAAGTTATACTATATATAAGACTTTCTTATTTGATAACTTAAAATGGATGGATTACAGAATTCATAATTGCACATTCTGCATTATCTCATTCGTCAACATGGCAAATGGCACATGTGTACGAGTACGGCTGCAGTACTCTTTTTAAACTTATCCACCGAGAAACATAAACATTGATACCAATATTCATTAATTGATAATACTAATTAATGATTTATTGATTTCATACTAACTAATTTCATACTAATGATTTGTGGTTAGAATGAGTATTTGATTTCTGCCAGAGATAATAATTATCGAGAATATATATAGTTGGAAACTATCAGTTGAACTTTTGAAGATTTTCAATTGGTCGTCTGAAAAGAAATGTAAATAATGTAAATGAGTCTAACATTCTTTCGTACGTAACGTAACATGTTTAGATTATCTGTCATGCAATGATCATTAAGGTCCCTAATATGATGGCATATCTAGAGGTACGTCCTAGTTAATCTTATATATCACATGCGGCTCACCATGCTGATAAAACTCCCACATGAAACCAGACCCCCGCCGGTCGACTAATTAATATTTTAATGTTTCTTAGGGTCAAAAATGAAGTTTATACATAAAATATAAGGGCTTTATCAACGGCCCAATAACGATAAACGAAACTTGAGAACAAGAATGGCCCAAGTTTAGATCTCACTTCACATGGTGTATACCAACCAAGTTTAAAGTATTCTTTATTAAAATATCTAAAACATAATGGGCCCCAAATGTCTTTGATTTAATTTTGGAGCTTTACAAAAAAAACCATGCGAGGTTTCTCTATTCAAATGATTATTTCGGTTGAGAATTTAAAATATAAATAATTCATCTTACATAATTGAGTGATCGACATAACAAATAATCTTATACATACATACTACTACTAGCTTAAGTACGATAGCTCCACTCCACATGCGTGTCATGCTTAGATTCAAGACCATATAATTAGCCTGATTGATTTTGTATCACTTTTTTCAACCACAACTCATTTTCAATTTCGAATCATGTACATGTTTCCTTATGATTTACTTATTGGAAAATATGACATTTGCTTAACACTTCACTCAGGTTAACCAAAATAAATATATATTTCTTAAACAAAGATTAATGTGACAATCAGACACCTGATCTTTCCAATAGAGAAAAGATAAAATAATACGTATTTTAAACTACGTTATAAATAAACTATATTAGTTTGGAAAAGTAATAGTTTTCTTGATTAACGCAAGAATATGAGTTTCAAAAATGATTTTGATAACGTTAACAAAATAAAACAATAAAACTTTATATAGAAATATAATATTTCACGCGTTCCGTGTACTTGTATATATATATTTATCAAATAAACGTAAGGCAATATGGTGACAACAAATGAATAGTGTTTAAATACGTACGCACTAAGACACCTGTTATCTATATATAACACATATGTCTTTAAAGTTTCATATCTTGTGTCATTCATTCTCTTTATTTTTTAAGTCAGCAAATTTTTGTTCCACAATGTTGAACGTCTTGCCGTTTTTCTTCTTCCTTCTAATTCCGTTTCTCATCGGAAACAACCGCATTTGCATCGCCGTGAAGACAGACTTCGTGGGGAGAAACGGCACGCAGTTCGTATTGAACGGAGAACAAGTCTACTTAAACGGCTTTAACGCTTATTGGATGATGACCACAGCGGCTGACACGGCGTCTAAAGGAAGAGCCACCGTCACGAGGGCGCTCCGACAAGCCTCTGCCGTGGGAATGAACGTCGCTAGGATTTGGGGTTTCAACGAAGGAGATTACATTCCTCTTCAGATCTCTCCTGGATCTTATAGTGAAGACGTTTTCAAGGTACGTAACACATACGCATGCATACACAATAATTTTTCATTATATTATTTGATCGTTAGCTTATTGTTTTGATAAACGTATCAACTAATCTCACATAGTATTCTTTATATTTTTCCTTTTTGTATTTGTTTGAATGATTCGCTAAGTATACACGGAGTTATAATTAATAAAGATTGACTAATAATTATAATTTTAGTCATATATGTATTTATAATCCTTAATTTGATGACCATTGTCTGTTTTGCATATATTGAAGAATTCAAATTTCAAATATTACTTTCAGACAAAAGAACTCATCAATCTCTTTTGTTCTTTCTTGAAAATAAAATTGTCGTCTCCTTTTCATTAGGCTAGTATAAAGTGGGATAATCGCAAAATTGACAAAAGCATAGATAGATTTTAATATTGTTTTCTTTTAAATCATATTTTAATACTGTTATTCATATTTGATAGTATGTACTAATTACAAGCATAAGTTGGTACCAGATAGTATATACCTTTTCTGTTGACCTATTAAAAGAACCTTAACATGATTGCTTAATAAATAAATTAACAACAAAACTGATACAAAATAAGTTTGGTGTTAGCAGGGGCTAGACTTTGTGGTCTATGAAGCTGGAAGATTTAATATTAAATTGATAATCAGTTTAGTCAATAATTACGAAGATTATGGAGGGAGGAAAAAGTACGTGGAATGGGCCGGTTTAGATGAACCGGATGAATTCTACACAAACTCAGCTGTTAAGCAATTCTACAAGAACCACGTGAAGGTAACAGTTAATCTCATATATTGAGTATGAGTGGATAAGTATCAGTTAAATAGAAATCGAGATCATCATATGTAACACGACACGTTACAAGCCAAAAATTAGATTATACTTGGGGCACGTTAACGCGAGATAACCCGACGGTTTTGAATTGTCAAAAGTTAGGTTTTAATCTATTAAAATAATCAACGAATATGACAAATGTACCAAATCCAAAAAGTTTATTAGCGTATTATGACAAATGTCCCTCAGATTATAGAAATAGGATTTTGTATATTTGTACCGACTTAAATCGACCTAAACCCGACATCATGAAACAGGCCGTGTTGACGAGGAAAAACACAATCACTGGTCGAATGTACAAAGACGACCCGACCATTTTCTCATGGGAACTTATCAATGAACCTCGCTGCGACGATTCCACTGATTCTACTATTCTACAGGTTTCTCTCTCGCTCTCCTCTGTTTATTGTGTAGTGTAGTAACTTCTATGTATACGGTATACATACTTAAACAGTGTCGTTTTTTTTCTCGTGTGTGTGCAGAGTTGGGTGAAGGAAATGGCTAGTTTTGTTAAGTCCATAGACTCGAACCACTTACTGGAAATAGGGCTTGAAGGGTTTTACGGAGAGTCTAAACCGGAAAGAACGGTTTACAACCCCGGTAGCACGGTCTCAACCGGTACAGATTTCATATCTAATAACCAAATCCCTGATATCGATTTCGCCACTATCCATATATACCCTGATTCTTGGTAAGTCATCAGACTCGCTACTCGCTAGATAAAAATTGTGTTTTTGGTTTGTTGTCTTTTATAACACAGTCTCTGTTTCATTATCTCTTCGTACCAAATCAAGATCAGGCTACCATTACAGAGTTCAAGAACAGGAGAACAAGACACGTTTGTGGACAGATGGATCGCAGCACACATTGAAGACTGTGACAATATCATCAAGAAGCCTTTACTAATAACAGAGTTTGGGAAATCTTCAAAGTATCCTGGTTTCAGCTTAGAAAAACGGAACACGTTTTTCAAGAGTGTCTACGATGTCATCTACGACAGTGCAAGAAGCGGCGGTTCGTGTACGGGTGGATTTTTCTGGCAGCTTACGACCAATAGAACTGGTCTGTTAGGTGATGGGTACGAGGTTTTTATGCAAGAAGGTCCTAATACTACTGCTCAGCTTATCGCAGAGCAATCTAGTAAACTAAGAAACCTCAAGTATCCACCATTGGTCACACTTAGTGCAGAATGAAACAGCATAGATACAAAACAGGAAAATTTAGAATGTACAGAAAAGGAAACATGTAAAATCGAATATGAACAAAGCTAAAATCTATAAATACTTTCTTTTTGGATCATAAGTCAGTTTAATTATTCCATTGGCAACAACAACAGGGTGGCAGATCATATATTACAGAGTAGAGATACACATATTCTTGTTTAAAACGAGGAAACAAGAAGATCATCTGAAGCTGTAATACCTTTAAAGACGTTCCTGTCTGAAGGTAAACCAGCTACAACACCGTGTTCGATGCCACATTCGTTTGTTCCTCTCCTGATCTTGAAGTAACCATCCTGAAATTTTCACGAATTACATCTCAGGTTCTGCGTTTTCTCTGGAATTCGAATGTTGCTACTTGAAATTTCAAAAGTGAAAATTAGATTGGAGAGAAGAAGAACTTACATCACCCCAACTTCGGTTCCATTGATTTGCAAGCAACTGCAACCAATTCAAAAGAACAAATATATCATGAACTTTCCAGCTACAAACTTGAAATCCAGTGTGTTAAATAGTGGATATCATACCCAATAATCTTCGCCGTCATCAGAAGTTCCCCAGCCAATAAGCTTAACAGCATGACCTCCAATGTTAGTACCAGTTATGTGCTTGTACACTCCAGATTTGTAATGAGCAAAGTCCTGAAGAATAAAAGATCCATGAAAAATGTGGATTTCCATTTGATATAATAATATGTTTGTCTATCTAAAACCTAATAATTACCTCGTAAACGGTAAAGGCAACCTCAACAGGTCCGTTTTTGTAAACTTCTGCCATAATGTCTTCAGGGTGAGATCTAACCTTGTAAGCGCTAACACCATAGTGTTTTGATTCACGCCAAAGCTGGTTTCCGCTAACACATTTCCTCACACATTTTGGTGTAGGGTAAGCGGGTTCACATCCCGGGTGAGAGCAACCAGTATTGTCAAAGTATGGATCACACTGAAGAGTCAAGAGCATTGTAAAAGTTCCATAAATTTTAACCACCTTACCATTAAAATATGTTCTTTGCAGTTAAAAGGAGAATTTACCTCTTCGGTTACAACACCGTGGTGCTTAAAGTACCGCCAAGCAGAAATTGGGTATCCCCCATTACAACCTTGACCGCAAAGGAATCCACAACATGCTAAGAGATCATTGACAGATAAAGAAATATTCTGCATGGGAGCAAAGAAACTAATATAAATGATTCAAAGAGAAAGAAGAAGCTAGCAATCATCAATCTTAGCTTCATAGAGAATCTGCGTTACCATGTTATATTTGATGCAGAATCTGTCAGACAGTGATTCAACAGCACCAAAGGCCCAGCAAGAACCACAGTGACCCTAAGTAAATCAAAACCAAAATGTTTCATTGATCTTAGAACGAATTGTGCAATATAAGACTCAAGCAAATGATGTTTTACCTGATCTTTAGTGTGATAGTGGAGGAGAGGATTTGACACAAAACATAAGAAGAGTCAGTAAATCATTGGATAAAAGACAGAGATAGTGGAAATGAAGAGATTGAAACCGACCTAAGATTCTTCCAATACTGGTGCACTGTGACCAAGCGGTTCTAGCATCAAATTCTTTTGGAAGCTTCAAAGAAATACCATGGCTTACAATAGGCACGCCCAAAAATTCAGTCTTTGGTGTGGGTTTAACACCAAGGAGGCGCTTAAATTCTGCAACCTACACATGCAGACACAAAATAACCCAAAATTTTCAGGAAGACTGATAGTATAATTTTGTATTTTTGCTCCTCTTTAGAAACAAAATACAACTCTGTAGCTCTTAATTGGTAATCATAATAAACTCACCGTGGCGTTTGCAAATCGATCATTCAAAGCAGCTTTCCATCCAGCTTTTGGATTAGCATTGACTTCATTAACAATCTCATTCTGCAAAAAACACACATCATCAACGACAAGGAAATTTAAAAGAGACGAAGCAATATAGAAAATTTGGTGGACTAAGATCAAAACCTGAAGAATCCGTGAGGAAAGCTTCTGCTTTGAAAGATTCTCTGCTGCAATACCCTGAGATTAAGAGAAATAAACCAGCTTTAAAAATCAAAACTTTAAATAAATATAAAATCATAAATCTGTATTCCACAAAGTTTGATTTTTTTGGAAACTCGTAGCTTCAAGAGTCCAACAAATATGATCAAACCCAGAAAAAATGAAAAGTCTACGAAACGAAACAGATCAGAAATAGAAGAAAGCACTAAACATCCATAAATTGAAACAGGGATGATGAAGGTTTTAAGTACCTGCAAGCTGAAAGTCGAAATTATAAGCCCTAAAAGCAAGAAAACAGAGGCCAAGTGAAGTCTGATACAATGATCAGCCATGAATTTAAATCTTTATCTTCTCAACCCCTCGATGAATTCCCAAATGAAACAATGATTTGCCAGAGGAGTCTTGGAAAAAAGTATCTCTCTAATGGAAGTTTTCTACTTTTCTTATCTAAAAAGAGAGAATGACAGATCATATTACTGCAAGTAGAAGATCCTGACCGTTGATTCGTTCCACTTACTTGATTATTAATCATTATTTTAAATGATTAGATTAGAGAGACGCATCTTTTATGGGCCTATGATTTTCTTAGACGGTCATCGTGTAAAGAAGGGTCCAATGGGATAGCCATATATAATAAGGCCCAAACTATTTGTGCAACTTGATGATTTAAAGATTAGTTAAAAGTAATTAATCTCTAGAGGTTACTTTAGGCGGCTTTTTTAATTACAAAAATCAATTTAGACTGTTAACAGTTAATTAGCCTCTCTCTACTGGACTAGTACTAGTGGTGGCGTTGAAGCATCGCAAAGCCATAGAAATGTCTCGAAAGGATCCGAGAATCTTTGAAAGGCGATGAAGGTGGTATCTGCAGCCAACTAGATATGGTTTCTTCAACCCTAAATCGCTAATTTCATCTGTCGTTAGAGCTGGTAAGTTCGTCTCTTCGTTTCGAATCGATTTCTGTGTGTTGTGATTTGTTCCGCTAGGTTTTTTTAAACTCGCCGGAGGCGATTAGTGCTTAGATTCTTATGAATTCGAGATCAATTCTATACCTGATCCGATCTGGGAGATTCTCTGGGGTTTATTGGCTCTGCGATTTTCTTCTTTTGAGTATTTCATTGGTATCACTATGCATCTGATCAAACCTTTGGATCCACGAGCTTTGATTGCTGCTTCTGTTACTAGTATCTTAGCTTTCTCGCTGTCCATTGCAACTGAATTTTTTAATATAGTGGAATTTTGGTAATGGGAATTGCTGATGATGAGTCTTTAACGTTTTCTATCTAGGTATCCTGCATTTGGTCCTTTTTACTGAGTTTGTGGTTAGAGATTTGAAGTATTTGTGTTATGAGGGTAGTACGTGGTCACTACAGTGAGGCCATCAATACTAAGGGTCGAGAGATGAATAAGAATCAAACAGTTGGGGTTTCAGACTCGGAAGATGACTCTGATGATTACGACATTGCTGAAGCAAACTGTGAGCTAGCTATGGTAGAAGGTCAGCTCTGTAACATACCTTATGAGCTCTATGATCTACCAGATTTGACGAGAGTATTTTCTGTAGAGACGTGGAACTCATCTCTGACAGAAGAAGAAAGATTCTTCCTCTCATGTTTTCTGCCAGATATGGATCAACAGACATTCAGCATGACGATGCAGGAGCTTCTTGGAGGCGCCAATTTATATTTTGGGAATCCACAGGATTTGTTTTACAAGAATTTGAGAGGAGGATTGTTCACTCCAAAGGTAGCTTGTTGTAAAGAAGGGGTTATGTTCGTCAAGAGGAGAAAGTATTACTACTCTTTAAAGTTCTATCAAGAAAAATTGATCAATACATTCACTGAGATGCAAAGGTTGTGGACTCAGGATGGAAAGAAACTGGGAAATAAAGCAAGACTCCTCCTTTGGTCAGAACGAACACAAACCGGTGATCTCAAGCTACCCGACCTTAATAGAGTTCCATCTGAGGAAATGGATAGTGCTAAATTCAAAACTCCTAGAGTAGTGAAACCTGTGGACCGAAATAAAACGAAAAGTTTCACCTTCCCTCGCATTGACAACTCCAAGAACAGTCTCAAGATAAAGATAAACAAGAAAGGAATATTCCAGTACCAAGGTTCCAGCTTATTTTCTGCTGGCCATCATCATCAAAGTTTGCCAAAGGGTCTTCTAAAAGTAGTCCCTAAATCTTTTTCTGCCATTCTCAGGGAACCCTATGTAGCACCAGGAAACAATCTCCTGCAAAACCATGAAACCGGTTCAAAGAGTACTAGATTTGCAGCGTCTCCATACTCAGGTTCGAGATTTGAGAAATCACCCTACGGAAGTAGGGCTTGTTCTATCGCACATCTCCCAAAATGCTTACTGAATCACCAAGACCCTTTCTTAAACTATTTGGAAACTACGCAAAGCTCAATTGACAGGACAGAACCGGTGTTGCATGATCCATTCCCCAGAGGTCTTGGAGTTTCGAATTACTCCATCACAGAACATAATCTGGCTCTAAAACAAGAAGAATATGTACACTACCACCTGAAGTCTCCTGGTTTTAAGCTGAGGACTGTTGACAGCGGCTCTGAAACAGCAGAGACCAAGAGGATTTTGTCTGGTAATCACTTTCAGAGGGAAGCCAAGGTTCTGAGAAAACCGCTGCGTGTTCTGAGGGAAGACATTCATGCTCAAGAATCAGACAACGACCATTTGTTTTCCTTGACGTACAAGCGTAGAAAGGTTCAGAGAATCGGCATCGCTTGAGCCTCCACTCTGTGCCAATCCAATATTCCACCTAATGTACTCTTCCATTGCTAGGAGATTCATGAAATTATGAAGTGTAATAGGCTTATTGGTGATTGGATTTGGTTTGAGGTTAAGATGGTTTATTTTCATAAGAATTAGACACTTAAGGGAAGTATTGAAGAAATAAAGGAGTGAATTGTAATAACCAATAATTAATCCCAACTACTTAAAAAACAGAGTTCCGATAAGGTCACATGATTTTGTATTATTCTCTCCGGAACGCCTTGAGAGCTTAGCTTCTTCCAAAACCTCATAACCAGAGAGCTCATACAACGGTACGCTCCTCCAAAGCTTCTAAAGCTTATCGTTTTCAACGTTTATTGCATCATCGTCAATTCTAGGGTTTTAGCGCTGTAAACCAAAGAAAAGCTCATATATTTTACATATTGGAGAAAGGGTTTTGGAGTGATGGGGTCTCTCGTTCGTGAATGGCTCGGGTTTCAGCAATTTCCAGTGGCTACCCAAGAAAAGCTGATTGAATTCTTCGGCAAATTGAAGCAAAAGGTTTGTTTTTGTTTGTTTGTTCCTGTTTCGTTGGAGTTAAGTCGGTTTCTCGAATTCTCCGTTGTGATAATAAGGATGATTTGGGGTTTTTGTAATTACAGGATATGAACTCTATGACAATTCTTGTTCTTGGTAAAGGCGGTGTCGGAAAATCATCCACTGTCAATTCTCTTATCGGCGAACAAGTTGTCCGTGTTAGTCCTTTCCAGGTACATAATCTACTTTGCCTAAGCTTGAAATTATCCTTTTTAAAAGTATGTATCTTCATTTCAAGGTATTGATGGTTCTGTTTTGTCGATTTTGTAGGCTGAAGGTTTGAGACCAGTGATGTGTTCAAGAACAATGGGAGGGTTCACTATCAACATTATTGACACCCCTGGACTTGTGGAAGCTGGATATGTCAATCACCAAGCCCTCGAGTTAATCAAAGGGTCAGTACTACTCTTTTGGAATTCTTTTCATTGATTGGCTTGGATGAAGTTTTGTGTGACTAGCTCTTTATTGATGTTATTATATCTGCTTGTTGCATTAGGCTTATCTCATATGTTTGTGATTAATTAAGCTGCGTTTGTATGTGGTTAAAAGCTTTACTTGTGTGTTTCTGCTGCAATTGTGTATTATGAGTATCCTATTTAGGCTTTACTCAAGGGGGTCTATTGTTCTGCCGATTCTGTATGTTTGAATGTGTGTGTGGAAGTTCTTATGACAGTTGTGTGTTTCTCGGATTTCGGGCAGGTTTCTTGTGAACAGAACCATAGATGTCTTGCTCTATGTTGATCGCTTGGATGTGTATAGAGTCGATGAGCTAGATAAGCAAGTTGTTAAAGCAATCACCCAAACCTTTGGAAAAGAGATATGGTGCAAAACCTTGCTTGTTCTGACTCATGCTCAGTTCTCCCCGCCAGATGAACTTTCCTACGAAACTTTTTCTTCCAAGAGATCAGATTCTCTCCTCAAAACTATCCGTGCAGGCTCTAAGATGCGAAAACAAGAATTTGAGGTATGGTTATGCATATATTCATCTCCGAAAATAGTTCTACCAATGTTTATTGTAGCAAGAATCAGTTACATTCTTCTACTGGCTTGCAGGATTCTGCAATCGCGGTAGTCTATGCAGAGAACAGCGGAAGATGCAACAAGAACGATAAGGACGAAAAGGTTTGGGTTGTAGAATCTATGATTTGATCTGAATTGGAAGCTGTTAAAAGTTGCTTACCTGCTCTTGGTTTAGGCTCTTCCGAATGGTGAAGCGTGGATCCCGAACTTGGTTAAAGCAATAACTGATGTAGCAACAAACCAGAGGAAAGCAATTCATGTAGACAAGAAGATGGTAGATGGTTCTTACTCTGACGACAAAGGAAAGAAACTCATCCCTCTTATCATCGGCGCTCAGGTAAGAAAGAGACACAGTTTGATATATTGTCTTGTTCGAATTTGGTAAACAAGTGAAATTTATCCATTTTTGCACGTTTCAGTACTTCATCGTTAAGATGATTCAAGGAGCAATCAGAAATGACATCAAGACAAGTGGGAAACCACTTTAAGTGGTCTGAAGAACATGTTTTGTGGTGACCAAAATTATAAGGAGAAGGAGAGTATTTCTAGTTTCTTTAAAAGATTTTATCTGCGACATTTTCTTGTTTCCGGCTTTTTATATTGTCTGTAATTTATTGAGATTTGTTCAAAGAAAAGATTACCATGGTTTTCTGGTTAAATGAAATGATGTCTTATCTGATATAGAAGAGGAATAGATTGTTCTAGTGTTATGGTCTATTGATGCTCTGTTCTCAAGTTTCTGATCAAATCATCAAAAAAAAAAAAAAAAAAAAAAAAAAAAAAAAATCTTTAAGTAATCGTATCATATACAATTGACATTTACTTCCTGTCTCTGTTAACCCCTTATTTTTCAAATGTCATCTCATGTGTTTCATGTCTTCTTACCCTGTTTCCGACGACAGCACCTTTTAAAGATGATTAAAGGAAGAGAGATTGTAGCAGAAGGATATAAGTACTTTTTTCCTTTACAAAAAAGGCAAAAGTGACTTTCCCGTAATGGTTGAATACTAGTGTATATATATAAAGTTGAGAGAAACCCTAAAGCTATCGACTGTTGCGACTTTCGTTTACTGGCTGAGGTTTGGTTTCTCAAAATACTTATATAATGTATAATCGTAGAAGGTTGTCGTTCTTCTAGATTAAAAAGACGTAACTTGGGATGTTATAATGTTTTATAGGATCGATGTTGAAGAGCAAAGCGAACACGGAATCTAAGACGTCGGTGTGGATTGATCTCAACAACTGTCCGATCCCCGATGGTTATGACGCTGGTCAGGTCCGTCAGCGTATAGAATCAGCGTTGCATACGATTGGCGACTCTGGTCCTCTCACCATCAATGTCCTGGGCACCTTGGAAAACACCCCTGTTGACGTCCTGCGAGCGTTATCTTCCACTGGAATCGTTGTTCATTACATCCCACGAGGTTAACTTTCTCATCTCTAACCTAGAAATTAGGGTTTTCCTTTTTTTCTTTTATTATTATTATAATATGTATGTGTGTTTAGATTCTCAACACTGTGTTGAAACAACAGGTACCAAGACAGGAGGAGGTTGCGGGAAAATTGTGTCGGTTATGCTTGACTGGACAGTCTCTAATAAACCTCCGGCTAAGATAATGTTCATAACGGACTCTCTCAATGTCTATTACCGCTCTCGCACTTTTTCCTACTTGGACGAAATTGGGTACGAAATGCTTGTGGTTTATGGAGATACTCCTAAACCTCATCCTGCGCTGCCCTCTTCTCTCATCTGGCAATGGCAAAGCTCTTCTACAGTTTGGCAATGGCAAACCTTACTGGAAGCTGATCCCTCTCGTGTGCATCCAACTGAAGGAATGGATTCAGGGGAGACGATAACAAGTCTTGACGACCACAAGTGTCCTGAAAGGGATCCCGGTGAATCTGATGCTTTCATTTGCAGGCTGTGTTTTGATTACACATGCTTAAAGTATTTTAAATGCCAAAGCCTTGACGATTTCACCACGCATCTCGACGGTGAAGAACATAAACTTAGAGTAAGCATCCTCTCTCTTCTCTTTTTTGCTTGCTTGTATCATCATCATTACATTTTTTTTGTTTCTCTGTCTTTTGAGTCGTCTTATGTTCTGACCCCATGTTACTGCTTGTCAAGCAGTACTTTTACCTTCACCGGATCGTGCACGACGAAGAAGAAGAAGACTCCTTGGCCGGAGATGATTCTTCCTCCCTTCCCGTACGTGATTCTTCCCCCCATCCCGTACGTGATTCTTCCTCTCATCTGAAGAAATCAAAGGTAAGTTTTAATATCTATCTCAAGTATCTTAGTGATTGATCTTAGTGATTGATATTAACGAGTTTGAGCAGAAAAAGAAATATGTTTTCTCTGGAAACATTTTCCATTCATCGAGACTCCAGTGAGTGAGTTTTTATTTAGTAACCTTCTGGTTGATACTTAAACATTGTAGAAAAAGTCGAAGCATGGGGTTAATTCTTTCCATCTGATGAAGGCTGTTACTACCATGGTGATGAAGAACCAATTAAAGGCACGTTTTTATGTCTGGTTTGTCTGAAAACATTTGCTTTCCATAGAAAGCATGAATTTGATTTGCTGACTTTGTTTGTTGCTAAAATTTAGCAGAGGAAGTTGAAGAAGAAGAAGAAGAAGACGAAGAAGCTGGAATAAGAGGGACCGGAATGAGCATCTCGAGGAGGACTTTAAACCTTTTTGTCGAAGAAGAAGATGAAGAAAACATTTCCCATATGGGTGATGCTCTTTTTTCTCAAGGCATATCATTTCATTTGGTGAATGATTTCTTCAAACTTTTACGGAGTAAATTTTTGGTTACTTAACTTTCAAGTCTCTCCTTTTATTTTATATATATCTAAGTTCTGTATTCGGAAAAAGGTTGGATTGTCCTCTCTGTTGCTTGTGTCTGTCTGCTATTAACTTGCATATCCCCATATTCATTATTCTCATTTTCGATGAAAAATCATTGTCGATACTGAAGATAGATATATAGAAGTAGTAATGTTTAAGTTTTACCACTTCATCATCACACCCAAAAATATAGAAACAAAACAAAACAAAACAAAACTCATCTTGAAGCAATAGTATCATCATTTACATTTACACAATTCATCTTGCCCTCTGAAATATCCATTTAGTTTGAAATGTCACGTCTCTGATGCCTTCTTACTCGGCCTCCGACTGACCAAACAACATACTTGAGTGATTACATAAACGCATATCAACAGAAGAACAGAACCATACACAAAAGTAATAAACAATACCGGCTCTTCAACTGGTGACATAACAACCAAATACACACAATCTCGTATAAGAACAACCCATGCTAATCCTTCCACTGCATTTCTAATCACCAACACTTTTTTGCTCTTTGCTTCTTCTCTGCATAATTTGCATATGATCCTCAAACACAGAACACCTACCACCAAGAACGTTGTACTAGACCATCCCCTGTAAGCAATAATCTTCCCTCCCACTATCAACGGCTCTTTCCTGCAGATACAAGACTTGCAGACTCCAGAGAACGCAGAAGTGACCAGAGCATCGTATCCTGTATAGTAAGGGAGAATCACAGCGTCTAGGTAAATACTGGCGTGGAGTATTCCAGAGATAGTGGAGGCTTCGAAGAAGACAAAGCTTGCTTCTTTTTCGATGTTGTTCTCGAATATAAGCACCGAGAGTTGAACGAGCTGCAGGATTGCAGGTCCGAAGATGGAAATTGGGAAAAGGGTATTGATCCTTTGACCTTTTGCAAGGATCAAGATGATCAAAGGAAGAGAGATTGGACCAGAAGGAAGTAAGTACCTTTTTGCTTTATCATCATCATCACGACCACCACCACCATCATAATCACCATCTTCTCTTCTGCTTCTTCTTGATATTACCTTTTTTACGACAGCTATTAGCGTCGTCAAGTAAGAAACCGTGACGAAGAAGAAAACAAGAACATCAATGATCTGAGGGTAATCACCGGCGTAGAGGCTGTCGCAAAAGTAGTGGAAAGGACAGTTGATAGGATCAAGCGTGTCTTCGTATTGCCACTTTATGCATTTGAAAAAAGTCTGCTTTCGATCCAAATCCATTTCCCATTCTGTGTTCATAATTTTGGCTTGTTTTCTTGTTCTATATGCTGTTTGGTTTCCTTACAAGCTACACATATATTGTTTATAAGGTGTGTCGTGTGTGTGAGAGATAACATCATATGGTTGATTCCCTTTCGTTGTCTGGTTTTAGATGCTTGAGCTGCAGGCTAAAGTGGATAATGAAACTCTATCTGATATTTGAACCCTATCCTCAAATTTTGTTAATTAATATTAATTAAGTACTCTTAGATAGAAGTTAAATGTGGTCACATAGTATAGAGAGGAGTAGAGAATTTGTGAGACAAGCCTTGATCTGTAAGCGAAGTCAGAGTTTGGTGGTGTGATTGGTACTGTATACTATATTTTTTTGAATTGTTAATTGCATAATTGCGTATGTTTGGTTGAAAAAGCTGCTTTAGTCAACTCGGAACCAGAGGGTTTTAGATTTGCTCTATGAACGCTCTCTTCAGTTAGCAGGTACGGCACTTACAAATATTTTGGAAAATTTTTAACTTAGAAAACCCCAAAAAAAAAAGAAGAAGACTCTTCTATGTAATAAGATTAAAACTTATACAAAAGGACATCTCAAATGTTATATGCGAGAATGTATTACATATCAAAGATCATTAGAATGCGTTGACATTTTGACAAAAAAAAGCTAAAAATAATTATTAGATACAACGTGGTTAAGCAGCAATTTGATATATTTTGTAAGTTTGTAACAAGCTGTTTATGATAAACCAAAAATCGCTGTAAAACCAAGTAATATAATTGGTGTGGTACCTACGAACCGTGTGCTGATCACCGACATAGACGCATAAACGCGGTTCACTTCTCTCTTTTCATTAACAGCAATTTCTTTATTTGTTTTTGATTTATAGATCTTACAAAACTCAAAACTTTTCGAAAAAAATAAACTTAAAATAAATATATGGTATTATTATTATACGTTATAGTAGCTATCGTTGTAAACTTCCATGAATGGTAAGATACAACTAAAATCTTTGAATATTTCAATCTAACATTACACTAAGGAAACTTCTATATGTGGACAACGAAACGATAGACTAGTTTTATATAAAAAAAAAAGTTCTTTTATTCATTGAAATTATTACGATGAAATTACATGTAGTCAATGTGATATTGAAATTACTACACAAGTCATTGTGAATGAAATTACATGGACCTTACAATGAATTGTTTCCTTTGCTAAAACTTATGTGTGGTGTAGAAGAAAAATAAAAATAAAATAAAATAATACTGTATTTACGAAACAAACGGTTCTCACGTAAAGGCATATATCATTTTTTTCTTAATTAATGAATAAATAAATAATTCAGTACTGCCAAAAGAAAAAAAAAGGAAAAAGGGACGAAGAAAATAAAAGGCGAAGGACATATTTATATATAAAATCGGAAAAGATCTCTTGGCGAATTCGAAAGAATGCAAAGCCATCAGAATCGAAGAAGCAGCTACACATCAACAAGGCTCAGCTTTATCCTACGGTCTAGATTCATCCCTTCACCACTCTCCTTCTTCTTCGTCTTCGCTGCCGTCCCTCTTCCGATCTACTTTTCCGGTTTACTCGCTAGAATCAACAAACCGGCTTCACTTATGGTGCGCGTTCCTCTTCCTCAGACTTTTACTCTTTACTTTTTCTTATTGTTCTGTGACTTGATGATGATGATGATGATGATGATGACTCGCCGATTGTGTGCTCTGCAGAGATTCAACTCGAATTTAGCTTCTTCAATGGTGGATTCGAATATATCTTGTACCACCTTCAATATCCTGGCTCCGATTTATAAGCGCGTTGATCAAAAGGTTTGTTTCTCTTCTGATTTCACTCTACCTCTGTTGAGTTTCGAGTTCCGACGACATTGAATTGATTGTGTTTGTTGGGTGTTACAGAATCAGAGCATTCGAGAGAGCGATTTCCGCGCCCTTTGGTTAGCTCGCAACCAGAGGATTTTAGATTTGTTACTCCATAAACGCTCTTCAGTTATCTGTCTCCAGGTACACTTTGTGACTTAGAAATTTTAAATTTTGACTTTTAGCTTAAGCTGACTCCTAGCTATTGTGACTGTTCATAGGAAGTTTGGGTTGGGAATGAGGAATTAGTGAAGATGTATCACGAGCAGCTTGGCACTTCAGGCTACACTATTTTTCAGTTGGCTAGAACCAATGGTCGTGGTGATGGTAAGATTCTTGATTATTTTATCATGTTTTTTTTTTTACTTGGTTTTGACTGGATATGGCGTCAGCTCTAGGTAGGAGTAGAAGGATTGGATGTGTATGTGGTTATTACTGAATTGTTCTAGGTCTCTGTCCAGAATCATTAGAAACTTGAAAGGCTCAATCTTGCTGCTTAATATGCCTCAGTTAACAGTCTAGGGTGGTCCAACTATATACACTTTCATGTCTTGGAAAATGGTAGATTAGAAGGAATGCAGAAGGGCAGTTCAGAATCTTTCTGGTGTCAAAGGTTGCTTATTGGTGCTTATATTATTTTAACGTCGTTGTTTGTAGGATGCCGTAAAAGCGGCAATACTTTCATTGATTGTTTTATGGATGGAGTAGAATTATGAACTGAAATTCAAAGACAATGCTATAGGTTCGGACTCCTTTATCTGATCGCATGCGATCAAAGATAGGATTCTTTGCCTTTGATGTCTCATTTGTGGACTTGAATATCTTTCTTACAGGTCTTTTAACAGCCATCCATAAGGACCACTTTAAAGTTTTAAATTACCGGGAGCTGCTCTTTAACGATTTTGGAGACCGTGTTGCTCAGCTATTACATGTCAAATCAGTTGTTCCCTTTCCGCTTAATGGGAAGCAAGACATTCAGCAAGAAGTTATTATAGTGAACACTCACCTGTTGTTTCCTCATGAATCTAAGTTGTCTTTTGTAAGATTGCATCAGGTTGGTCCCCCTTCCCATCATTTTGCATTTGGAGACCATTCCCCTTAGATCATGTAATAGTTTAATTTCATTATACCTGCTTCTCTTAACAGGTTTACAAAATTCTTGAATATCTGGAAGCTTACCAAAAGGAAAATAAACTTAATCACATGCCCATTATTCTTTGCGGGTTAGTTCTAGAGCTTTAAGAGTCTTGAAATTGGGTCCCTCCACCAGTACAATGTAATCACAGAATTTTGAATTATGCTTATTTCAGTGACTGGAATGGAAGCAAACGCGGGCATGTCTACAAATTCTTGAGATCTCAAGGGTTCATATCATCATACGATGATGCTCACCAGTATACAGACAGTGATGCTCATAGGGTAAACTTCTCTTACAAACCTTTTTTTTTTCTCCAGCCTTATGTCTGCTCCTATTGTAAAAATCACATCCTTATCCCTGTCTTTCTTCCATTTTTTTTTCTTCAGTGGGTTAGCCATAGAAACCACAGGGGAAATATATGCGGAGTTGATTTCATATGGCTCTGCAACCCTAGCGATTCAAGAAAACCACTGAGAACAAGTTGGGTGGAAGCTGTGTTCAGCATTGGCAAGGTGAGAGCTTCATAAAACAAAGATACTAGTCATTTTACCTTTCTTAAAATGTTTAGTCATATCACATTAATTATGTCATGTCTCATTCTTTCCAAATTTAACTTTTTCCTAACCGATATTTTCATGTCCATTTTTTTATTTCTGATTTCTCTTGATTGTTTTCCCAGCAACTTCACAAAGCTTCCATAGCCAAGGGCGATGCCTTTGCTTTTCTTGGGGAAAATAATCGCAGTGATTCACTAACCTACTCTGACTTTTGCCAACTACTTCAAAAGGTAAATACATATTCTTCAGGAAAAAATGAGCCTAGAAAGACCTCAACAGATGCTCCCAAAACTTTGTGATCGTCTAGATATTTCACTTACCATAACAGTAGAATAAGGGTTAAATGAGTTCTTGCAGATTTTACAATTTCTTTCAACGGCTAATGGACTTTTATGCTGACGTCAAAATTTGATATTGTGTGGTAGGTAAATCTAACGGGTACTGCAGATGGACTTAGCGTTGAAGAGACAAAAGAGTTATGGGTTCGAGCTGATCTTGATGGAAATGGTGTCTTCGACTATGAAGAACTTAAGGTAAATTAAACTAAACCACAATTGGTGCAAAATGGAAATCACAAACCTGTAATGAATCTGAGCTTCGTTTTAAACGTCATCAAGACTCTAATGTGTGTGTTATGTACTGTCAGAAAATTTGGAACACGACGATGGTGAACAAACCTGGAAACTGCAAAGAGAGTATGATGGAGAGTAAGAAAGAAGAAGGAGAAGAAGAAGCAATCGGATTGAGAGTGAAGAAAGCGGTGTTGTTCCCACAAGAAGCAGAGAAAGGACTGTGGCCGGAGAACTACAATATCTCCGACCATGCTTGTCTCACCGTACAATTCTCTCCGGTCAAAATGGTCTGTAGCTAAGTTTTGTTTATTACGTACGGCTCTTTGTGAAAAATGTAAAGAAGCAATGAGATTGAAAATTGCAGTGAGAGAAGTTTACAAACCTTTGTATATTGTATAGTTTTTCTGTGATTGCATCACTGTTTCTGATATAAATTAAAGGTTTAGTTTTTTTTTTTTTTTTAAGTATCGATTTTTAGTGGAGTAAAAAGTAATTTAAAATTTGGAGCCAATAGGATATATTTAAAAGAAATAGATGAGTCGTTATAACACTTGAAATTTGGCTGTTATGTAAAAAAGAAAACACTTTATTAACCAAAAGACGCGTCAAACCAAATTGTTAATTTTCATAAAAATTGGAAAAAAGGGAAGAAGAAGATCTGAAACAAAAGACTTTTCGTCTTCGCTTTTGGAAGAAATAAAAGAAAATTGGAAAGGAGCTGACTTTTTCTAGTTGGGTGGAGCTCGTCGTGGTGACTATAAAGATAAGTCCTTTCCGGCGCTAAGTGTTATCCATGAAATTATAATCACTCCTTCGTCTTCGATTTCCTCCTTCGGAAACTGTAATGTTTCACTCTATTGGAGATGTCTCTCTTATGGCTCCCACTCTTTTGCTGAACAATTTGTTTGATTATCTACTGATTGTCTATTGACTTCGAAATTTAATTGCCACTTTTTCTTTGTTTTCTCAACAGAGACGTCCTCAGATTTATCAGAGATCCTAGGGTTTCAGATTTATCATCAAAGCAATCCACCCAGTAAGGTTTACAAAGATCCATGCTTTTGAATTATTGATTTAGAGATACTCAAAAGAAAATGGCAATGGCACCAGTAATCAAGCTGGTTTTAGGTTCAATAGCCTTTGCCATTTTCTGGGTATTAGCAGTGTTCCCTTCTGTACCATTACTACCGATTGGTCGGACCGCCGGTTCTCTGTTCGGTGCAATGCTAATGGTTATCTTCCAAGTGATAACCCCGGAACAAGCTTACGCTGCCATCGATCTCCCCATCCTTGGCCTTCTCTTTGGAACTATGGTTGTTAGTATATACCTTGAAAGAGCTGATATGTTCAAGTACTTAGGCACATTGCTCTCATGGAAAAGCAGAGGACCTAAAGACTTGCTCTGTCGAGTTTGTCTTGTTTCCGCGGTTTCAAGCGCTCTTTTCACTAATGATACATCTTGTGTGGTCTTAACGGAGTTTGTGTTGAAGATCGCTAGGCAAAAGAACCTCCCGCCTCACCCGTTTTTGCTCGCTTTGGCCACGAGTGCCAATATCGGTTCTTCCGCTACTCCCATTGGGAATCCGCAGAATCTTGTTATCGCGGTTCAAAGCAAGATCCCCTTCTGGGAGTTTCTTCTTGGGGTTTTTCCTGCCATGATTGTTGGTGTTACAGTCAATGCTTTGCTTCTTCTTGGTATGTATTGGCGGTTATTATCAGATCATAAAGAGGATGAAGAAAAAGCAGGAGAAAGTGCAGATTCTGAAGTTGTTGCTGTTGCTGAAGAAGATGTCACATCTCATCGGTTTTCGCCTGCTACATTTTCGCCAGCAACATCCGAAGAATCGAACCTGAGAATGGATCCAGATACGCTTAGAAACAGAGCGGGTTCAGCGGGTGAGGGCGATCTAATAAGCCGCGATTCTAACGCGTCAAGAGAACAACAAACCGACGCAGAGTCTCAAGGAGAGATCAATAACAACAACAATATGTTCCAAACCAAGAAATGGAGAAGGGTTCTATGGAAATCCAGTGTTTATTTAATCACGTTAGGAATGCTAATATCCCTGCTAATGGGTTTAAACATGTCGTGGACTGCAATCACCGCGGCTCTAGCTCTCGTTGTTCTTGATTTCAAAGACGCAAGGCCATCTCTCGAGAAGGTGAAAACCAAAAATATTAATTCTTCAAAAGGTGCAAGTCTACGATCTTATTAAAGTTGTAACTTTTGTTGTGATTTGCAGGTATCGTATTCGCTTTTGATCTTCTTCTGCGGGATGTTCATAACCGTTGATGGATTCAACAAAACTGGTATCCCTACTGCTCTATGGGACCTAATGGAGCCATATGCCAAAATCGATCAAGCCAAAGGAACCATGGTTCTAGCAGTTGTGATTCTTGTCCTCTCCAATGTAGCATCTAATGTACCAACAGGTAACGTAACGATCCTTAAAACCAAACATGTTTTGTTGGCTCCAGACAATTTTCTTGATTTAAAAGGAACCGCAGAACCATTGTGAATGATTCTTTTTGGATTGTAAATGTGGTGCAGTGCTTTTGCTGGGAGCAAGAGTGGCGGCATCAGCGATGGGGAGGGAGGAGGAGAAGAAGGCGTGGTTGTTGCTGGCGTGGGTGAGCACGGTGGCTGGAAACTTGACGTTGCTAGGTTCAGCAGCAAATCTGATAGTGTGTGAGCAAGCTCGTAGAGCAGTGAGCCATGGATACACGCTCACTTTCACAAAACACTTCAAGTTCGGTTTACCTTCAACACTCATCGTCACTGCCATTGGTCTCTTCCTTATCAAGTAAAATGGTAGCTCCTCACACTTACGCTTTTTTTTTTTTCCTTTGTGAAGAAATTTGATCAACTCAACTCAAGAATCAGTCTTTATGGGTTCTCTTGCTCACTTTTGTAAGTTAATATTCTTAGTATCCATATTTGTATCAATTGGAATACAAACACTATATCATAACTAAAGAATTGTATGAAACAAAGTATGTGAATAATTAATTTAATTAAAATAACACATTAGTGTTGTTGGTAGAGTAACTAATTCCGATAATACTAATCATATGAAACTTCTCCTCGTCAAGTGATCCATCGCTCACTAGTCACTACAGATGTGTATATACGTATGCCAAATCTTTTGTTGTATTTTGCAGTTGAATAGTCACAATGTATGATAATTACTATTCGGCTAATCTTTTATATGATGTCGGTTTCTTTTATCTACGCCTTGGACGAAGTTTCTTGTAGACAAATATACGTGGTTTACTTTTTTGCAATCGGATCTAATCATGGGCATGAAAATGCAACTTGCAAACCCATAATATTTATTATACAATTAGTTCTCTAACTACTTCCCTTTTTTCTTTTCGGTGTCGTAGAAACGATTCACTAACCATAGAAGTTAGAACTAGTGGATAGGAAATGTGACACTCTAATATTACCATTCCTATTCCTACTTAACCTTTTTTCCGCCTTAGACCATCCTCATTGGGGGTATCTTATGAGGCTAAGATACCCCCACTTTTCCAAAGAAAATCCTTATATAACATATTTTCTTTGAAAAAGTGGGGGTATCTTAGCCTCCTAAGATACCCCCAATGAGGATGCCCTTACCATCGGTGAAACCTTACAGCCCACTTAGCGTATCTTCTACGCACTATTTTATTTTAAAAATTTAATTAAATAAATTCAAATTTTACCAACCCGAATACCGAATATATTGGGATGGGTCCTCTTATCTCTCTCTATAAATAAGTACACTTCATCCGTTCATCGTACTTTCTACTTACACACTTCTAAAAGTTCCCAATCTTAATATTCCAATCTCTTTCTCTTTCTTTTCTTCTGTTTACTTAGCACACCTTTGGGTTTCTGATCTGAAAGTTATGTCGCTCTCGAAACTCGTTTATCCGACCGGTGTCAGGTTCTGTCCGACAGAGGAGGAGATTTTCTATTATCTCCGGATCAAAAATCTGGAAAGTAACACGAGCCATGTCGATCAAGTCATTAGCACAGTCAATATCTCTAGCTCCGATCCTTGGCATTTACCTCGTAAAGACTCTCTCTCTCTCTCTCTTAAAATATATATATATATCACAACTTCTCCCAAATTGTTGTATCATCTATCCATCGGGCATCGGGTAATATATGATATTTTTTTCTTTTCTCCCAGCCAAGGCGACTATCATTGTCGAAACGACCGATCTCGTTTGGTATTTCTTTGGTCTTATAGAGACCAAGTACAACAAAGGCGTTCGACAGAGCAGACAAACACAATCTGGGTTTTGGAAGAAAACTGGAGAGACTATGGATATCAAGCCAAAGAGCGGTGATGGCGAAAAGATTGGTGAAAAGAGGGTTTTGATGTTTTACTTGAAAAGTGGATTAAAATCCAAATGGACTATGCACGAGTATCATGCTACGATCCCTGACCAGGTATATATATATATATATATTCTGAATCCAGTATTTTAGGGTTCTTTGCGGCTGCTGTTGTCGTTGTTGCTCTTACTGCAACGTATCCGATTATTTTACAGGTGATGACAAATACACTCTGTAAAGTAGAGTTTAAGGGTGAAAAGAGAGAAATCGAAGAGAGCCGCTCTTTATACCCTGCTCCAATGAATAATACTATTATTGGTGGTTTGATTAAGGTTGGTCAATCTCATAACTTTATTTAGTTTTCTATTCAAATCTTCAAATTCATTATGTCATATGTATGTATAGTCACGGAAAAATCTCTCTCATAATTTGACTTTACTTGTGTGATTCTTCCCCTTTTTCTTTTGTTCAGAATCCATCTAAGATTACTGGATCTCCTCTTGATATGGATGCACTGGACCAGGTTATGGATAATCTATTGAATACTGATTTCAAAGGCTTGGCTGATAATGATGATGACCAACAGAGTAAGGATGTTTACATGGAAGAATATAACAGATACGAGCCTAAAAAGCCATTGACTGGTTTCATTGATGATAGTAGCGACTCTGATTCGACTTCTCCAACAACGGTAATCCAAAATTTTAATCATTATAATATTTCCTCTGTTTTCAGTTTTTTTACCTCATAACGCTAGAGTTTTGTTTCGTACGAACAGAGTTCCATTCAAACTTGGAGCACTTGTGATAGTTCAAATCAAATCCCCACAGACCTGCAAGAATCTCCTACCTCGACAATCAAAGAAACACCCGAGAAGAAGAAGAAGACTTGCGGTGATGACACACTAGTGATGAACAAGAACAAAAGAGCTGGTTTCTTTGGCAGGATGATACAAAAATTCGCCAAGAAAATTCAGTTATGTTCTTCAGTCTAAAGAACATGCATGGTATCAATAAATAAGCTTGTTAGTCTTGTCTACCTTCCTTAGCAAGAACAAAAAAAGACTGTATATATAATACAGTTCATACAGCTAAACAAATGGTCAAGTTTTGTTTTTGTATAGACATAGCAATCAAACTAAGCTCGACTCTTCTTTTAGTCCTACCAAACCCCCACCCCCCCCCCCCCCCCACCCCACAAAGAATAAGTATCAAATCAAGCAAGATACATAATTAAATGGTGGTAATGTCAAGAGTTTCTTTTGGACTTTTATTAGTGTAGATAATATGTTGTCATTGTTGTTGTTGTTAATGTTAATTAATCCATTCAGCTTTTGTGATTGATTCCATTTTTAAGGCCCAAAAAATACCTTTTTTTTTTTTTGGTTTCTCATCTGGTTCTTTTATCTTTGAATGTTCTCCGCAAAAGCAAAAAAAAAAAAAAAAAAAAAAAAGGAAGGGGCCAGTCACCAGTGGGTCTGCTTGCTCAAATTAGTATAATTAATTTTCATATAATCCAATAGAAATTGGCGAGAGAGTAAAATTAATGAAGAGAAAAACAATATAGAAGAAGAGAAAAGTACACACTGGCCGGCCGTATAAAAACAAAGTAAATAAATGATACTCCCACGTGCCCTTTGGGACCGATGATGATGCAATAGATGACGGGAGGCAGTGACGTCATCAGTCCAAATTATATATGCACACTTAAAATATTTCAAGAACATGATGATATCTATAAATTATGGACCAATAACACCTTTTCTACTGTCCAAATTTTTTATACTAATAAATAATAAGAAGTGTCTATTCTTCCGTACTTCTGTATTGTAACAATTTCATACTTGTATGTACCTCACCTCTCTATGGTGGCTTTGTGATATGAAGCTGTTTAATTACAGAATATAAAGGCTGTATCACTGCAATTAATTAATAGAAAATATGCCTATCCTAAAATCTTAACAAAGAGTAATAATATCAAATAAAAACATGTAACTTTTAGAAACAACTTTTTTTTACCATCTCCAATCTTCAATGTATTCCTCTATAATAGAAAACTCCATTTGATTCTAGAGGGTGGCTGAAAGATAGAGTTTAAAGACAAAATTTTCCCCGTTATATTCAAAAATCTCATCAGATCCATATTTCTCTAATTCATCTCTATATTATCATATTTCTCTAATCTATATTTCTCTAATTCATCTCTATATTTGCCTCTATACTGATGAGAACTTTAAATATACTACATAAATAAATAATCAATTATTGGGAAAAACAATTTGATAATATTTGGGGATAGGCAATTCCAATAATCCCAATAATTAATGATCTAGAATTTATTTTTTATTTTTCGGTTTTTTATTTTTTATTTTCTTGCGTAAATTTTTTATTTTCTGCTAACCTTTGTTGTTGCGTGTTTCGACTAAAACTTGTTTAATTTTCTCTAGTTTTAGGTGCTTCGACTAATGTGGATTTTGTGGTCTGTTTTTGTTTAGAATGTGTTTGTTGTGTGATGTGTTTTAACATTTCGTGCATTTGTTGTTTTACTTGATTCTAGATCGTGCTTCGACTAACGAGAATATGTTGTTTTTAAGATCGTGCTTTAGTGTTTTGATTTGTTTTAGGGTATTTTCGTATTGTGTGGTTTTTTTAGGATGTGTTTGTTATTTGTTCCTTTGTTTTATTGCATATGGCACGCGTGTTCTCTGATGTTCAGCATTTGTCGCTACGTTGGCCCCCTATTCATACATCTAACACACCCACACACACATAATAGCCCCTATTCATACATCTAACACACCCACACACGATATCCCTATACATACATCATTCATTTTCATCTTTTTACCTCCTAACATACATCTAACACGTCGTTCATTATCTCATTTATATCCTAACATACATCTATACATAGAGATTATCCTCCTACAACAATTAAGACGGATGATGAAACCCATAGATGAGAGAATTCACACACGAATCAAGCTTCCCTCGTTTCAGTGCCATCTTCAAAATGGATCGAATATTAGTTTCCGTTACAATCCATTATTCTCTTCTTCTTCTTTTTTTTCTCTACAAATAAACCAAAAATTGAAAACATTTCAGTTCAGACATCACCTAATACCCTCAACAAATTATGTTAAATTTTTTTATTTTTTTATAATTAAAACTAACAACCGTTTTCTACTATCATAACAATTTAACATATATGTTTTTTTTCCTTAGGCAGAAACAGAGAGGGGTATTATATATCAAAATCCAGTAAAAGTACTTTTCTACTATTTCCAAACAAATGCACATGCATACAACATTTACGAAGACAATAACATTTCATGTCCCTCATTCTTATGAACATTGTACTAAACACCCATATATAATCGAGCAGGATCAAAAAAACATGGTCATTTGAAATGTTTCCAACACTATATAATATTAACTAATATGAACACTACTAACTATTGTTTAAAAGAGAAAATAAAATGATCGGACCAGAGTCTGACCTTTAAAGGGTGATGAGTTGATGATGCCTCTATGTTTGTCTCTTAGGGGATTTGAGAAGTCTAAAAAAGTTTTGACTTGAAAACGCAAGTGGAAGAGCAGATTAGGAAATGGAGGAAAAAAAAACAGAGTTTTGGTCGTTTTAAGAAAACAGAATTTGGAACTTTGAACGAGAAGAAGAGAGAAGTTAATATTTATAGAGGTCATTATCTACACATTTTAAATTAAAAAAAAAAGAAAATCAAAAAAATTATACAGATTCACAACGGTAACAATTGTTTCAAACGTTCATATCTTCATCTGCTACCCAACGTTCGACTGTCAAATCGTAAGTGACAAATTAACTTTAAAAACATTTTTAAAATTAAAATTGTAAACAAGTGTATATAATCAATCTTACACGCATAATGGGCCTAATAAAGATCCGTAACCACAGAACATTTAAGCCCATAATAACTTTTCTTAACAAATTACAAACACGAACGATAAGTTTATAGTAATTATTTAATTTTGGTGGTCGGTACAGTTAAATGTTCACTTTGTAAAATGCATGGCAATTCCTTTTTCCCTTATCGGTTTCTACGAAGCTTCCTAAATTGAGTAATTTCCTATAGAAATTTTGGTTATCTTTACCCATTTAAATCGAAGGACCATCGACGACGTTAACGTTAAGCTCAGTCTAACATTTATCAAAATGGGCGAACAAAGGCAATAAAGGGTAACATGAAAACATGTTTCTAATTGGTCCCAAAAACAAAAAAAAAAAAATGTTTCTAGAAATAAAATGTAGTTTCATAGTTAACGTGTTTGGAGAAATATACTACAAGTGGGCAGTGGCACATGATCAAAATAAAACGTCACTACAACTATATTCCAATCTTTAATGAAATTTGCAGCTAGCAAATTCTCATTTCCCCTTCTCTTTTTTTTTCTGATTAAATATAAACTAAACAAGGTAAGATAATTTTAATTTAAAAGATTAGTATTTGTATAAACCTGACAAGTGAGACAAGTGATAGAAACGTGCCACGTATTTTCTTATACCATACCAAAAACCAAAACCTTTGAAGTTTGACCGCCTACGGTCACGATTTAATCATTTACTCTTTTTATTTATTTTTGTTAAGTGTTAACTAACAAAAACAAATTCCACGTTGATAATTTTGCTATATAAATAAATAAACAAACCCTATTCGTCTTCTTCTCCGATAGAACGACCATGGCGGAAGCTCTCTACTGTCAAGAACTGGAAAATACGGTGGGCTTTAGATTCCGTCCGACCGATGAGGAGTTCGTCGACGATTACCTCCGGCCAAAGAATCTCAAACTCGACACGAGCCATGTCGATCGCGTCATTAGCACTCTCACTATCTCTAGCTTCGATCCTTGGGAGCTACCTTGTAAGTCTTTTTCACTCAGTTGTATCGAATCATCTTCGAATCTCTGATTTTAAGGAAACTTTACTTTGTTTGGTTAGCCCAGTCGAGGATTAAACTGAAAGACAAGGCTTGGTGTTTCTTCAACCGCAAGGAGAACAAATACGACAAAGGTGAGAGACAGATCAGGAAAACAAAATCTGGGTTTTGGAAGATTACCGGGAAACCAAAGGCTATCATGAGAAATCGTGTGAAGATCGGTGAGAAAAGGGTTGTGATGTTTTACTTGAGGAAGGAACTCGGTGGTTCCAAATCCGATTGGGTTATGCACGAGTACCACCTTTTCTCCCCTGTTCAGGTACTCTGTTTTTTATTTTGCTCTGAATCGTGTGGGAGGCTTTGTGTGTTTTTATTTTATTTATTGAGCTGCGGTTTTGATTTGGATTTGAATCTCTACAGATGATGATGACATACACTATCTGTAAAGTGATGTTTAAGGGTGACGAGAAAGATATTTCTTCTTCCCCTGCTGGTAGTGGAATTGAGCAGAGTCACTCTTCAATCCCTCCTCATCTTGTCAACAGTTCTGGAGGTTCTGAGGTGCGTTTTTATCTCTAAATAGATCTCTTTTATTAGCTCTGACAACGACTTCATCTGTGTGTGTTCTTCCTCTTTTTTCCAGGGATCGTCGACGTTTCGGAGCCAAGAATTACAGAACTCAAGTCAGTCTGGTCTGCAGGAAGAAGCTCAACTCGATGATGCAGCAACCATACCTGGTGGTGATGAGGAGGAATGGAAAACTTGGTTGAATGATAATAATGATGTTGAGGAGAGGAATATCATGTCTTTGCAGGAAAATTACAGCGATTATATACCTCCAAAGTCATTGACTGGTGTCTTCACTGACAATAGCAGTGATGATAGTGATCCTGATTTGCTATCTGCAACTACAGTGAGCAAACTTTTACTTGTGTATTTTTATAATCCTCTCTAACTTTTCAGATTTCAACTCACAAAGCTTACGTTTTTTTCATGTGACAGAACTCTATTCAAACTTCGAGCACTTGTGATAGTTTTGGTAGTTCAAAACATCGCATAGACCAAAACAAAGTCTTGCAAGAACCTCCTAATTCGACAGTCAAGTTAGTGTCACTAGCTCAAGAGGTGAGCTTTGTTATCTCTCTTTCACTGAGGACAACAAATATCCCTATTATACTATGTGCCAGCACTGACAATATTTTGGGTATTGATTCAAAGGTGAGCCAAGCTCTGAGAACCAGTATTGATACAACCGAGATGCAGAAGATGGATCCTTGTGATGTTGGACGAGGGACTGAGATTGGAGAGAAGGGTCAAGAGATAATGATCAAGAACAAAAGAGCTGGTTCCTTTATCAGGATGATACAAAAATTCGTCAAGAAATTTAGCCAATGTTCTCCTATCTCAAGAACATGATATCAATAATTCAAATGAGATAAAAAAAAACACCTTTTCTACATATATGTTATGTCTATTTTGTTTTGTAACTTTTTCCATACTGTATGTGTGTGTCCTAATATATAAAAATGGTGAATATGTGATAAGAAGTGGTTACAGAAGACAAAGATGTACCAATCAACTTTACAATGTCTATCTTGTTCGGTAACTTTTCGATCTGGTGTGTTTCATTTTATATAAAAGGTGATTAATTTTTTTGTGGTAATTAAGAGATGATTAGTGTAGTCAAAGCTGAATAACTTGAATTTATCATACGATTTACCAAATGGTCCAGTTTTGTTTGACGTAGCAACCTCGATCGACTATTCTTAGTCCTCTACCTAATCTCCCACAAAAGATTAAGTTCAACAAAAGAAAACAAAATACATATCAAATCAAAGATGCTTCAATATAGTTATGTCAAGAGTCTCTTGTAGACTTTTTAATCAACATCATATATGTGTACACGTGCATGTTGTCATGTTGATATTTAAGTCCAAACCCCATTAGACTCATGATAACTTTTGTTTTTCTTCCTCTGTTTACATTATCATATATCTCATACACTTATAGTGTTTATTTTTCCTTTCTCCTCCATTAATATCACTCTGTTTCTTGATTAAATTCTCCGTTTCGCCATTCTTCTTTTCTCCTTTTTACTATACAAGTATACAACACAGGGCAAAAGTGTGTAGAAACTCTAACCAGAGCAGAGGAATATACAATTCACATAACAAAGCAAAAAAGATGAGTTTTTTTTTTGGCAACGTGATGCAGTAAAGTAATCATCAAAATTCATCAATGTTGATACTACTTAATATAAAACAAAGGACAAAAGAATTATGAGTTTATTATTACACACAACAACTAAAATTAATCAGTTAACTCTGTTTAAAATACCTATTTACATATTCTATTTTTTTACTCAATTAAATTCTAATCAATTAACTAATAAAAAGTAAGTAACTGGTTTAACAATATAGGGGATATAATTAATTAGATAAGAATGGTAGAGAAAGAGAAGAGATAATTTCGTTAATATTCGATCTTATCAAACCCTTAGATACCCGTCAATTCATACAAAGATCAAACGAATGTTTTTTTCTTAGACCGACTTAATTAGGGTTGATCAAGTACATCTCAACAAACACACACACATATATATATATTTATATGTACGGGGGTAAAGTCTGATCTGAACATTAATAAATATTGTTGGGATAAGTTTGAAAAAGAAAGCTTAAGAAGAAAGCTTAAGAAGCAAGTTAGGATTAGGAATAGTTGGTGTTTAGGTGTTATCTAGATACAAGTCTTATTAAGAAAAGTTTTTGCTTCTTCTCTATATATATGAGTTACCAATATGTGGTTAACTTTAAGAGATTAGAGAGAGAGTTTGAGAAGCTTTTGTTTTTGAGTAAGTTTTCAAAGCTAATAAAAGAAGTGCTTTTATAAATCTCAAGTCTTTATTTCTATATTCTAGAAATATCACAAAGAAACAACGAAGCCATGAATCATTCTACCGTGGAAGAATCTCCGATCCGACGGCGTCCATGGTGGTGAGTCCAATCAAAGAGTTTTCTTTACTCTGATTCTATTATCCATTTTAGAAAATTATAAGAAAATTAAAATAATATTCTCGTATTGGTGTGTGGATGGGTATGCAGGCAGAACAAATACGTAATATACGATATTGTCATGAACGTGCTATTGATAGGCTTCAACGTTGCAACCTTCTTGTATATAAGACGTTACAATATTCCAATAGTTTCACGTAAAGACCATATGATCGAGTTTTTTGTGGCTCTCTACTGCGCATCGAGCATTGTTGGTGTGGCCATATGGGTCTACAAGTTCAAGATGAAGATCCCCGAACGTCCCTTTGAAGGTGGCGTCATGAATGCTGCTAATTTCTGTGGCGTTATTATACTCATTATCTTCCTCTATTCTATTTCTCCCATCGTTGCTCTTATTGTCGGTATACCTTCTTTGTTATGGGTTGTATCCATTATAATCTACACTTGTCGTCGACATTAACTAGAATATACCCGCGCTTAATATCTATCTTTTTTGACGTCATCAACTTATATACCTTGTATATTTGTTATGTCTTCTTTGCCCAAATCAAATTATGGAAATTTCCTTCTTTTTTTTTTAATTGCCTATATACTGTACTAAAAATAAATTAAATAGTAATAAACCCTTTTTGGCATTTACTATCGCACTCTATTATTTTATTTTTTAGTTCTAGAGTTTACTGAATCAAAATGGAATACCCGGCGGATTTCAGATTTCGACCGGAGGATGACGTCATCATCGACTACTACCTCCGGCTGAAACATCTCGACGCCGAGGAAGGCGACGTCGGCCATTTCATCACCACCGTTAACATCTCTATTCTCTAGTTACGATCCTTGGGATTTGCCATGTAAGTAATTATTTTTGATCAAATATATTAATGCTAGCTAGGTAGATCATGATTTATGATTAAATCGTTAAATTATTGGCTGATTTCTGATTTAGGATTTTTTATTTTTATTTTTGAGTATAGCCAAATCAGAGAGCAAGTGGAATTGTATGGTACTTCTATAGTCGTTGTGATGAAAGTAAGTTTAACGAAGAAATTTGGGAAATGAGTTCGGGTTTTCGGAAAGAAACAAAGATCAAACAACACACCAATCACTGGTAAGTGGAAAAGAACCAATGGTGTTAAACTTGCGAAAATTCTTACAGATCCAAATCTGAATGGGTAATGCACGTGTATCTACCCACGTTTTTACCTCTCGATCAGGTAATTTACCCGGTCTATAGTTTATACTTTATAGCCATTAGTTGTGTCTTTTGTTGACTATGTTGTTACAAGAATCTGGAGATGAGCCCTAAATTAAATCAGCTCTAAAGCTAAGATCAATTAAAAAAAAATGGATTCGGCTAGCTTAGTTGTTAGTCTAGTGCTGAGTTGAATAAATTTTGGTCTCCATGTGGGTATTTGATATTTTTGACCATATAATTTCAAACTGTTGTAGTGAGATCTCTTGTGGGTTTTAAAAAAACTTCCTTAATATGTGGACAGAGAGCATATGTTGTCTGCAAAGTAGAGATTAAAAGTGAAGACAAGGGTATCTATTGTGGTAATTCTGAAAGTGGAAATTGAGCTTAATCACCCTTCAATTCTGAAAGTGTAATTGTGAGGTGGGTAGAAGTTGTTTGTCGTATAATCTTCAATTCAATTCGTGACATAGGGGTTTAGTATTGTGTTTCAAAGAATAAGAAAGCAAAGATGAAACTCCATAGAGAGAAAAGAGAGTGAAATTATTTATATTTTCGTCTTAATTGACCTGGCCATCTGGGTGCAATGTGGCCGTATCATACAAATGCGCCTACCACTTTTAGATTTATCTTTAAATAAATCATGGGAGGCCGTGAACTACATACATACATGGTACGAAGAAAGCAAATAGTACAATATAATAGAGGAAACTTGTAAAGATACTTCAAGTAGTTGGAAACTGAGCATATTGTTGAAAAGTAGAAAGAGCGGCGCGTGATCTTATGCGTCCACGTGAGCCAAACCGGTGGGCAAAATTAGATTTGGTTGTTGCGTCTGGTGGGAGACATGCCCTGGGCCACCTCTTCTACCACTTCACAACATTCTCCCAAATGCTACGGGACATAATATAATCAAAAAAGCCTACCTTTTTTGTTTTTATTTTTATTTTTAATAATAAACATTTCGTTAAAGTTGTCTCACATTGGAGTTTTCCCTGGTGTTTGGTCCGTACACGTGGCCGTTTTCTCCGGAAGGGAGACCGCTGGATTCGCCTCCTTCCAATATTATTGGCTGTGCAGTTAAACATTAATTTTGCTAATTAGTACTAGTAAATTTTGACATTTGCAATACACAATAAAGTTAATATTATATACGGTATATTGTGAACATAAAATGCTAATCAAAATTTCTTAAGTATTTTTTTTTTTTTTTGTTAGTAGATTAAACTAGGTACGGAGTATTCTAAAAACATTGTGTTCCCACTTTACAAATGGTCGCTTTGACCATCCGGGAGAAAATCGAATTATGGTCATATGAATCTTAACAAATCAATAAATAACTTAACCACCACGCTAATTCATAGAAAAACGAATTAATAACGTATGTACCTGTGTTATATTGATAAAACTTCCCTCAAGAAAGTGATCGAACTGAGAGTAATCAAACCAATTAGTGGTGTGAAATTCTGGGAGAAGCTCTTCTAAGTCATTACAATAATCTCCGCCATTATCTTCGACAATGTTCTTGTTCCCCATCATCACCTAATCATATTCAAAGAAATTTATATCTGATTAACCTCATTCGTACCAAATCAAAACCCTTGTCAAAAAGCTGTCATCTGAAAATTAAACTAGAGAGGAAAACAAACTAATATAGTTTTGTATCTGAACAACTTGTAATAAAGGCAGAACCACGTTAACCAAAAGAGCGAGTAACTAAAAACTTTAACTTTCTTAAGACTATGTGATTCTATTTAATTGAGGGAAAATTGAAAATAATGGATAAAAAATAAATATATAAATACGTTTGCTAAAAATCCAGGCTGAAACTGAATTAAACTAAACAATTTTGTTTATAAATTGAAATATTAACTAACAAGCGACAAACCTAGTTATGAAATTTGCATGTACACAATCTTGCCAACAATATTTTTTATGGCTCTCATAGGTTTCTTCTACTTTCTAGTATAGAGTAAATAACCTGGGAGTGATTAAGGACGACAGGGTCAGAAGTGAGAGACAGATCTATCATCGCTAGGGAAGCATCTGCGACGGCGGCGGTCCGTCTAGTTCTTGTGTTTTTCTTTAGTTTGCAGAGAACATAGGCGTCCTTCAGATCATATAAGAGATCAGCCACTAATTAATGCTACACTTGTCCTTTTTATAAATTAATGAATGCTATATATATATATACCTGGTTGGGGTGGTGGAGAAAGGAATGAAATTCATGGATGATCCAATTGGCCTTGTGTTGTTGGGTGTTAGTGGTGGATGACGAACAAGTAGAAGATCTTTTGTTTTCTTGGAAAACAAGAAACTTCTTCAAACCTATAGGGTTGCCATCAACGTCCTTAACCGTGCGACTATTCCCGGTTATCTTCCAGTGCCCTGACCTCGAAGCCCTCTTCGTCCGGTTAAGCCTCCCAAACTTCTCCACCGGCGATATGAAGTACCAAGTGTGACTCGATTCTATCTTCGCCAGCCCTTTCCAAATCACACATGGACAAAAAAACAAAAAGAGATGTTATTCTTTAGACATGGAAATTAGGTTTTTAAGGAAAGGTTTATGGATATAGCTCACCAGGTAAGTCTGCAGGTTCATAGTGGCAGATATTGACTTCGTTTATTTGTTTCCCGTCTAGATCATCTTTTTCAGTGATCTTGTTATTCAGATAATAGTTTATGAGCTCTTCCTCAGGTGGGTTAAATGTGCACCTCACCATCTCTATATATGTTTTAATTGGAAAACAGAGAGTTTCTTGTTGTGACACGCGTAGAAACAATAGAAATTGTAGCAGAGTTTTTAGTGGTTGTTAGCTACAAGAAGTAAGGAAAACACAAGAGAGGAGTTTAATTGATGGAGTAAAGGCTAGCTTAAATAATGGGAATTTTCGTCGACAAAGTACAAATTGCTTAACTATATTTATCAAATATAATTGTTGCAATAAAAACAAATGTGCTTTAATTTGAAGAAAACGACAAAAACATACACATAGATGAGTAGGCATGGCATAAGGCCAAATGAGATATGTTATTACAATAATACCAACAAATGTCCAAAGTACAACACGCCGACATAGAGATTGATTTGCCTCGTACCTTCATTTTTTTCTATTAACTAACAAATAACGTTTTTTTTTTCCTTCTACAAGAGTAAAATTTCGCATCCCATGACGAGTCTCCAAGATCTTATGCGTTTCAAATTAATCAATTTACAAAAAAACGACATATATTCAAAATTTGATCTACAAATTTGTAATGCTAAATTCATTGTAAAACAAATAAAAAAAATTTGGTAAATATTTCCATGCATAGGCTCCCAACTCTTCAAGAGCTGCTGCTGGCTGACACATAGATAGCACATGTGGATACCACAAACAAACTGGTCAAAGTTAGAATTCCAAAATGAAAGAGGACACATATGTTGTGAGTGCAGACCACATGATACGATCTCGAACTTTACTTCCCAAAAGGAGGATTTGTCAGTTGATAAAGTATTTATTATCGGATCCTAATAAACATCGAAACATTTAATTTGGACGATCTTTAGTTAGGCTTGTATTGCTTTATATATATCAATATATGTTAACCCCAAAATCTTCCACATTCAAATATTTAAAAAATACTGTACTAAAAAGCAGAGGTTTATAATTTGCGCTGAAAATGTGGTTACCTTTTTCGCTTTACATGTCACTTATGAGCCCCACTAGTATATGGAGTACTATATATATAGTAACTTCAAAAAAAAATGAAAATATTAAAATTTTCTTTTGAGGAATGTTATAAACACAGGCGAAATATGTAGTAAGAAACTAAAATTAGCAGCTTTTGTTTAAGAAAATATAGTAAAAGACGAGACAAAGGTGTTCATTATGCTTGGGTCCAACGTGCTATTTATGGGCTTATGAAATTGGTGGGCTAAGTGCTTTTCACAAGGCTCAGTCCAGCTCTTTATAAACTCTATGGTAATCATTTTTGGATAATCAACCGCTGTTACAGTGTACCGAAAGATCATTCATGTGTACTGAAGAACTATGAATCCGAAACTTTTTTTTTGTTTTTAGTAGAACTTTGTACGTCTAAACTATCGAGCTTACCATATTCTCCATAATAATAATAATAATAAAACACAGATGTCAGAATGTTGTTTAATTAATTAAATCTACACAAATAAAAAGCAGTATTTAAGTAGTTTCATCTTGTAAAAAAAAGACGAAGACCCACAAATTAATTTTCTACACATTAAAATATGTTGATCACTGAATTTCAACAATTGTTGAAAATCAATAAAAAGTTTTCCACATATGACTTTGTGAGAGGGAGAAGGAGGCAACAAACCCCCCTAACCAAATTTAGAGGTCAATTTCATATAAATTTAATCAAATAATTAAGCTTTTAAGTAAGAGCTTTTTACCCTTCTTTTCTTTTATTTTATTTGTTTCTTTTCTTTTTTGAGGCATAATTGAGAAAGGTGTAAATTTGTAATTCAATGATGGCAGAAAAATTAGGTAAAGTGTCTTTTTATATATGGAAGATATGTATGTGAATGAATAAGTTTGACTCCTTAACTATATTTTTTGAATCGTTTTTATTTTTTGTCTTTTAACATTATGTTTGTAGAGGTATATTATATGAATAAGACCTTTTCTCACAAGGAAAGTCCCCTATTGGTCAACACTTGGAAGTATGTGTCCTCTTTTTACTTTCTGTTTCGCATTATCAAAAGTAAAAGAAAAGGAAAGTATTGGTCATGACTTATGAACGTAGCCTAAGTTCCGTCGTTTGGAGTTTGGAGATACATTTATAATCAAATCTCCTTTTAGATTTTATTTTTGGGTTTTATAAATGTGATATCTGTCCACATCATATCTCTATTGTATATGATTTGTCCAACTGCCAGCTAGGTACGAGAATGCCAGCCAACAAGGCTAGAAAACGCAATACAAGTTTGTTTAAACAATTCATTACATTTTTATCTTATTTATTTTTTAATTAAGTTGCATTGAAAAATAGATGTACATGTATTGAAAGTTTCCTGCGATATCAAACCATATGAGAACAAAATAAACTAAAGCAAGTAACTATTCCTCGCATTTATGTTTGAGATCTATGATTATTATCATACGTATTTATCTCTTTGTTTGTAATGTATCAATAACAGAAAAAATCTTACAAGGAAAGGTCTTCGTACTTTAAAAAGGCGCATTTAATTCAAAAGTAGAAGAATTTTTGGTCATGGATATGCTGTTAATTCGGTCATCCATAAAAATATACGAAATCAAATCTCCTTGTAGATTTTGTTTTTATATAATGTTCGGGATTCCAAATAGCTAACCACAACTCTACAGCTCTATATATACATTTTTTTAAGGGATTGTATTTTTCCTCTCTTTTTTTTTTTTTTGGGATGAAAAAGCAAATGTATTTGCATACCTCCATGGCTTTGGTTACATTAAATTGTGTGGCATGTAGGCATAAACATAGCGTTTCTTCTAGCCACAAACCATGATCAATATTTTCAAAAGGACTAAAAGAAGAAACACAATCTACTATGTGTTTTAAACCCTAATTAAAAAAGACAAAAAAAAAAAAAAAGAAAAGGTGGGCAGAGATCGATCTATAGCTAATTATTCAAACTTCACTTAGGAAGACTTTGAAACCTACCACATGACTAATTAATGCGAGTCACCAGAGATACTTGCATCCCACACTTATCTTCTTCTTTTCCAAATATTTGAAAAAATAAAAGTAATAAGTTTATTAAGGCAAAATCAATCATTTAGTATTGGTGGGTGGATACGTTTTTTTCTAAGTTGTGTCTAATTTGGTCGGTTTTGAAATCGATCTGTCGTTATGAGCTCGTCCTCGTAGCCTCGTAGACACACAACAATAAGCATTGTTCCAAATATACAGCCTTAAATATAACCACTTAAAACCTGGTTGAAGAAAAAAAACACACGAACCATCTGCTGCGACAAGAAGCAGCTCTCAACAACATGGTGAAAATTGAAAAGCTTCCATTAAAAAAAAAAGTTAATGTTAAAAACGAATGAGATGAAATTAGTAAGAGTGTTCACACGCATAATAGAAAGAGAAGGCAGATTCGAGTTGATCACCTTTCGCTTTGGGACCCAATTATTACCGCCCAACAGCTTCCTTTCCAAGGCTTTCCCATTTTTATATTTCACATTTTTAGACTTGACTTTTCAAAATCGTTAAAGACCGGTCCAGTCAAACCAGAACCATACCAATTGAACCCAACATCCATTATTAATATTACGATTTTTATTTTTTTTAAATGAATATTTGTGGGGGTTATTATTTAAACGCTTGCTTCCACTGTCTTCCTCCCTCCAAATTAATAAATACCAAACCCAGAAAAACAAATATATAATCGGAGAAAATACAGAGAGAGCGAGAGAGAGAGAAGAGGAGAGCGATCGGCGGCGAAGCGAAGCTCTTTAGTATTTGAAATCAGACGGTTGTTTTGTGAACAATGGAGGATAAGGTTGGGTTTGGGTTCCGTCCCAACGACGAGGAGCTCGTCGGTCACTATCTCCGTGACAAAATCCAAGGAAACACCAGCCTCCTTCAAGTAGCCATTTCCGAAGTCAACATCTGTAGCTACGATCCTTGGGACTTGCGCTGTAACTTTCCAATTTCCCCTGTAAATTTAAACTTAAATTTAATCGGATTGGGTTTTTGATTTTTAGGGTTTGGTTTTTTGGTTTTGGTATTGGAACAGACCAATCAAAGTACAAATCGATGGATCCTATGTGGTATTTCTTCTCGCGTAGAGAAAACAAGTATGGGAATGGGAATCGACAGATCAGGACAACGCGCTCTGGCAAGTGGAAGCTTACTGGTGAATCTGTTGACGTCAAGGATCAATGGGGCATCTCTAGTGGCTTTCCTGGTAAGATCGGTCACAAAAGGGTTTTGGTCTTCCTCGACGCAAGATTCCCTGACAAACCCAAATCCGATTGGGTTATCCACGAGTTTCACTACAACTACGATCTCTTACCACACCATCCCAAGGTTTTCTCCTTTTTCCTTTCTTTCTTTTTTGTTCAGTTTCACTGATTTTTAGTTAGAATATGAGTTTTTGTAAATAGCTGAGCTAGTTAGAAGTAAAAACTTGTGGTTCAGAATCTATCTTTGGCTTGTAGCGTTTTGATAGTACCTCTCACCAATGTTTTTCACTAACGAACTTGTGTGCTTACAGGATACCTATGTCATCTGCAGACTTGAATATAAGGGTAACGACAAGAGCATTCTTACTGCCAACGCAACTGATCCCACTCCCTCTTTTGTCCCCAACATGGCTAATAGTGCTGGTTCTGTGGTGAGTCTTTTGTCCATTTACTGTTTCTTTTGCTCAAAAGCTGACCAATACAAACTTTTGTGTCTAACTGATTTCAACTGTTTCATTTTTCAGGTCAACCAATCACGTCAAGGGAATTCAGCATCTTACAACACTTATTCTGAACATGATTCAGCTAATCGTGGCCAGCAGTTTAATGATAACTTTAATATGCAGCAACTACCAGTTCAAGGAGATTTAGGATCATCTTTCAACCATATCTTTGAGTATGGTTCAGCAAACCAGGGCCACCAGTTCGGTGCAAACTTTAACATGGTTGAAGGATATTCAGAATCTTTCAACCCTTTCCCTGAGTATGATCCAACCAATTATGGTCAGTGGTCTAGTCACTATTCCAACCTGCAACAACCAGTTCCTAATGAGTCGGATTTTTGGAAGCCTGTCATTGAAGAAAACTTCGAGTTTTTGGTCGATGAAAGGACATCCAGGACATTTATGCAAGAGCATTACAGTGACCACCAGCCCAAAAAACCTGTGACTGGGACTTTGCCTGATGATAGCAGTGATAATGACTCAATGGTAACCACTTCACACTTATACTGAAGAAATAATCTATATATCGCTTCTGTTTCTCACTCATTAACTTTTGGCTTTTAACAGACTTTTGGAGACACTTCAAGCTCGACTGATAGTGTTGTTAGTTCAAATGAATCGTACCATACTCCTATGGATGATATTCCATCATTGAACACTGTTAAGGCTTTGCACAATTATGAGGCACAAGAGCAGCCAAAGCAGCTGAAATTACAGTGTCAGAGCAAAGCAAAGGTTGAACAGTCTTACTGAGAAACATTACTTTGATACAAAATCTGACACCAACATTTCGTCTAAACTATGAGATATTGGTGTGTGCTTGCACAGGTGATAAATACTCAGAAAAGCGAATGCGAGTGGAAAATGGCTGAAGACTCGATCAAGAGACATCCATCCATCATTACGAAGACGGTGAAGCAGAGATGGATTGTTTTGGAGAAGAGGAGTCAAAGGAATGCACAGTCGCACTGTCTCAAAAACATGATCATTGGCGTCTTATTGTTCATCTCCATCATTGGTTCGATGATTCTTGTTGGTTAAGAGGCCAAATCCGATACTTGCTCACAGTCACAGTTTTATTTCTATTCTGTGTGTTTTTTTCCTTTTGGTTACTCTGCTCTGTTTTCCCGCTCAGGAAAAGAGTCTGAAGTTGTGTGTTTATATTAGTACATGTAAAGAAGAGAAAAAGAGGGACAAAAAAAAGAAAAGAAAATGTATTTAAAGAAGGGGAAAAAAGTGTGTATGTAAATAATAATTATATTAGTGTATTGTTTTGTGGTGTAGTTATCTTGTTCTTATATAGTTATATATATTAAGTGATCATATAGTTTTGCATAAGAAAAGGGTTATGATTTACTCAGCTTTTTCTACTTAGGATGGTAGTGAGAGCGTGCTACTTGATACTTGCTTACTTTCTAGGGTTCTTTTACTTCTTAGAGTTTTCCATAATAATCAACTTCGTGGGCCAAAAGAAAAGGAAAAAACAATCAACTACTTTCCGAATACGTTTCTGTAGCTGGAATTTTCCAATTTTTAAAATTATATCTTTGAATTTTGTAAGTAATTTTGGTGCTTCACTAAATACGGTCAAGCTCACACAAAGAACTGAAAGCGACTGGTTTATATATACACCTCTATTTTATATAATTTTATTTAAGATATTTACTTTAGTAATTGTGAACATTTTTTTTTAATATTAAAAACAATACTTATTGAATAAGTCAAGTTTATTATTCTTTCTCAGAAAATTATACTTATAAGAGAAGTTGTAGTTTGAGATATGAAAAAAAAAAAAGGTGAGTTCAATAATTTGTTTAGTTTTGGTGGTTTCTAGCTTATATAGTATTGACTTGCTAGAAACTTGACCCATCTGGAGTGTCTCACGTGTGGGTCCCAGCTTTCACCGTCAGCTTCTGGGACAAGGCTAACTTATTTTTAAATTACTACTTTATTTCTTTATTGTAATACCCTTAAACTAAACCGATTCCCTTGAAAGCATCAAACCGGTTATATAAAATCTAATGGAAAACTAATGACATCTTATCATTTTTCTTTTTCAATTGTGTGTGTTTTGTTTATTGAATAATATACTAATCGAAACTGAGTTGGAGAATGAAAAAGAAAAAGAAATTGATCAAAAACCATATTCTGTATCTTTTGTATAAATCGACCAAATTGATGATATACTCTGGACTTTGGTACTGTGAAATCTTAAACCATACCAAATTTGAATACTAAAATATCCTTATTACTAATTTTAAAAATAATCAACAAACATTATTTTTTTCCTTCTATTTAAACCCTTCGGTCTTCACTCTCCCTTCACTCAAAATCAGAAAGAAAAAGGAAAAAAATGAAAATCTAAAATCGAAGAGATAGAGAGCGATCGTGATAAAGAGTTTTCATTGCTCTTTTATCTAAGTTTTTTCGATGGAGGGTATGGTTGGGTTTGAGTTTCGTCCGAACGACGAGGAGCTCGTTGGTCACTATCTCCGTAACAAAATCGAAGGAGACACCAGCCTCGTTGACACAGCCATTCCCGAAGTCAACATCTGTAGCTACGATCCTTGGGACTTGCGCCGTAAGCTTCTTCTTTGTTTTTTGAACTTGTTCACTTTCCTCCGTGATCGAGTCATGATTAAGGGTTTTTCTTTTAAAAAAACAAAAACTATTTTCTCAGGTCAGTCGAAGATCAGATCGAAATATCCTGTGTCTGTGTGGTATTTCTTCTCCCGTAGAGAGAATGGGATACGACAGAACAGGAGAACGCCTTCTGGGTTCTGGAAACTTACCGGAGAGTCTGTTGATGTCAATGATCAGTGGGGGTTTTGGACTGGAGCTCAAGGTAAGATTGGTCATAAAAGGGTTTTAGTCTTCCTCAAGGGACGAGGCTCTCAGCAAACCAAATCTGACTGGGTTATGCACGAGTTTCACTACGACTACGACCTCTTGCCAGAACATGAGGTTTTATCATCATTCACTTCTTGCTTATCTTGTCTTCATTGTTTTAGTTGATGTTTTCTTTTCTTTTTTTTTTTCTTTCAATTCGTTTTGCCTTTGATTCTGGACTTAAACACTGTAGACTTGTACAAAAGTTTACTGTATTTGTGGCTCTTTTGGTTGTCTCGTTGGCATAAGTTTGATGAGTGTAGGTTCAAAATCTATGTTTGACTTATCTTTTTGTTTGAAATCTCAGTGAAGATATCTATGCTGCTGATTTCAATTTTGGTATTTTTTATTTTTACTAAATGAACTAATGTGCTTACTTCTGGAAATTCTACAGAGGACCTATGTCATTTGCAGACTGGAATACAAGGGTCGCGACACGAAGTTTCTATTTGATTGTCCAACAGATCCCACTCCCACTTTTGTCCCCAATCCAACTAATAGTGAAGGTTCTGTGGTGAGTCTATTTCCTAACTTTTTGTTTGATCTTAACTTTTTACTAGGCTAACCGATAACAGCTTGTGTCTAACTGATTTGATGTTTCCCTTAACTGTTTCTTTTATCAGGTCGACCGATCATTTGAAGAATATTTAGGATCTTTCTACAATATCTCTGAGTTTGATTCAGCAAATCAGGGCCACCAGCTTGGAAACTTTAATATGCAACAACAAGTTCCTTACTTGGAGGACTCATGTGTTGATGATCCACAGAGGATTTGGGACTATCCAATCAGCGAAATAATGTCAATTATGCAAGTTAATCCCAGTAATCACTGTCCAAAAACTCCGCTTACAGGGGTTTTGGCCGATGATAGCTGTGATAGTGACACTGACTCAATGGTAAGCCCTTTACATATACGACTAAGTCAGAATATGAATGGCTTCTGTTTCTTACACGTCGACTTTTGCTTTTTGTAGACTTGCAGAGACACTTCGAGCTCAACTGATAGTGATGGTTGTTCGAATGAATCGGACCATACTCTCACTGATGATGATATTTCATCATTAAACACTATTGAGCCTTTGCACAATTATGAGGCACGAGGGATGCCAAAGCAGCCTGTATTGCATTTGCAAGTCAAACAAAAGGTGTTTACCAACACGGTGAAGCATAACTGGATTGTTTTAGAGGAGATGACTCAAACGAATTCAAAGTGGAACTATCTCAAGAACATGATCATTGGCTTCTTATTGCTCATATCCATCATTGGCTGGATCATTGTGGTTTAGTCAAATCCGACTCATGCTCACAATTTTTCTCTTTCTTGTGTGTGCGTTTTTGTTGTTTTGTTTTTTTGTTTCTTTGCTTTGCTCAGTTTTTAGAAGTCTGAAGTTTTACAATAATCGTACAACTAGTGTATGCTGTGAATAATGAAGAGATCCCCACATTGTCATTGTGTAAAGTATCCACATCTCTCTTTTAAGCATCAAAAGAACTTTTCGAGTAAAAACAAAAAACAAAAAGAAAGCGCATGTTGGTGTCAGCTCTCCCAAAGCTTCTATACCCATGGGGGATACTTCATTAGCCCAAGTATCTTCAAATGTCTCCATGGTGTAGTGTCTCTTTACACGTACCCAAATTGTAGCAAAAGACTATAATGGAAGATGTCTGGATCATGCGATTCTGAACAAAGAAGACAGATGCACCAGAGATCCAAGTTGTGTCAAGAATGTTGTCGGCTCAAGGATCTGACCCACCAAGAATCTAACCAAGTGCGCGATTAAGCATACGGCTATGCATCTGGTCGTTGATGATTCAGTCATCACTGGTTTTAACACAACTTGCAATGTGAGATTCCAAAACAACAACAAGAAAACAGTCTTGATCAATCAATTTGCATTAAGAACATATTCAAGGTCTGACCTTCAAGAGCCATGGTGTTTGATGTTAAGATAAGTATATCAACAATGAAGATCACTGACATTGGGAACTCCCATACCTGTAATTATCAAAGATTCCCATTTTGAGCAAAGAAACACAATACCAGGTTTCAACGATCCTGAATAACTTAGCAGATAATTGTGAAATGCATATTAGATTTGGTACTTGGATATCGGGACTTAAGTGAGAGGTAAAGGTACAACATACCAACATAGCAAGCAGAAAGATCTTGAAGTAACTGGAGATCAATATCCCCAACATAATATCTCTTCTTCTACAAAGTTTTTAAAAGCCAATAAATAATTCTTTATTCAGGGGACAAAAGTCTGAAATCTTTGGGTAAAAACCTCATAATAAGAACTAAGAAGAAGAAGAAGAATCACCTAGAAACTTCATTTAGCAAACATTTAGCAGCAATGGCAAAAGATAAGATAAATGCAGCGTTTGCAGATAAAACGCTGATTAGAACCTGTTATATGAAAAAAACATTATAGTATCCTTTCAAAACTATCTCAATGACTTAAACATATAGACCTCAGAGGAAACAGTAATCCAATACAAAAGATAGTATAATAAAAATTAACCTTTAAACATATAAGAAACGAGCTCTCATAAAAGCTTGATTTGTTATCAACTCTTCTCAGTAACAAGCTTCTATCTTTGATGAGTTTAAGGCTTTTCAAATGATTTTGCCTGTGGAACCTCATTAACTACATATCTGCTAGCTACTTAGATAGTAAAAGAAGATTATGAAACAGAAGGATACAAGAGTCTAGAAGAAGATACGCAAAGACCAACTTCCACAACAGATGCTGCAAAAAAAAGAACTTCAAGATCAGAGAACTAGACTCAGATCAGAAATATGTTTGAAATCAAGAAACTTGAATTGAGATAGTTCACCTGAATATTGACAGTTTCTGGATTAATTGCATTGGAGAGGACGTGCCTATATACCTTTGGTCTGTGAAGGATTAAATCGATGAAAATAATCTGCCAAAAAGAATGAATTAAATTCCAAAGAACCAAAACCAAAATTTGGAAAGAAACAAAACAACACCCCAAGAATGGAAACTTTAACAGACCATGCGTTCACACTCGATGTATTCGTCTGCTACTTCCTTGCAATTTCCCTAAATAAGCAATACGTGTTCTTAAAAAAGTAAGATCAAAGACGGAAACTTTGAGGAATGACCATACATAAATAACTAAAGACAAAAACCCTAATTGGGTCCAATTTGGTAAAAGCTTACGCATTTCATGAGACGAATGTTACCCGGAGAGTATTGAATGAACAATGACTTAACCCTAAACCCACATCCCACGCATCTGTATTCACTCGCCATTGCTCTCTATCGCTCCTAGCTCTCTCCCTCAAAGAAGAAGGATAAGGAGCATTTGGAGTTCGGAATCGGGTCCGGGTCCGGATCTGAAATTAGGTCTGGGTCAAGTTTATTATTTAAACGTAAGTGGGCTCATAACTGGGCCTAATTTGTGCAGTCTTAAATAATCATAAGGCCCAATTTTGCTTTCAACCGAGTATTCGGACCCTAAAGAAGAGGTGTGATTATCGTATAGGTTACAAACTTACAATTTATAGATAGTTAAATTTGCATAAAACTCTCTTTGTTCATATGACTGTAGCGTTTTGAAATGCGTAGATCCCATATATATAAATGAATTTAAACATATTAGATCTCAACTTTAAGGGCTAGATATATACTACACTTTAATATATAGTTTAGATATCATATCAATTAGACTTATCTATGTAATCACTATAATTCAAAAGTCTAGATCACTCATTAGAATTGACCATACCTACCAAAAAAGCCTATTGGTTCTCCAATGTTATCACCGTTATATTATTTTCTAAATACATTTCATGATTTCTGATTGGGTAATTTTTGTATGTAAGTTCAAGAATAAGTGGTTTGTATTAGAAAGCAAGAACTTGTATCTTCTTTATTAGAAAGATTTGGAAATGAAAATTCGGGAAAAAATAGTTTCCATTAATGATAAGTAAGTAAACTCTCGAGAAACATATAAAAATGGAACACGATCAATTAAAAGTTAAAGTGAATAGTTTAAGTATTACTACTTTTAAATGTGTGTACTCAGAAAGGGGAAGAAACCATTAATTAAGCTCAATACGAAGTTTCCTTATCATGATCAATCATGCCTATAAAAAACCCTAACCGGCCTACATATTTTGCAGTCTCTTTTAGGTCAGGAGGAATCTAATGAGAAATGAATTATTTATTTTTTATTTTTTAACAAACAATAATTGGAGCATGTCATGTATTCTCTCTTTTCTTACACAACTGATCATTTTGGATATGTTTAAATATTATTGTCTCTGCTTTATTCATCTTAATAATTTTGTATTCCGTCCGTACTTTTCACTAATTAATACTTTCATTATACATATATCTTCTTTTCTATGCATTCTTTTAGATTTTAAAATGCATTTTACACTCTTTTGACAACTATGCACAAGCCTTTTGAGACATCTACACAATATTTATATATAGCTACCTGTAAACACTATTTAATTTGGAATTCGTATTTTTCTATTTCGTTAATCGTATCATCCCTTTGCAAATGCGTTTAATTAAACATATATACCTTTGTCATTAACTTTGTTCCCCCCATATTGAAGATCTGTGGGCTACACATGTAGTTAACATACATTTGTATGCTTATATTATCTAGGGTGTACTCATATACACGTATAATACACCTACCCATTGACAACACACAGTTGTAGAGTACTCGTAACACACTTAACCCTATCTATGAGCTTCGATTTATATGAACATACACAATGTTTCCCATGTCAAATCCTAATTAGCACAAAGAAAAAAAGAAAAATACGTCTAGTGAAATTACGAGTCTTGTGTTTTTTACATAAAATATCGATATATAAAAAGACTATATGTAAGTATGTGTGTACATGTATTGTATCTTGAAAATAATAAAAACACCACAGATAATTAATTTGGATGATATAAGGTGTGGAGTATTTGTATTTAATATAGTAGAGATAAATCAAATCTCTGCCAATGACTTCTCTCCATTTGATGATCTTGCATGCAAAATTTTAACACTCGGCCCATACCTATATATGCATGGTAGATATGACAACTAAATGTTTTAAGAAAATATGCGTAAAGCATGATCTGAAAATTAATTGCCATAGTTAGAACTTCGTTTGTGACAACACTTTAACTATAATGCATCTACTAAACTATTTTAGTCAGTTAATTAGCATTTGTATGGGAAACTATAAACTATGATAACGCATATATTTAATTATACATATGCATGCATGTCTATTTGTATGTACAGGTTGGGTATATATATGTAGTGTTTCAGAGGCATATATATAGTAATTGACAGATGATTTAGAATCTAACATTCTTAAAAGAAGTCATGAGTTTAGGAGATCTATTGATGGATGCCTGATTTGGTAAAAATCACCTAAATTCACAGTCCAAACGAAACAAAGATATTGACCAGAGGTTAATAACAAAATAAGAATATAGAATTAGTAGAAAATGAGAAATTAATGAAATCTGTGATCATAAAAAGTCAAACGATGTGAAAACATATCATACCTTTTGTTCTTTTTACTGCTATATAAATTAAATTACTATATGGATGGAGGATCAGTCCTTCTTCCATAGCTAGCTTCTCTTTATTTTCTCTGCCCATAACCTGCAAAAATCTCTTTAACCGAGCAAAATTACAAGAGTAACCAAACAAACAAAATAGGACCATTAGAGAGAGAAAAAAGAGAGGCTTTTTTTGGACCTGCCCATTAGCTTAGAATGTACCATGAAACACTTTGTCAGTGTAGGGAGATAGGCACAGATAGTACAATTCATGAAATTTATAAGCTTTTCTTTCCCACTCAATCAATAATTATAATCTCAAATTCTATTAAAACTGAAAAAGAAAGAAAGAAAGATGAACACTGTTTTATTGATGGCTAAGAGTCTATAAGCAGCTAGAGGCAGTTTCACCTAGTGTCAAGTGTTCAGATTAATATAGAATTTATGAAGATGATGAGTATAGTAAACAATGAAGTATAACGAATATGATGGATATAAATTAACTAAAAATTTGAGACATGTGAACATGTTATTTTATGTTAATCATATTCATATATAAGTTTATATACAAATACGAGTTTCAGCATATGGTAACAAAAGCCTAGTGATGAACATCAAGATAAACATGTCGAAACAAAACTCATAACCAAAAACAAAAACGAAGAAGATCGTTTTGCTTCCTCTTACTAGCTAGACTCTAATAATACCCTTGGAAATTGAGTAATGATATATATATAAAAAAAAAAAGAAGAATTTGAGAACTTCTTATGGATTGAAATTGAGAGAAAATGAAGACTTCCCTTTCTTAGCAAATTGATCATCATCACCACCATCATCGTCATCATCATCATCATGGTCAGTCGATAAATTTAGTCGCAGAGCTGAAGAAGAAGAAGAAGAAGATGCACCCATTTCCCTACGTGGCATCAGCCAAGAGTCTTCTTGTTGGTTATAGTCATTACCACATTCCATATTCACCCCAAAGAGCCTTAGTCTCTTTCCCGCCGTAGAAGGAGGCGCAGGAAGCGGCGGTAACATCACTGGAGTTAATCTCCCGGGAACCACAGGGACTGACTCTATAACCAACGGCTCTGATCCAACAATGTTCCTCTGATCCAACGGTGATCCCGTGTAGTAACACCTTCCAGCTAAATTCCCATAACCATACCCTACAAACTCTTGACGCTGGTTGTTGTTATAATACGAACGTTGGTGGTTTGCTAAGTTCAAGCTCCGGTGAATCGGGACGGAGTTGTATTCCGGCAATGGTTGAAATCTGTTGGAATATTGAGAAGTGGTCGGGAAGTTGAAATTGAAACCGAAATTACCAAACTGGTGTGCCTGGACGAGGCTCATGTCTGGTCTGTGCCTCCAATCTATGTAAAGTTTCGATCTTTCAGACTCATCCCCGATACCTCTTTGGAAAGAGACGATGTCTCCTGCGTCGAGCTTCTTCTCTTTGACGAAACGGCTCCATCCTTTGGTCATCACGTAGCTCTGGCTAGAGTTCCAATACGAGTAACGGAACCTCCACATCTTGCCGTTTCTGTCTTGGAAGTTCAACAGCGTGCCGTTTTGGTTGTTTGACGAGTCTAGTGGGAAATACCGCTCCGCGTGTTGTTTAGGGATCACGAGTCTGTTGAGTTTTCCGACGTCGCTTGGTGTTACCACTTTGTCGAACATGTGTTCTTTCTCCGCCGGTGGAATCATCATCATCGGAAGGTTGTTATTGTTGTTTCCTGTGCCGGAGCTGCTGCTTGCTCCGATGTTGGAGGTTAGCTCTTGGTCTCTGTCTTGTTCTTGGTCGGAACTTGTTGTTGTCGTCGGCGCTAGGGATAGATCCATGACGAATTATCTGGTTTTCGTTGGAGAAATCTTGATTTATGAGACGTACGGTTCTTGAATTGAATCTCCCCTGTGTGGTTCTTGGACTCTTTAGTGAGCCTTGATGGAATTTAAACCTTTCTCTTGTTCTTGAATCGGAGAATTGTTGCGGCTACTTTTCAAAGCCATTGACGATGATGACTCAACTCGAGATCTTCAACATACAATAGATGGATAGATAAATATTAAAGAGAGGAAACAAAAACCAAAATCTAGCCACAATTATAAAAAAAAAGGGTAGCTGAATTAATGGGGAAGAATATATAAAAAGAAGGGAAGTAGGAAAAATATAAATTAAAGTTCTGCTGTGGTCTCACCTTATAATATAAGAATAAGAGAGAGAGAGAGAGATTTTGATTATGAAGTTTTCTTTCTCTTCTTGGTTCGATTGGTTCTTTGATTTTCTCCTTTGACCATGAAAATTTAGAAGAAAATATGAAAACCCTAGAATCGGAAGCAGACTATATATGCATATATATATATATAGAGAGCTACTGTATATAAATTCTCGTTGACTAACAAAATGAAACAAAGGAAAGAGAAAGATCAAAGCAAATAAAAGGACTTGGAACTCAAATTGGGTTCTTGCCAAACAAGAGAGGATCTTTCTCTTTCTCTTTCTCTTTATGAGGACGAAGAAAATAATGGTGGCTTGAGATTCTTGATAGAGTTTCAAGACTTTAGAGAGAGAGAGAGAGAGAGAGTGAGATTGGTACCGATTGGTACCGAGTAATGCGTAGGGGCCCATGAATGATATGGTTCGGGTCATGTGAGCTTCTTGTCCTTTTCATTAGGCTTCGAATTAGCTCTTTGTATTGAAATTTCAAAATCTTTATATACATCATAGTTCAGTTGTCGACGGTATTTGAGATTCCGTTAATCCTTGTTTTTTTTCCTTTTTCTTTTTTGGTATTACAACTGAGTATACGTGTCTATTTCCTTTTTGTTAATTAAAGCAATGTTATTTTGTACTTATCTAATTTTTTTTTTTTTACCAATTATTGTTGGTTAGCACTAATTATAACAATTTGAATTTATATACAGTTTTTGTTCGTTAGTACGTGACTCAGGTAATATTTATGTAAACTACCAATACGTATTTATCAGAAAAGCAATGCACATTTTTCCCGAATATAGAATATTATCTGTGTTACAAAAACACTGTAAATATATGCATGCACGCATTTTATCACATTAAATTAATTATAATCCTTACCTACTACTATTCCAGATTTCTTTTTTTTCTTTCGAAAAAGTACTATTGTTGGCATGCCATGATTACAAAAAAATGTGTACACACACATATATATATATGATGTAACGTCCTGGACCGTCGCTGGGTATATCCTTCGCTCATTCGTTTCTACGTTTGTGGATCTTATTGAACCCTACGTACCACAAAATTTGAGTGTTTACGTTATTATTTCGAACGGCATTAGAACTCTCTTACTTTGATAAGTTGCTAAACAAAGTGGGAACAATATTAAATGTGAAGGTTTCTGAAAATGCGACGAAACCCCATATGTACAATGTGATATGAGAAGTCAAATCTTTTCAAAAAAATTTAAGATTGTCACTTGAACTTTTATAATAATGCTATTTAAATACATTTGAACATTATTAATACTGATTAACCATAATTGATGTTTGGGTTACTTTTATCTGTTTTCAAATTTTGTTTAATTAAGTTTTTTTTTGTCAGATCGAGTCACGTGGGTTAACAGTATAATACTGTTTTAAGAAAGATTAAATAATGAAATTTTGATCATCTCGATGTAAAAACACATAATTAATTACCCAATTTATAGTTAACTATGAAGTTATTTAGAGATCACTTGGAAAAAGTAGGTTTGGTTGTAATGTGTCCATGTTTTTTGTGGTCCAAAATCATCAATCACAACAAAACAAATTAAAAATAAGCAAATACAAGTATATCAATTCATGTATATACATGTGTCTATATTTAATACACATCTTTGTAAAATATATTTATCAAATCCTCACGATGTCTTATATGATGTTTGCTTCACGCTCATCGTTTTCTGCCACAAAAAAAAAAACACATTAAAGATATAATCAAATTTTATGTCAAAAGAGGGTATATTAACTATAATGACCAAAATATCAAATATTATTTTATTCATGTGTCATAATCATCAACATCCATAACAAGAGCGTTTGATGTTTTGAGACAGCAAGAAAATGTCTAAATCTGCCACACCTGGTCAAATATTTCCCTAGTAATCAATTAAACAGCATAATTATTTATTAATATTGGAAGTATATATATACTAGTTGTATTTATACATGTCAATCAGTACATTAGTCAAAAGATACGACTCAATCGATAAGCACGTGCAGACGAATATGTAATAAGTAGGTAATACTTTGAATTCGTTTTCCAACTCGACCAATCATGTATCTGAGAAATCGTCAATTACGTGTACTATAGAAACAATTATCAACGTATAAGTTCACTACTATCTTTACTAATTTAGGCTTTCTCTACTGTTGAGGTTTTCATTGTCTATAAATATTCCCAATATACTTCTATAATAAATTAGGTTTAATTTTCTGTTATCGAGAGATTAGGGTCTGCAAATATATAATGTAGAGAAAATTATAAAGTATGGCTCGAAAAAAGTTGGCCTGCAGGTTGCCCTCGCTCTTTAATTTAATAAAGGCAAAGCTTAAAAAAATAAAAATTTGAAAAGCAATTTTATCACTGATAATAATTTTACTATTTTACCGAGTTACACCAGCTTAAATACAAAGGGGACCTCTCTACCTATAAATCTCCCATTGGCCTCTATTTTTATTGAAAACCAAATAAATCCCCCTTATATAGATTATGCTTAAGGAATATATCCCATTCTAATCTATTTGACCGACTCTCTATAGTTTCGACTGTCCTGTCATGATCCCGAAAACCCTAGATATTCCAAGATTAAGCGTTGACATAATCATGTTGTTGCATCCCAAATTCTACCGGAGCTAGAACCATCTCTCAAAAATTAAATTGTCAATTTATATATATTCTCTAGCGTTTTAAAACCATTATGATCGTCTGATTGTAAGTATCTTCAAGATATGGACCATATGTCCATATGTTATAAATATGAGGTGTGTATATGTAAGATTTGAATGAAATGGTTTTAAAGTATGTATATAGGGGTTGGATTATTTTTAAAGGGGAAGCAAACATAAATGAGAAGGTGAGCGAGAAGGTGAAGTGTTGCAATTTTACAACAGTAAACTTGGAATAGAGTAAGGACCACTTGTCACTACTCTCTCTTTCTCTCTAGAGTCCAAAACAGCCTCACATTTTTTTTGCATCCCCCCACACTTCTCGATCTCTTTCACACCTAATTTCTTTATTGGTTTTTTAAATATTTTGTGATTTGTATGTTTGTGTATATGTATATTTTTCTTTAACAACTTGGAGGAGTTTTGGCCCCTTGGAACTTTTTTTTCTTTCAGTTTAAAATTTTCTAAGCAACGTACTGCCGTGTATATATGCTAAGAATTTGGTCGTTTTTAAAAGCTGATCGATCTGTAAAAAAAATTAAGGTATACGTGATATTTGTACGTTGTGCTCTATTGTCATAATTTAAGCACTCAATCGATCGAGATTCATCACGTACAGTTTGATGAATACAAAGTTGGCCCTCTTAAAAGTGCCGTATTTTAAGTTTCGGTTTCCACAATTGTCCAAAATCTAAAATTTCTAAATACCATCAATTGTATACACACACAAACACAGACTGGTGATTAAGGCTAAATCCTTTTTAAAAAGTTGACATTACTAAAAATATGCAAAATAATCAAATTATATAAGCATAGTAACATTTAATATAGAAATGTGTGCGTGTGGATTTGCATATATAGAGTGTAATAACATGTTATGTGTGAGTAGCGAGAAAGGTCGTTATCAGTAGGTGCAAAATAGAGTCCATTTGCATGGAGCAGGTTTATGTGATGTTGATAATGGCAACAACTGTCATCTGTGCCCCAAAGTCCAGGAGTCTTATAAATTAGTTTACATTATACACATAATTAATTCTAATAACCTCACAACGAATGTATAGATTGAAAGAAGCGGGTCCAGTAATATATGGGCAAAAACTAGAAAGTATATCCACATTATATAGTGTATGAGTATATTTAGAAATTCTCGAACAGATAGGATACACAAAAATCTTGTTACCAAGCATCAAGCAATCGTTCCTGATCATCTATAAAGTTATTTTCATCAATCCCAAAAAAAAATCAAAAAAAAAACACTATCCTCTTTTGTGTATAAATATTACTCTTTTTAAAAAATGGTTTGCATGTGTAGATTAAAAATATAATTTGTATGCACCTTAAATAAATTAAATGATCGTAAGTTTAATTAGCATAGCCTCGATCTATAATAGTTAATATAAACATAGACACACATATTAATTAATACTTAGACAGGCAATTGTATACATATATAGATGCATGTTCGTAGCTAGAGTTTCTGAATACAACATTCTTAAAAGATCAGCACTTGATGATCATTGTTAAAAAAAAAAAAAGTTGTCTACGCACGAGTCCAATTTACATTTACCTATATCATCATAGCTACGTACGTACTATATATGTGCAACGAATAATTCAATAGATTTGTAGTGAGTAGTCAAGGAAAAAGGAAGGAAAAAAAAAAGAGAGGCTCCAATCAAAGTTGGTTTCGATGAAAAATGTAGTACAATATAGATAGTTGGTGTTATCTTGAAATAGGTTAGTAAATATATAGTTGGTGTTAGTTCCGTTCGATGAATATAAATAAGTCGCAGTAGAAATCAAGAATGTAGTAATGGACCATATTATCAATATATACGGTCCAAAGGATATGAAAATAATCGCAGCACGTTTGAAAGAGGAATAAACGAAACGAGACAAAGTACTGGTAGGGTATGTTCACATAAACCCTAATCAATTACGAAGCTCTCCTCCTTTCCTTTCGATGACTCTTTCAAACATATATATCATTCTAAGGTAATAAAACCGTACGAATTCGATAAAATATATTATAGAGTATATCTTTCTCTAACGGAAATAAAAATAAGAAATATATAGAAAATAGAATTATGACGTGCTGTATATAAAGAGCAATGGAGAAAATAAAACAAGCATATATGAAAAGAAGAAGAAGAAAGAAAATGAAAATTGTAGATGGATAGAGTCGTCCCACACTTGAGGTTGGTCCACAATGAATACCGTTGGAGGCTTCGCAGGCTTTTGTTCTGTCCTTGTCTTCTTTGTCTCTCTCTCTCTCTCTCCCTCTCCCTCTTTTGTTTCTTATTCTCTATCATATCAACCTATAGCTTAAACTAATATATCATACTGTGTATGTAATTTTACAAATTTTAGCTACGTACAGAAACCAAACATGTAGTCCTAAGAATTCATCGACTGTTTATGTACTTCATAAAAAGCTACTGAGTCTTTATCGTTAAAATTTTAATTGTCTTAAACTTTTTTGTTTTCTTTAGTTTGTGCATGAGGGGGTAGAGATAATGAGTCTGCTGCTACTACTAGTAAAAGTAACTGTACAATTATAATGCGTGG